CGTAAACCAATTTTGAAGCTGGAGCTTTTTGGGCTGACTTGGATGAAGAGGCAACGTTCGAGGAGTTGGATGTGATGTTGTCGAATCGTGGCGGAAAACGATGTGTGGCGGAGGTTGGAGGAAGCGGTTGTGTTCAACGGAGAGGCGAGATCGGGCCAGTGATAGTTCGACGTTTGAGAAGGGCCGACGTTTGGAGAGAGGAAGTTCTGTGCTGCGAGGTTGGAAGAAGCGGTTGTGTTCAACGGAGAGGCGAGATCGGGCCAGTGATAGTTCGACGTTTCAGAAGGGCCGACGTTTGGAGAGAGGAAGTTCTGTGCTGCGAGGTTGGAAGAAGCGGTTGTGTTCAACGGAGAGGCGAGATCGGGCCAGTGATAGTTCGACGTTTGAGAAGGGCCGACATTTGGAGAGAGGAAGTTCTGTGCTGCGAGGTTGGAAGAAGCGGTTGTGTTCAACGGAGAGGCGAGATCGGGCCAGTGATAGTTCGACGTTTCAGAAGGGCCGACGTTTGGAGAGAGGAAATTCTGCGAGGCAAGGTTGGAGGAAGCGGTTGTGTTCAACGGAGAGGCGAGATCGGGCCAGTGATAGTTCGACGTTTGAGAAGGGCCGACGTTTGGAGAGAGAGGAAATTCTGCGAGGCAAGGTTGGAGGAATTCGCAGCCGTTGTCTTGGGCTTTTCCAGCACGTCATTGGAGCTCTTAATGGTCGCCTCCACATTGTTAAACGGTAGAAAAGCGTCTTCTTCTTCCCAATGAAAGTCGTCAGCCCAGGTTCGACTATAGTGCTCGTCTCCTTCATCGTCATCAGATTCTGTAGCCAGGTAAGCGTACAAAGATCGTTGACAGTTTCAAACTGCAAACTGACCGGTCTTCGCTCGGCGTTTTTTTGTTTTTTGTATCTTCCGTGGGGGTTCGATAACTTCAACCTCGTCGGACTCTGTAGCCAGGTAAGCGTACAAAGATCGTTGACAGTTTCAAACTGCAAACTGACCGGTCTTCGCTCGGCGTTTTTTTGTTTTTTGTATCTTCCGTGGGGGTTCGATAACTTCAACCTCGTCGGACTCTGTAGCCAGGTAAGCGTACAAAGATCATTGACAGTTTCAAACTGCAAACTGACCGGTCTTCGCTCGGCGTTTTTTTGTTTTTTGTATCTTCCGCGGGGCCTTGATAACTTCAACCTCGTCGGACTCTGTAGCCAGGTAAGCGCGTACAAGATCGTTGACAGTTTCATACTGACCGGTCGTATACATGGTCGCGAAGCCTGACCCCCCCGCTGAGCCGAATCGCGTTTGTCCTGGTCCTCTTTCTGTTGCAACTTGGCCGCCTCCCGGTCGTCGTGGTCCGCTATGGCTGTGACGCCTGGTCAGATGTTCCAAACTATTGCTAACGGTCACTCACGTCGCCAAGTCAACTCGTAGTCTGAAAGTCCACGTCAGTCCTTTCGTACAAGGGGAGATGACAAGGGAGACGTACATAACTTGTGGCCGTTCGCCGTCTTTCCGAAACGCGCCATCGGAAAGCACTTGGAAACATAGGACCCTAAACTGAGAGCGCTGGACTCGATGGTAATGCGATTTATCTTGCGGAATTTCTGGTACCGGGAAAACATTTCTGCTGCGCTCATAGTTTCTATAGAGTTTTCAACGAATTGAATCCTTGAATGCAACCTAACAAAATACACGTCAAATGACGTGTAAGAAAGCGCGTAAAAGGAGGAAAATCTGACCACAGGGCTGCAAGGGCTCCTTCGAAAGGACGGTTAACATCTTTCTCCCTTTCGTCCCAAATTTGCGCGACTCTTTTGATCATGCGAGGCAGTCCGAGAGCCATATTGTCGCGTATTTCGAGTGGCAAGTTGCGCTGCCACTCGGTCATCGAAGTTTTGAACCGACCTCGTAGCATGAGCCAAGGCCATCTTAACGTGACGTCACAACTTCAGTGTCAGATTTAAACGTGACTGTCACAAATGTCACAAATTCTGTCTGAAAGGTTACTGGGTGCTGTCGCTCATTCCTACGATTTACACCAGCAAGTAAGCTACTATTAAGAACGAAATGTCAACGAAATGTGAATTCGGTGAGGAAGGTCACAGTAGTGACAGGTCACGGGGTGTGACCCTCTTTGCTTCAAGCCACCACTCTTGCAAAGTACTCGGACGTCAACGTCGGGTGCTGGATTCTGTTACCTCACATCTTGGCCAGCCCTCGCCAAAACATGTCCGGTCCTCCCTCCCTGGCTCTCACGCCTGAGAGCGCCAAACTCATGCGCGCGCGATTAGCGCCTTTGCTGGACGCTACGAGAAAGAAGACTTTGCGAAGCTCCGTTATAACGACGCGGCCAATAGACAAGTCGGCCTCTTGATCGAGAAACTGCACCATGGGACACGTTCCCCTGCTGCTCCTCCAGCCCTTACACGCGCTCAAGTTGTCCACTCTTTACAGTCCGCGTCTCAGCTGTCGCCGGATGCCTTGCGTGACTACGCGCCAAACTTCTTGGACTATCTGGGGACGATCGCTGAGAAACTTGGGTGGAAGAAGGAGCCAGGGGTTGGCGAAGAGAACACGGTACGCGTTTTTTGGCATGTAAAAACATCCATTTAATAGGCACTAGCTTGGGTTTGACGCGTTATGGGCGCTCTATGCAGATCTGGCAGCTTGGGACGGTGTGACTGAAAAAGAATACCGCACTTTCTGTCGGAACATGTTCTACACACAGCTCACCACTGAGGTCCGCGAAGTAGTATCGTGGGGGTGGGCAGTAAGAGGGTTTATCAAGCCCATTCCGAGTAACCGGTCGGCCGAAATCCAGGCCCATTGGGTGTGTAACCGAATGAGTTATTTGTGGTGACGCTAACCTGTCCGTAGTTCAAGACATTCAAACCTGTGTTTGATACCAATGACGATCGGGAACAAGCTATCGCGGGGTACCCTTCACAGCGAGAGGATAATTCGGAGCACTTCAAATTTGCAATGCGGCTTGACGAGGTATTACTGTCTGCACATATAAACCTACTGCTGAACAATGTTTTAGATTATAGTAGAAGCTGATGAGCGATCTGCAGCAGCTCAGCTGATTGACAGTATTCTCAGCACAATGGCTGCGATCGAATTCGCTAGCGAGTATAACAAGCTCTCTGATGAGCAGAAGGACACCATCGCTCGCATGCGGTTCTGTCGAGACCCCGACTTTGCGGATCAGTTCCAGGACATTGACGAGGAGAAGGAAAGCGTTATCATCCCCAGCACGCAATTTTCTCGAGACCCCGAATTCGCGGGAGCCGTTCGAGGTGGACCTCTTGGGCAACTTCAACGCTTGCTCTGCACGTATAGATGAGGTGCTGCATGGAGACTATCTGCAATGGAAGGAGCGTAAGCATGAAACTGAAACTATCGCTCGCAATCGCCTTTTGGAGGCTTATCACCTTGTGAGTAGCTGCTTTGCTCACGATATATTTTAACGTATTGAAAGCTGGGACCGCATATGCTTCTGAATCCCAACTTCTCGCTTGACCGCCTGCGACCCAATCGTACTTCCCTGATGTATCCGACGGTGGTGGAGAAGATTACCCAAATCGCGCCGGTCGGGCCGCACGAGGGATTTGTTGTCAACAGAGCTGCCGCATTGGGCATTGTTCGAGCGCTGAGTGAGGAACTGGAGGTGAAATTGCGAGTCTTCATGAAGCGAACGCCTGCCAAGGTAAGTATCGGAGCTTAAATTACTATAAAGCCATTCAACTGGCTGGGCGTTGTCATAAAGATGTCTGTTCAAATTTAAATTTCTTCTGCAAAGTCTAACCCTAGTGACCTAAGAACTAAGACGGCCACGTTTTGCTAGTCTTTCTTTATCCTCACCGCAAATCACGGGACGACATACGCGTTTTATCTTATCTAAGGGAACATAGACCTCAACGGATCAAACATCTGCGGATCAAAGGAGCGATTGTTCTATCGAGCCGGACTTTACGGGTGTCCCGCCCGAGGGATTGTTTGACGACCTAACCTATGGGGCAAATCGCCCTCCGCTTGCCTCCCGGTGAGGGAGGCGCGCACCATCGAGACTGGTCGACTTCAAAACCAGCAAGGCGCTGTTGACGCTGCTCGTGTTGGACGTGAAAGCTGGACGTGAAGGTGAGCACACACTTCGAGCTGTCCAGCGTCCTAGTCGTCGACCCTCGCTCGCCCTCTTGTGCCAGTCTCTCCAAACAGCGGGACGTAAATCGTTCGCTATCCTGTCTTCGATCGACTACCCTTCCTACTCACGGGTTCGTGCAGCTAGTCGTCGACCCTCGCTCGCCATCTTGTTCTAGCCTCTCCAAACAGCGGGACGTAAATCGTTCGCTAATTCGGCTTGTATCTACGAAGGCAATCTACAAAGGTAATACCTGAGGAGGGTGCGTAAAACTGCCTAATACCTGCAGATGGGCCGGGCCGACCGCATCCGGGCCAACCGTAAACCGCACAAACGCGACGGGCCCGGGCACGTGTATGTGCACCGCGTGGCGTATGGGTCGGGGGATGCCGACGATGGTCAAGATCGGCCATTCGGTGGACGCGACGCGCAGGCTGGCTCAGCATCGTCGCCAATGCCGCGGCGTCCGATTCATCCGACTACTGGTATACTGGACACAATTGCGTATTCACGCGGGTAAGCTTTCTTTCTTTGACTCTGTTGCTAGCTAATCGAAATAGAACGAGTATTACACGACTATTTCGACCACAAACTAAACGCGTGGATACCTCGGGTGAAGTGCACGGGGTGCCCCTGCACCCACACCGAACTCTTCGACGCTGGGATATGTGGAAGTAAAAGGAAGTTGGCGAAGGGCATCAAGCGGGCCGCGCGCAAGGCGGGAATTATGTTTTGGAAATTATGAAATACTATTACTTATGCTATATGCTTACTCATCCAGACGACCTCATCCGCTTCGAGTAACCCAGTCGATTAAATGAGTCGATTTGTACGTATTCTCTTGCCATGTGCTGTACTTGTTTATACCTACATATTTCACGAGACCCATGGCACGTCTCCATGTCCCACCTCTCCTTTGGCCACCCTCTCCATGTAAGTTGCAGCCTAACAGCACATGAGTTTTCGTCGAAACCGAAGAAAGAGACGACTCACGATAGCACGATCTACCCGTTCGCCACGGATTGTCCATTGGTTGCCGTCACAGCGGCTGTTATGCTGAACCGACTTGTTTAAACGACGCTGTGAGGGGCAAAGGAGATGACATACCCCTCAAGGCCTTGAAGCGCTTCATTCTGCAGGGAGGCGATGATGCTAGCGAGATCAGGAGGCAGTTGACCAGCTTGGATGGTCGTGGCGAAGGATTCAGAAATGGTCGTTCTGGATAAGCGTGGTCAATTTCAACGATAATAGCAGTTCGTTCTAACTGACGCAAACTTCTTGCCCGCAGGTACAGGGACACCATGCACGAGGGAAGATTGAGGGAGCGACGAGAGTGCAACGGCAATGAGAGCAGCTTGGAGCATCGAGCGAGCCATTGGTGTTTTTTGTTGAAAAAGGGCGAAAAGTGTTGGAAAACTTGGTAAACCTGTACCAGGGAGATGAATGTGGAACTGCGCTGAAGAAATTCGGTTTGCATGAGGTGTTTTTATAGCCACATCCGTTCTGTGTTCTCTTGGCTTTGACAGATGGTAGAGTTGAGAACGCGGGAAGTGCTCCCCAAGAAGACCGAGCAAGCCGCATGCACCAGAGCAGGCAAACCCTCGACTCTTGCTAGCTATGCAGGCGGAAGACGGCATACTGTATCATGAGATGGAAGCCGCATTTTCGGTGGTCGTCATTGTTGCATTCAAGTTAGATAGCTACATTTGAAGGGAGCCGCATCAGAGCATCGTGTTCTCTTGCCGCAGCTTGAGATGGAGCAAGGCAGTGTTGCTACCTTCTTGCGGAAGTTGGAAAGCCTAGATAGAATCATTTGTCAGGGGAAAAGGTGATTCGTGGGTCATTGAAGACCTGTAACTGCCAATGGAGCTTAAGGAGTACTGTCTCTTGGGGGTCAAAGACTTGATGACGCGAGGATAGGATAGATAGAATTACCGCAGGTGATATGGTTCAGCCACAGTCGAAATGAGGATCACGTGCCAAGCAGCATTGAACAGGATGGCTAGATACTAGAGTTCACATATAGTTTCCTTGCCGAAACACGATTGAGAGTGCGTCAGAACCTTCTGGGTTGACGTCGATGCTGGGCCAGAAAGATTGGATGTGTAGGAGTACAGTGAGTTTACATGCGGATGACTGTTCACAGGAATGGGCTTAGAGCTTTGTCCTTTGTTTGTTCTCCCATTCCTTCCTCGCCTGGAGCGCTTTCCCAGCCCTGCTAGCGACTTGCCTGCCTAGGAGGTTGCTGATCCACGACCCAACATCCACCAAGAGAGAGAGGTCAATCCCTCCATCCTTCGTGCCCATAACGTAATATGGCGAATTTTGGAGAGCATATAACACATCTTCGGTCGAGACATTCCCTGTTGCTCCAGGCGAGTACGGGCAACCACCAAGACCAGCGACGGATGCGTCAATTGTACGTATGCCATGGTCGAGCGCAGTGAGAACATTAGCAATCGCGGTGCCATATGTGTCGTGGAACTAAATATCCAATCAGTCCAAGAGTTTAAGTTAGGATCTGTGGATGACGACAAACATGGCCTGCAAGCTTCTCCACCGGAACGCTCTTCTTCACCTCCTCGAGCATCTCCCCAACCTGGTAAGGAGTTCCCATCCCTACTGTATCCCCGAGACTGACCTCATAGCAGCCCATGTCAACCAACTTCTGGCTAACCTCCCGCACCGCTTTGAATTCGACATTGCCGGTGTAAGGACAGGCAACGACGACGCTGACATATCCCCTGGTCCGCAGTCCATTGTCTGTTGCGCTTCGAACCACTGGTTCAATCTTCCGAAGAGATTCGGCGATGGTGCAGTTGAGGTTTGCTTTTGTGAACGCGTCGGTCGCGGCGGTGAATACACTGACTTCGAGGGACGATGCGAGATGTGGATGTGTCTCGAGTAGAGAGAGTACGGAGTCAAGGCCTTTTTGATTCGGGACAAGGACCGGGAGACGAGTGTGAGGAGGGAGAGTGGGTAACGAAGTCAGGACATTGTCGGTGCCAGCCATCTACTTTGCAGACGTCAAATAACTTGTGTCGACGACTGCAATTTTGACAAGAACCTGTGGGACCCATTTCGGACTGACAAAGCTCCCAGCTTCAATGATCTGCACTCCTGCGTTTGCGAGACGTGTTATGAGCTCGGCCTTCACCTGTGTCGGGATGACACCACTCTTTTCATTTTGCAGGCCGTCTCGCGGACCGACTTCGACTAGAGTGACAGCATTCCTTGGGTTTGAAGCAATGGAAGCGTAGGCGCGAGCGATATGTTGAAATCGGGAAACACGGCGGATGCGGAACATGAACGTCGAGGATTAGATGTGTGTCGTGACCTTCTGTCAGCACATCACGCGTTTGGCTCTTGACCGAGCACTGGATGCTTCTGCGCTTACTGAGCCCTACCCAAGCAATTGCAAGACGTATAAATACCGCCAGGTTTCCCGTTGCTGTTCCCTTCAACACCCATAACAACTTACGCTTCGCTCACACCATGTCGTCTGTTCAAGATCTCGTCGAGGTTTGTCTCTCTCATTCAGCTTTGATTGCTGGTATCTGAAGGAGCACAGAACGCCATTGCCTCTAATAAAATCGCCATCTTCTCTAAGTCTTGGTGCCCATATTGTGCTCGTGCGAAGAAGCTCTTCCAAGAGAACTTCCCTGAGGAAACCCCACTTGTCCTCGAGTGTGTCCTATCATTTCTCTTGCTTTCGTCTTCATCTGTTACCATAGACTCGACCTCCGTGACGACGGCGACGCCATCCAGGACTATCTCGAGCATAAGACGGGTCAGTCAACTGTACCAAACGTCTTCGTCAGTACGTACCGTCAGGTCTTCATTCTTACTCCGTTGTTGACGATGTTCTGCCTTCAGACAAGAAACAAGTTGGAGGCAATGACAAAACCCAAGCAGCCTTCAAGTCGGGCGAACTGACACGTCTGGTGCATTTGTAGACGCAAGGCACTCAATCTTGCACGATGTAGTTTGAGACAAAGTAGACTTGGAAGGACTGTTGTAATAGTGTGCTATAGACGTGTTATTCTTCCCTCGGATAGTTATGCCTGATCAACTTGAACGATGTAAGATCAAAAGTCGATGAGTCAGCGTGTCACCGCCACGACGCTCACAGCGGCCACCACAACGCTTTGTTGTTGGCCTGGTGTGCGCATTTCTCTCTCCTCTTGTGCTTGAGGCGCCTGGCTGACGACTTCGAATCCTGCTATCTTTACCCCACTTCAACCATACCATCCAAACACTCTTGCTATTCCTCCTACGCCAGCAGTGCCACCCACAATGTCGACATCATACAAGTCCCTAATGGCCATGTCCGAAGTCCACACACGCACAGCCGAAGCCCAAGCGACTGCGGCCCTCGCCCAGAAAAAGGCCCGAGAGGAACGAGATCGCAAGGCAGCTGAAGAACGTGAGGCGAGAGAACGACAGCTCAAGCAACTCGAAATAAAGAATCATTTCGAGGCTCAGCGGAGGAAAGCGGAGGCCGAAAGAAAGGCAGCTCTGGCCCTGAAGCGTCAGGAAGAGGACCTGGAGAGACGAGAGAAGGAGACCCGGGACAAATTACTTTATGGCCCCAAGAAGGCGAAAGAGAAGGCCTGGCCTACCAGCAATAATCCAAACAAGAGGAAAGCAATCGACGATGGGGATGAATTAAATGGGTCAGTGCTTACGCGGGAGGAGAAGAGACAGAGAAAGGCAGAGGCTGAACGTCGTCGTGACTACCATGAGGCTTCATCTGCCCGACGCTCGTCTCCCAGCGTACTCGGAAACTTCTTGCGGAAGTCGGACAAGACGAAGAAGCGTGCTGGCAATGTTTTGCGAGGTGGTGCGAAAGACATCGTCACAACGCTTTCGGAGGAGGCCGCCAACTCCACCCACACCACATCCCATCTCAACGCGAAAGACCGAATCAAGGCTCAGCCCTCCCACCTTATCAAGCTATATGAAACGCAACGCGATGTCCGCAATATCGACGAGATCCAGCGCGACGTCCGTGCTGTTCATGTTTTACAAGGAGAACAAGCTCGTAAATTTGAATTCTTTCCTTCCCAAACGCCTCCGACGCCTCCCTCACTCCCTCCCTCCCAACCGGTCACTCGACGTTCCACCCCACCCAGAGAGAGGGCCTTTCCCATCAAATCCAAAGCTGGCTCATCAAGCACTGCTATTGCAAACAGAAGAAAGGCCCGGTCTCCCGACTATTCTCGTTCTGCTTCTCCTAATCCACGACGGGCGACAACTAAGCCATCGAAATCGAATGCTGCTCCTAGCTCCTCCAAGTCGCGCCATCGTGATGCGGCTCCCGAAGAGCGTGGTCAGAGCTCAATTTCTGACGAGATTTGGCGAATTATGGGCAAGAACCGGTCCCAGTACATGGAGAGGGACGTTTACTCGGACGAAGAAAGTGATGGTGATATGGAAGCTGATGCGTTGACGCTGGAGCGGGAGGAGTTGCGCAGTAGCAAGATTGCGAGACGTGAAGAACGAGAAGCAGAGGAGGCTGAGCGAAGGGCTATTGAAGAGAAGCGTAAGCGTAAAATGTCAGCGGGCAGGGTTTAAGTTGTTCTCATTCCATCATACTGTACAATTCATCACACACACTGGATCTTTCCTAAAACGAAAGAGCTATTTATCGTCGTACATAAGCATCCACAACCATTTGTATCCCTAGAACACCTTATATTTGCTTCCCAAGTACATGACAGTCACAGCATTGGTCTTGTTCACCTTCCTCATTGTCCTCAGTTCACCTGAATCCAGAAAGTGTGCATTAGAAACTTCGATTCAAGAAAATTCGAAGCTTATCGCGACATTAGTTATTTGGCTCAGCCAGAGGCACCCAACTGCATTTTTATTACTCGGCGTTACCCATCGGCTTTCTCCTTCACTTGGATAAAATTTAGAGGTCCGTTCTCCCATTCTTCACGACACGGGTCTTTGGTGGACATTGCGTTGGCTTCGCGATTCGCTGGCAGCCTCAATTGGCAGTCTGAAGTTTGCGTTTGCGCTTATCTTACTGCTTCTTTGTCTGCCTGCGGCAGTCGAGGGGGGATGCGTGAAACGCGAAACCCAGTTCAAGCGGACGGTCTCTCTGTGCTGGACTGCGAATGCAAGGTGCTAACCCGTTAATTTCCGTGGAGAATTCGAACACCAACATCAACATTGTTTATAATTTGTACTCGCGCGCCACGTTCTCGTCACTCGACCCATTCAATCTCCTTCTGGCCTGCTCACATTTCAAGATTTAGACCAGTAATCAGGCTACTGAGCGTAATGTGCAATCCAAATTCGCTTACTGGCCACTCGCCTCAAAAGGTCCACGGTCGTGGGTGAAAATGGGACTCCCCCTTAGCCCATAGCGCCACACCTTCCGTTCTCGTGTCGGACTGTGTGCCGCTTTTCTCGCTCTGCCTCTGCCATCTGATATCCCCTCCTTTTCTTCTTCCTGCCTCAAACTCGCCTACTGGCACCAAACGCATGGCCGGCCGAAAATATGCCTGGGTATCACTCTGGTTGCGGCATCTTCTTCTGCTTCGACGGCTTCTCACTCATACCTCCCCCTTTCGCAGGTTCCTTCTCACAGCGCCTCTGATGATCTGGGATGCCGGGTATGCTTGGCTCGTTTACACCCAACGAAAATCGCAGTGGGACCTATTTCTCTTGGTAGATATTGTTTAATGCGACCACGGTCGATGCCTGGTGGAGACCTGTACTGGTTTTGGAAGCCTTATGAGCTCTACGGGATGGTTGACTATGTTCGCGGTCTGGGTTCATCTTTGTGGTCTATGCTCACTCGGATTGTGCGACAGGTTTATGGAGTAAAAGCCTACGAAAACGGAGAAGGGTTTGCCAGCGCTGCAGGTGAGTACCAACTGTCTCTCGCTTCCTGAGTAGCGCTGATATCAGTACGAAAGCGATCCTCAATCTTCTCGAAACATTTGCCAACGTCTGTACCTTCATCCTTGCGTTGCGATATTGTCGCATTTACCGTGTGACACTTAGATCGGGTACCTTGTGGGCACTCACGTAGTCCCTTTCGATGCCGCACCGCTCGTCGGATACACTGGCGCGACTGCTACGCTAGCCAAAACAGTGCTTTACAGCTCACAAGAGTACTTTTGCAACGGATGTGCTGTCGGGCATAACACCCCCTTCAATCTTTTCGCATTCTGGGTCTTCCCCAATATGTGCGTTTGAGTATATTCCAGTCAGCTCAGCGTCTAATGTCCAACAGAGTCTGGATGTTGTTTACCGCGGGAATAATGTTGAGACTTGGCTCTGACATGATGGGCGATGTAAAGCGCGCTCGAGAAATTGCTGGGCAGAGAAAAAAGACATAGGATGACTTCGAGGTTAACACCAACTTCCGGAATCAATACAATCTCGCTTTCTAGACGTTTGACGAGTCAGAAGCTTCAAGGGCATCATAAATTCAAGTATAGTTGACTGTTCTGCAAAGAGTACAAAGAGGGGAACTAATAGCTACAGCAGGCACATAAAACATGGATCGCATATGCAAATATAAAGGTCCAGGAAAAGAGACGACGAGCAGAAACCTGACCAAATAGCATCAGCTCCGAAAGGAGCGGGAAAATCGCCATATACTTACCCAATAAGCATCGCTTTAGGCTACAAGGCAGCTTCCGCAGACCGATCTTCATCGAATGTGCCAGGAAGCGAGGTGTCTTCTCGCGAAACTACGCAGCTTCCGCTCGAGCCGTAGCCCTTGTCGGTGCCTTCTTCGTTGACAGGCGGCAGGGGAACCTCTTCAAATTGAAGAGTGGTTGTGGTGAAAGTATCCATGTGGGTTGGTCCGGTTCACGTTGAGAGATAAGTAGTGCGAGTGAGTGAGTGGGCTGTTTCTGAGGAGAATGAGACGAGGGGAACCTTGAGATTTTATACTGGACTTGAGCGGGTCCAGGCGAGCGACATAGCCATCACGCATTGAACTGACAATATCTAGAATTTCTCTTGGGGCTACCTTGCGCGGTCAGAGCTCGATTATAATTGTTTTGCGATGATCGCTTGTGCAGTGGCCAAGCACACAAGACAGAACGGGCACGGAGCGGCACACGGCCTCAAGCAGTGCTATGAGCGCGGGGGCCACAAGCGCACTTGACGAGAGTCGGCACTGACCTGATGGCGCATCTGTCACGCAGTTCATGTGACATCATGTGACCCTCATTCGATTCACCATGCCTGCCATCGGCCCTGCTATCCCAGAGCACCTACTCAACACGTCAACCGCCTCTGAAGACGAAGATGACGATGCTTACGCACCACCTCTACCACCCGATATGGTTGCCGGTGGCTCGACTCTCAAACCCCAACCAACAATCCAAGGACCGTCGATACCAGCAGCATCGGCATACGATGACGACTCAGATGATGATATCGGCCCCCAGCCGCTTCGCTCTGGTGTGGCGTCTGAGGAGAGGGATGCTGTTGCCGAGTTCATTGCAAAGGAAGAAAGCAGGAGAAAGCAAGTCGAAGTGCGTTTTGGGGCTATGCTTCCTACGCCAGCCTGACCATTCACTCACCTGGTAGGAAGCTGCCAATCCTAAGGCACTCAAGCGCGATGAGTGGATGATCGTCCCACCCAGCTCGTCTGGTCTTCTCGGGACCCTCGACCCTGCGAAACTGAGCAAGGGGCGCCAATTCTCACGCGGCACCGTCGTAGAACGTAATGAGGGAGCGAGCACTCTCTGGACAGAGACACCTGCGGAAAGACAGCAACGGCTTGCGGACGAGGTTTCCGGAAAGAAACGGCGGCTGGCCAACAGCGAGGCCAGCTCCGCGGCGGGCAAAGGAGACGATCTGGAGTCTCGAAAACGCGCCCGTGTGGATGCGGAACTACGCGACAGCGTCGCTGAACACACACGAAGAACTCGTGGTGCTGCATTGGTTGACATGCATGCGGCATCAGGCAAGGGTGAAGAGAAAGACGAAGCCAAGGCCATCTGGGATAGAGACCGCGACATGGGCATTAGCGGGAGGCTTATGGATGCGGAAAAGAGGAATAAATTGATTAAAGAGGCGAAGGGACTGGGAGACAGATTTTCGACGGGAAAGACTGGAGGGTATTATTGATTTGGCCTCCAGCAGGTGCGATTTCTTGTCATCTTTAAGCTCAAAGCTCCCTTCTCACCAGACAATAGTCATTCGTACCTTGCTTTCATGATGGTGTCAAGCAAATTCTCTCGGAGTCTGGGACTCACGCGATATGCCACGTAATAAGCACTTTTCAGGCCACTTGTCTTGGGAGATGGCGGAGGACTACACAACCATATGGATGTATCACCAGGCCAGAATCTATTGAGCGCCGAGGCAGTCAAAGTTGGTACCACTTCAAAGGACGCACATGGAGCCAATGTCGAGGCATATCCTGTGTGTGGAGGTGTGTTGACGTCTGTCGGACAGTAGTCACTGTTGACAACCTTTCTTTGACTGTGGCCTGCCAGCAGGCGTACTTGTTTGTCCTCGACACTTTTCTGCATCGCGTCACAAGCTGTGTGCTCGAAGTCTAATTAGCTGTTTGCTTCTCGAGTCAGCGCCCACCGCTAGATTTTTCGCTCGAACAAATCGTATTGGCATGACGTTCCAGATCAGTAACTTTCAAGTACCTGGGAACTGTAGGCAGTTCAAAAAGACCGTGCCTCCTCAGTTTCCGACGGATGGAGAGAAACGGTCAAACGCTCAGCTTGCTGATACGTATGAGGGCCCGATGTTTCATAATGCCTCAGTCCGCATCTCCATCACCAAGTCAATACATCGTTCAAGCTGAGAAAACTAACGTCAAGGTCCATAACAATCATCCTTCAGCTTCAGGGTATGATTTGGCTTGAAGCTTGAATGGCTCTGTGGCGCTCATTCAAGAATAGTTTTGACTTGAAGCAACGGCGCCGCGGCGTTTGTCGCCCTACCGACCAACTTGACTTGGATTATGTCCCGCCCTCAGGCCAACAACTTCTGTAGATCGGGTGGCGGTGGGTAGTGTTGCGAAGACCATGAATGAGTTCACGAAGCACCAATGCGGCTCGAGGTACTGAGTGATTCGGACGGCGTTCCCTGTCATGATCGGTTACTCTGGAGTGGACTCGGCGGACACGGAAACAAGTCAATGATCAACCACTCCTCCTGTGCTCGAAGATAAAATTTACTCCGTGTTGAGCTAGCGGCGCCGCTCGGACTCGGGATGTTGGTCTTCCACATCCAAGGGGTAGATGATCTCCCGCTATTAATCGCGGGTTTCGCTCTATCTCGGCGCCGCTCATACTGGACTTGTTCTTTCATAGCTTCAAGTCATTGTTATTAATTTAGACCTTTCTTTGTCTCTCAACACGTTTTCATCCATTCAGGTTCAAGTGACCTTTGTACACGTCATTTCACTCCCAATACCGAGGTTATACCACCTACTTGAATTCGATGCTGCGCTGGAGAGCGTGGGAATACAGGATCATAACCGCAACTTTTCAGTCACTGAGTCAGCCCGAACTTTTTTACGCTGCTGACTTTGGAGGTGGAGCGGAAGACCGCGGTAGACGGTGGCTGGTTGCCACTGGATTGTCATTGGGTATGAGCAATGAATGGCAACTAGCGCATCTACATCTTGATTCTGATATGCCTCCGCAAGTTTGTGCTGATCCCGATGTGCTGCAATGTGTGGCAGCTGCGAGATTTTCCTTTTTTGGCACCGAAAGTTGATCCGGCACTGCAGGAGTCAGATCGGTGAAAGAGCCCGTGACATGTTTGGTCACACACACATCGCCCCTTGCCTCTTTCCCCCACATCCCCGACTATGGCGGTTTCCGTTCTGCAGCTACCGTCTACAACATCGATGTATTCGTACTCGATGCCGCTCGCGCTCACTATGGCAGGCGGACCCGCCACCGAACTCCGCAAACGGACGACCAGTTTCTCATCTCCCCCCACCGATTCCACGCGACCAAGGAAACGACTTCATCGTACAGAGAGCGTTGTGGATCTTACTGTACTGGCCCGAACCACCTTACCACCATACGCCACTCCACTCACAACCCCTTCACCAATCCCTTACAACCGCACACTCAAGTTCTACAAAGAGCAGAAGGATCGGAAGAAAGGGATAATACGACGCGAAATTCATCCTTCTCCGAGGTCGTGTGCCTCCATTACTCCCCCTGTCCACCCCTCCGCAAATCCAATATTGGATCGGCCCCTGCGACTACCGTCCACATCGCCCCTAGCTCAGAACGATGGCTGTGCTAGAGCTATGGTCCTTCCTATTCCTCCCTCTTCATTTTTGGCTTGTGGTCCGGCCCATCCGCCACCTCCAAGCGCTCGATCGAGATCCAAGCCCAAGGCCCAGGCTGACTTACACCGTCGGGCTCTCACTGCGTGTATGCGTGAGTCACCCGAAGGCGCCAAGATTCTTCGGATGGGTGCTCGGCTTGCAGTCGAAATCATGTCGGCCACGAAAGAGTTGGAGCGGCTGTGTGGGAACTCAGAGAACGACCTGCTGGGGGACGAGGATGCCATGGGAGAAATCGACGATGAAGTTGTTGCGGCAATGGACGACATTGACATGGAAGATGTTGTCCGAGAGCTTACGCCCGAGCCGGAACCTGTTATGAGTGCATCGTGGGTCGTTGTCGGCGGACAGCCTCTGCCTTGTGGCCGTGAAATCGCGCCGCAGAGGGAGGACTGGGAAATGGTTGTGGTTGATTGCGTCGCATGAAACTATGGACCGATGACGAAAAGCATCATGGTCTTCACCTCCCGCGATCCTACACTATGGCCAGCGGAGCTTGATATCAGGCGTTGCTGTTGCCGGTGACACGCATACGCGTCATGGCTCATTAACGTTCATTCGAGCTCCGCAAGGCCTTACACGCTCCCTTTTCGGCCACTTCGCTCGTTGACCGGTTGGTTGTTTGGGCTTTAATCGCTATTTATACTTTGGGACTCGCATCACACTGTACCGGAACCACACTACTGTATACGAAGCTGAACTGTGTTTTACATTACTTACCTACCGAGTAGTTAGTACTTGGGTTTGATGAGCTGTCGACGATTAGTCGCAACTCTGGGCAGCATGAATCAAGTGAATTTCAGCCAACTTGAGTGCAAACAGGAGGTATAATGTCTTAGTACAGATACCTGAATTCTCGACGGTTTTGTAGAGCTTGGCGCACGGTTATCCCTTCCAAATGCGCCGCCTTCTTCACACGATCCTCGTTCGTACCCAAGGGCACCGTCCGTTCCTCGGCAGCCAAGATAAGCTGTCTATTCATCTGGATGAGGCGTTGCCTGATAACTGCAGCAGGTTGTCAACAAAGCCAGGTATGCAAGTATCAAACAAACCGAAGGCGGCTAGGGTGCTCAGAGCAAGCGCAACCAAGGAGATGCAGCAGGACTGGGTATATCGCGGGCCCCAGACGTTCTTCCAGGCGTAGGATCCAACACTGATAATTTGCGTTATATAATGCAGCGCATTTTCTGTGTTCCCTGCTTACAGCGTGCCGATATTTCCTATGCCGTTGGTAATTCCGATGGCTGCAGCACGCTTTCTGGATCTTGGATGTGAGCACACAACTATGGCTTATAACCAGCGTGCACTTACGCTGGAGGCCGCGGAATCGAATTTGCCATCCAAACAAGCGTCATCGCACAGCCTTGTCGTAGGTTTGTCGGGAATTCACAGAGACGAGCTAACGGGTGGGCTTACCAGCATCCCCGATCGCCATGAGAAACATGGCGAAATAGCGTGCCGGGACGGACATAGTGCAGAGGCTGATGATAAACCCCACCATCATTGCCCAGGTCCAGATCGAAATGTGGTAGAAACGCTCGCCGGTTCTATCTAAGTATTTTGGGGACGGTGTGAATGGTGAACAAATTAGAGGGGGGGGTAACGAACCCGCATGCCATGCGCTTAGAACACAAACAACCGCTGCGAGAAGCCAGGGAGGACTGTCAAGTTGACGATCCAGCATCAGCCTGAATATCGCTGGGAGGAAATGACTGCAAACGCGGTGAGGAGGAGGGTCTTCGTTGTCGAAAACCCGAGAGTCTTCGCAACACTGGACAGTCTTGTAAGAGGTGATCACTTGGAATGAGGATATACACACGTTGGAAAGAATTGGCCAACACTTCGACCGAGATAGTGCGTGACTGGGGAGAAATTGATTCGGAAACAGGTCGTCTCAACATAACAGGAAACCCACAAAGCATCAACGAGAATAGCCACGTCAATGGATCGGCGATGGCAAGTTTGAAACCTTCCAAATGCCTAGTATTGAATGTAATAAAATAGAGAGAATGAAAGAATAGAGGAGTACGAACGATGTAACCCCAGTGTCTTGGTCTGCCTCACCTGCATCTCCAGACAGACGCGCTTGTGCCAGACGACTTTCAAGGTCGTTTATCCAGCGCGTATGACGAGGCTGATTACGACATTAGATCACCTATTCGAAAAAATTGGACAAGCCACAAACATAGTCGGGCAGCAACCACCTGCAATGAAATCAGAGAGAAATGGATGGAGAGATGGAGGGATCTTTACATGACGCAAAACCCCAACAGGATGGTTGTAGAGCCCTGTGGACCTGTCGGTCAACAGAGAGATTGCGGGGAGTCAGAAGAACAAGACCTCGATGATGAACAACCTATTGACGATGATGAATCAAGACATTGCTATGTTTCAAAGGACACCATACCATCTCCAGCCTTCAATTCCCGAGACTCCATGCATCCTAGAAAGGATACCAGCTGCAACTAAAGCACCAAATGCATTTGCGAGGTCGAGTCCGGAGAATAGGATGGCCGCCCTGAAGGCGAGCTCTTTCTTTGTGTACCAGCAGGAGAGAAGATAGACAGCTTCATTAATGGGTGCATGAGTGGAGAGGACGAGATATAAGATGATACACACCGCCAGGGTAGAAAGATCCTTCCGGAAGACCAATGAAAAGCCGACATGCCAAGATCCCGCCATAGCTTGTGGTGACGCCGGAGAGTGCACTTGCCAGCCCCCATGCAACAACACAGCTGCCTATGTAGATGGACGGGCTGCTAAATGTGTTAGCGCATATGGGCACAGACTAACGAAGAAGTCGAACCGCTTGACTTTATTGAGGATCTATCATGGTCAGTTCCAACAATTCCATATTATGAGACGACGCTACTCACCATATTTGACAGCGGCTGCCCAAGGGAGAGAGTCACGAATAAAATTGAAAGGACTGCATTGTACTGAATATCTTGTAGGAATTTAGAGGCGCGAATCAAAAGCTTGCTGAACGAACCTGAGAGATGTAGGTCGTGCTCAAAGCCCTTCAACCGAGCAGCCGTGATCGCTGAGCGCTGTCGGAAAGCGGTTAGAAAGCTGGCAAGCGCAGGGGGAAACCGCACGCACATTGATATAGTTCATCACATAGACGACAAATATTGCAGGTATGAGGCGCATATCAAGCTTGTGCAATAGCATTCGCTCTTCCTTGCGCCGTTGGATGATTTGGCTTGGAGTTTTCTCAACATCGCTTGTCTGAGAATCGTAGGTTTCCCTGCGGATGCCCATCGAAGGGCGGCTGCCAGTGGGTGCCTTCGCGCTCGAGCTTGACTCTGACATGCCCAGCTGAGAGGATGACGATGAAGGTTTCTGGTTTGCGTCCATAGTGGACGTAGTTGCGGGGAGTGACTGAAAAGGCCTCAGCTATGATAGAAGATTGAAAGTATGGAAGCCAACTCCACAGACGGGAAGAGCTTCGCACCTTCTATTCGGAACCGCGAAACCAGAGCGGCCATTCCAACCCAGGTCGCCTTCCTTCCATCATAGGTAGCGCTGGTATTGGACTCATTCTTGGGTCTTCGAATCGTGGAGCAGTGGGAGCACTGGCGAGCCACTGCGGCAAAAAGCAAGCACCTTGCGAGATATTCGAGGAAAGCGACATTTCGAGGCAAATATCTGACGAGGTCAATGGAACCAGGAAAGAAAATCATACATGTTCTCACGGATCATCATTCGCATCATCTGACATGCGATCAGCTCCGGGAAGTATGACGCGGGTTGCGGTTCGCCGTTGAAGATAGAAGACAGCATTCGCTCTCTGTGCTGTTCGTTCCGACTTCTTGCGACACAACGCTGACCGGGAAGCCGACAGGCTGGTAATCTTCCAGAGGTAAACGAAATTACTGTAACTGTTGTAGACTTTACGAGTGCAAACCCTCCTGTCGATCCTAGTACCCAACTCCACTCGAGAATGAACACGTTTCATCTGATTCACGAACTCCCAGGCCGTCGTAGACGACAGAATGCGCCAAGTTCATGGCCGACGAGAACGCCAAAAAGATCTCCGATGTGAATGTCGACGACTACGACGCCATCTTCTACACTGGTGGCCATGGTCCGACTATAGACCTCCCAACCTATACTCCCAACATAGAGCTTGCCGCCAAGGTGATGATGTGGTACTTACATCCGCCAGTTGTTGACGAATGGTTATCGGAGCGGAAAAATAAATAGTGCGGTCTGCCACGGACCGGCCGCCCTTGTGGCTGTAACCGATGCACAGGGAAAGAACGTTTCGCAGGAAAACAAGTGACAGGATTTTCTGACGAAGAGGAGATCTTGGTGAGCCAAATCATTTTGTGTTTTGGCGTTGCAGCTCATCACAGGCCATGCAGATGGACACAGTCAAGGTTTGTAACTGACACTTGTGTTATATCGCCAATTGCAACTCGTTTGACCTGATGACAGGACGTACTGGGAGGGAATTACGAGAAGGGAAGCCGTGGGATGTCAAAGTTCTTGTGCAAGGAAACTTGATCACTGGCCAGAATCCTGCGTCGGCGTTGAGTATGGGACAGGACTCGGAGATTCTCAAGGCGCTTAACAACTAGGTTGTCATCGAGGGTCATAAATTTGTAACGCAATTGTTTTCTCGTCACGATAATCCATGACCCATGGCTCGAAAGTGACACGTGGAACGTCCGACAACGCATTGCGATAGCTCATTTCGGAGAGACTAGGCCACAATGTTCCCGTGATACACACTTCCTCCAATTGCGTAGCTTCCGAGCACAAAACAAAATTCGCGAATGAAGCGGCAGGATTCCAAAGCAAAAAGCTAGCGGGGACGCGGACAAAGCAGAGGTTTGGCGTGTAAAAGATATCGAGGATACGTCGAGGCGAGTTGCGCGTGCCGTCGCCGACAGACTTGATACTATTCAAGCAAAGGAACTTGAGCTTGGGTAGATAAACACGACCGTTGCGATGGTTTTGCAACCACTCGGACCAGATTTCATCGCGTGGCCGGCTGGTGGACCTACTCGACAAATTCGGCTGTTCATTCGTGTAGAGTGCACAGTACGTGAGATTGACAACCTGGTCTAGCAAGTAGAGATGTTCTGGAGTGGTGGCTAGCAGCGTTAATGAAGTTAAATTTGCCCATGGAAGGTCGTGGGCATAGCCATAGCCGAAACTTGGGCACCACAATGAAGCATGGCGAAGTTGTGGCACTTGGCTGGCGGGAATCCGGAACGCAGCAGACACCCTAGAATCGGATGTTCGTAGCCGTAATGACCGAAGAAGAGGAAGCTCCGGTCCTTCTGTGAACAACAGTCGCAGGTTATTTTGCGAGAGACAAGCTTTTAGGTCTGTGATTCTCGCTCTCGTCGCAAAGATAAGTCGGAATAAGTATTTGATGCGGCCGGAGAGGGTCACCCTCGATATGGATAGATAAAGGCATTGTGGGCCCACAGCGAGCAAGTTGGTATTCCGTTGCGTGTAATTGGGCAGTTGGTCGTGAAACCAGGTTGTGCGGTATTGTTACTGTTCGCCAGAGCTCTGGAAGATTCAGCACGATGTTACGCCACCGTTTACAAACGAGCGTGAGGCAGCTAAGAGAGTTAGGTCCGGTCCATGGAGAAGCAAACCCAAAGGGTGGGACATAGCGAAGGAAGATCTCAATCATCACTTCGTTGGGAATGCTCTCCTCCAAAGTATGCCGTTGAAGGCTCATTGATAGCAATGCGTCAGATAGTGACAGCTCTGTTGAGTCCATTTTGTCGCTATTGAGGCATTGAGCGCATTGAAAAGGAGTGATCATGAACGTTCAGGCCAAAGTTCTTTAGCAACTTTCACACATGACTTTTTTTGGGGGTATCGAAGGTTTCTAGCACTACTCAATGTCATCCCAGACCTCCTCAGGCAGCCTACCCGCCAACCACATCGCACCACAACTGAGCACGAAAAATACAGCATAAACGAAGTATCCACCTAGGAGATTTTTTTGTACGGAGATCGAGAAAAGGGAGGTACCCAACGCCGGACCAATAGCGCGCGCAATAGAAACAGACGTCTGTGAAAGCCCATTGACGGTACCGCGAGATGACTTTGGAGAGGACGCTATGACGAATATGAATATTGAACCTGAGGTCTCTGGTTAGATACGATATGTACTAGCACTGCTGGCAGCAAACTCACTGAAGGAAATGTCCATGATCGCGCCGGACAACAGTAGACACCCTATCAGGGCATAGATACCCCACCAGAGTTCACCGTTGGCCTTCGCGAGCAAGTTCATGATGGGAAACAATAAGAAAACGAAGAAATTTGTCGACATTCCTATCATGAATGTCCGCTTTTCGCCAACCCAGCGTACCAGCCGAGCAAAGAACAAGAGATTAAAACAACCCGTTGCAACACCGTAAGCACTCAAGATCAGACCAATCTGGGGCGGATCTAGGCCTAAACCGCCCACCCCGATAGGCATGGTGAGGAAAAGCGGAATTAGGGCAGCAAGGCTGGTGTTGAGAAATCCAAGTGCGACATAATTGGAGATCGAAAGCAACACTGGCTGAGTCAACAACTGTCGCATGGGTAGTGGTCCTTGTCGAGGGCTTGGAGTACTTGGCGGCGACTCTAGCGAAGGTGTACCAGGTTCAGAGGGTTGTTGCTTGTGCGTCTTCCATGGGACAGTCTGTTGTTGTTTCAACTTCAGTGATTCTCAGATGTTAAAAACGCAGACCTCCCGGAAGAAGAGTAAGACGATGAACCATGAAATCACCACGATACTTCCTGTCACCAAACATGGCAGGAAGTATGGGAACTCTAGCCAGAATCGACTAGAGAAGAAGTGCGAATGGGGAAAACGGTCGTGTGGACGAGCTAAGGAGCCACCAATTAATGGACCTATAGATGCCTGTGTCCTCTCGTTTAAGCAGATGATCAGAAGTAATTTGAGTTAGTACATACTCCTGCTGCCCAAACAACTGCGAGGAATGGTTACATTGGTATATGCGGAAGTGCAAGGAAACTTTACTTGGAAGGAATACAAAAGCCTCCGCCCGATTTGTTCTGTCTGTGAGGTCACCCAGCGCTGATTTCATTACACCCACATTTCCTGATAGAAGGCCACAAAGACATCGGCTGGACAAAGCAGCATTGAGTATATATCGAGAACAGGTACTAATAATGTTTCTTACCTGATGACTAGGGTGACAAACGTTCTACTCAAGCCAAAGCAGAAGATGGAAAGAGCAGTCCCGAATATGCCAATGAGCAGTATTGGTTTCCGCCCAACGACGTCTGATGCTCTACTCCATTGTAGTGTGGCCATAGCTTCGGTGAGGAAGAAGAGGGCTTCCTGTATAACAACGTGATCATTAGAGTGGGAGTTATGGATACGATAGAGAATATACTCAACTATCTGTGCAGAGAAAATGTGGCTAGGTCAAGCTTTGAACATCAAGAACTAGCATTGCGTTCGCACCATTCCACTGTCAACATGTCAAGAAAGTCAGTGAGGATAACACGAGGATAGTTGAGTCATACGCATAATATCCAACTTTCTTCTCGTCCCCGCCTGTTATGTCGAGCTCGCTGATCAACTAGACACGACTCAGCAAGGCAAGGTCGAGTAGAGGGCATCCATGCCTGATTTATGTAGGGATATATTGACTGGCTCGCAATTGGTTCACATGTTTGGATGAGCAGAATAATGGACAGTTGCTTCCAAGGAAGTGGCGTGCGTTTGTTTTTGGAGATATGGTCTTGGGGGAGCAGAGACGTTTGTTCAGTGAGGACAGGCTGAACGACTGCCGCCATCTGTGAGGGTGCGGCTTTATGTATAGTCGAGTGAGAATGGGCGGAGAGAGAGAAGCGAAGCCGCCGCATTCTTATCGTATCACGAACTTCGCAAGTACATAATGACTGGGAGTCATATCGGATGCGAATTACCGAGTATGGCCGATCGAAAACGGCGGTCGTCTCTTGCAGAACTTTTCTCAACGAAATTCAGCTCTCGAGTCTGGACCACTTTTTGCTTTCTGCCTGAACAGAATAAGTCAGTCTGACGGGTAAGCGCCCATTTGACCTGCTTTGAAGGACCAGATAGGTAGTCCATTTGACAAACAACATATGTGCTGTAGTCTTTCAAGTTGTGAGCTTATCGGCTTGAAAAGAAAGTTGACATACTGATAGGTTTCTTAGCCAAACAACCTCATTACTGGACTCCGACCACGATGGTGGTTGTGATTGGGGGATTTGAAACGCGGCGTGACCATCAACAACTTGGAACTTTCACGATTTCTTCCACCTCAATGTCCGCTGCTACTGGCGCTATAGACGAAATAATCGACCTCACTGGAGATACTACTGCATCTGGATCCGAGGATGATGAGGAAGAGGAACAAAATGATCTTGAGCAAGGTAGCTTTGACGAAGACGAACAAACGACACCCACGCTCGACCAACTGAACGCAGCGATATCATCCGCTCCAGTAGCCCGACTCCAACTGATACTTATCCGACTCGCCAAGAAAAACCCTGCAGTCCGCAAAGCGCTCACGAAAGAGTTGTTGACGATATCTGGCCCACCAACCGCGCCGGTCAGAGTGATACCGCGCTGGGAAATTTGTGAAAACTGTGGAAACTCGTATGATGTGAACGTGGCCGAAGATAATGAAGATTGTGTATTCCATCCAGGTTTGCTTTGCTTTGCTTAAGCGATTTAATTCGACTACTAGATCACTGACGAACTTGGCAGGTGACCTTGAAGTTGAAGACGACAAGTTTGTGGACTGGGACGAGGATTGCCACGGTCCAATGGACACCCGCTCCAACAGACGCGAATTTCCCGAGAATTTTACCTGGAGTTGTTGTGAAGGGGATGGAACAGCCGGCGGATGCGTCAACGGAAGACATCGGCCGAAAAGCAACAAACGGCAACGGTTCTAACACATCTCTAAAGCTGGATTCCTTGAGTCCTTACATAAGCTTGAGACAGCTTGGTCGTAAATCTTGGCTCGATCTTTCTTTGAACAACTTGAAAGGCGCTTTGTTCGACCCGCGCTTTGTATCGACTTGAATCAGGATAAAAATGCAGTTGTTTCTCGTCCACCTCAGACCTCGGAAGCAACTCTCAAAACAGACACCAACGCGTTAACCATGTTGTCGCCCCCGTCCAGCCGTGGCTCTTCTCCTTCGCCGTCATTATTCCTCGGTTCAGACTACTCATATAATCCGCGAGGCAGCTTTTCCTCCATAGCTTCTTCAGCGGACACTCCCCTATCTACCCCGCGACCTCTGCATGCACCACCCCTGGTGGCCAAGGCTCATAGTTGGGAAGGTGCCCAGCTTACCCGTCGACGACCAGGCAAACTCGTCAAAGCTAAACGCAGCTTCCATAAACCCGAAGGTGGCAACGCGTCTCTTGTGCGCAGGAAATACTCTGTGCCGAGTGTCATCGTGACCAAGACTGACGATTCGGAGCAGAAGGACCAAACTAGATTCCTACATCCAGGTGAGAGCCACACGTCTTCAACATGAGTCGGTGCTGACGTGGCATATATAGGGGTACTCACAACTCAGACCTATATCTTTGTGCTCGGACTGAATCCTGACGGTAGTGAACAGCACGGACCACCGACAGAACTTGTCATGTGGACTTGTTGTGGCGAGGAAGAATGCGCCATCGGTTGCGCGTTGTTGATCTGCTAAATTGTTAGTTGCACTTCCTGTGATGACTTGGAGTAAATAATATGGACCCGCGAGCGACAGAAGCTCGCTTCAAATCACGTGCATAGTAGGGTGGCATAGTCCATTGTTCTCTATCTCAATCAATGTTGAGTATTTTCACCTGAATTTTTTTTCAGCATATTCCTGGCTACTCAGAGATTCATTATACCAAGTTTCAGGGCAATAGACGGATAATTGACCATGTTTGAGGACATTCTGTTTCCCATCAAAAATTGATTGTACCGTTGGAAAACGGCATTGGGTTCCTCACGTGCTTTACCGGATATGCTCGCTTCGCTCGCAAAAAGTGAACTGTATCGCCTATTTCATGGGTGGTGGAAAAGATTGAGCTAAATGAACACGTCGCCCTTTTGACTCATTGTCCATTGAAGTGGGTTGCGTATTATTAGACAAGAGACAGGATGTAACGTGCAGGAAATTCGGGTGCAGAAAGGTATGTAGCAGCAGTGGTAAGAGCGAACGGGAGATAAGGAGGTCGCAGTCCATGATCACTCTTCGCAAGAGGGCCACATCGACTCCCAACGCAATTTATAGACACTGTCAATTGGGTCAATTCTGGTGATCTGGGTAACAGCAGGCAGACATACGCCAATAAGGTCCTGTGACTTGGTGTTCATGATGAGAGCGACGATCAGGCCGTAAAGACCCAAAACTTCAGCGAAAATGAGGATGAGAATCTACACAGTCGACTGACTTCAGTATAATCCATACTAGTCGAAATAACACACCATGCCAACGAAAAGTCGAGGCTGTTGAGCGGTACCGCGGACACCAGCATCACCAACGATACCAATGGCAAAACCCGCTGCAAGTCCCGCAAGGCCGACGGAAAGACCAGCACCGAGTTGGACAAAGCCTTGGGCGAGAGTCATGGCGACTTTGACTATACGACGGCCATTAGGAATGAGCTGCTCAGAAGGCTATACGCACGGTCGGAGGCGATGAGGACGGAAACGACGAGACCATAAATCTTCAAAATGGGTCGGTTGAGAGATACGGGTGGGGCAGTTGACATACAGCGATGATACCAGCCATGATGACAGGGACCACACACTTCATCATTTGGTCTGGACGAAGAACGGACATGGCGGCAATACCGACGCCAGATTTTGCTGTACCATAACTGCGCAAACAGGCGCTGCGTTAGTGCTCGTTGAGTTATAGGAAGAAAGGAGGGCGGACCTGGCTCCAATGCCTACAACGAAAGAAATCACATGTCAGCTTTGGGCCCCATAACCTCCAGTGGATTTTACGAACAAGTGAAGACGATGGCGCTCGTGCAGCCCTAACAAATAACTCTGGTTTTAGTATGACTGTGCAGAGCTTAAGCAAGCAGACTAACCATAGCGCTAAAGAAAGGCGCGTATACGGGACAGAGGTCTGATACTGACATTGTGAGGAGGGACTGGAGTGAATGGACAGTGAGCAAGAGGGACGACGTGGATAGGTCGACAAGAAGGAGCGTGACGGTAACGGCGTGACACAAGCCCAAGGCCAACCACTTTTCTGTCAAATCTTAAAGCCGCTTCACTAGGCCGCACTCTGGAAGTTAGCTTGAAGCTTGGAGTCCAAGAGTTTTAGACTCCAACGTCCACGTTCACTCATCTACCGATACTCTTCGAATAACTACATGGCCCTCCCACTTTCGCCTGTTGCACATGCCTTCAAGACCCTCCTGATTCCTGAATTGACTCTTTACCAAATGAGTTATCTCCGAAGTATGCGTGTTCTTCGAACTTGTAACTGTCGTACCCCTTCTGCTTAATCGGACCATTGTCATTTGCGATAAACTAAGTGGTACTGAATCTCGCTTTTCGGCTACCTATCGACTGACAATGAAGACAGGCTCCATTCCATTTCTCCCCTCTGAAACCGAACCAGTCCTATACTTAAGAGGCCGACTCTCTCTTTTTCATTCTGCCTCTTGATGTCCGTCACTGACGTCCGAACGCCCACGGAGCGGACCACACTCCTCTCTCATCCTGTCAACCAACGAACACCTCTTCAACATGCTCAACTTGCTATCGTCATGCTCGTCCAAATCTGCGAACCCTTGACCAGTCAATCTATTTATCCCTACATCAACCAAGTGCGTATTCTTCATGCTATACGTTTTAGCATCTAACTAGAAAAACCTAGCTCATCAGCGAGCTTGATATCACTGGAGGGGACGAGAAAAAAGTGGGATACTATGCGTATGACTTCCCTCGAACGTGCATCGCATCTGTTGACCACTGAAAGCGGAATGGTATGCATGCTTTGACCTTGTGCTCGCCCTGATTTCAGCCTAGATAGTGAGTTATCTATTCTTCTCTCGGACGCTTACTGACTATGGTTTAGGAAGCCCTCTTTTTCCTTGCTGAGGCTATCGCAACATTGCACTGGAGTCGCGCCTCGGACGCTGTTGGTCGAAAACCGATCCTCCTGATTGGATTGTTTGGAAGTGCGATATCCATGTTAATGTTTGGGTTAAGTCGGACGTTCTTGACCCTGGTCATAAGGTAACCTTTTATACACAAGCGACATCAGTATACCATGACACTTCTGCAGTCGGTCTCTCTGTGGCCTGTTGAATGCAAATGTCTCGGTAATGAAAAGCACGCTTGGTGACCTTACGGACCGAACAAATCGTGCTGATGCTTTCGTCTTCCTTCCGAGTATGTCATCTTGGTCTGCCATTATCTTGACTCATAAGGCGCTCAGTTGTATGGGCTACCGGTGTAAGTATTTACTACGCTATTCCAAGACAGTTCACAAATTTCATAGGCATCCCTTGGCCCACTCATCGGTGGCTCTTTGGCTCGCCCGCACGATCGCTTTCCACAGTCGACCTTCTTCTCAACTCATTTCTGGCTTCGATTCCCTTATTTTCTTCCGTGTCTGGTTGTCAGCGGTTGCGTGATCGTTGCCTGGAGTGTTGTTTTGGCATTCTTGAAAGAGGTCTCGAATTTCTTCGACGTTGTTAATTTGCTCATGGCTTAATAATGACAGACTGCTCCCCGCAAGCGGCAAGTCCCAACAAGCAAACATCCCACCAATAGTCGCCCCGAAGACCGATACGGAGGCAATACCTCGATACCCATGCGTCAATTGATGACGTTCCCCGTTGTCGTTTCAATCTCAAATTATGTCGTCCTCGCCTTGCTCAACATCATCATCGTTGCCTTAATCCCGCTGTTCCTCGCCATGCCCATCACTATCGGTGGGCTGGGTCTGGATCCACCGAAGATCGGTTGGATTCTCTGCATATATGGTTTTATAACGGGGCTATTCAATCTCTTTTTCTTCGCGCGGCTTGTACGATGGATTGGAGAGAAGCGAATGTTCGTCTGGGGGTTATCAACAACTCTCCTAATTTTTCCGCTCTTCCCGCTGATGAATGCACTGGCAAGAGAGAGAGGTGAACTGTGGTGGGGCGTATATGCTCTAATCACTTGCCTGTTATTTCTCGGGTCCATCATGGACGTGTCGTTTGGTGCGTCTAGCAAGTTCCGACATCCATCTCTGACAGACCCTCTGAACTTAGGTGCGATATTCATGTTTGTCACTGCGTCCGCACCGGCGTCTTCTCGTGGAGCGGTTAATGGGCTCTCTCAAACTTCAGTTTCTTTGGCACGCTCAATAGGCCCAATTTTGGGAACGTCTCTGTTCTCGGTCTCTGTGCAGAAAAATCTACTGGGGGGATATTTTGTGTATGTTGCACTCTTTTCCTTGAGTTGCATAGCCGTGTGTCTGGCGGATAGGCTACCAGACGACGTATGGAACGACATTGAGTAGGCATGCCAATCATCCAATAAAAGTTGTTCCCAAATGCTTTCTAACCCATCTTCTGTACTACCTTGCATAAAGTTTGGTTGAAATTTCGTTAGTTTTTTGGTGGTCAAAGCTTGACATGCACAAATATTAGCTCGAGCCGGACTTGGTGCAATTTTGACCCGCCCGTGAATATTGGTCTCCGTCGAGGATTTTCATTAATAGTTTTTTTCGAGCTCGTCTTTCGCATCAAGATGAATTGAATGGTCCAACACCCTGCTGAAAAACGCAATACCGCATTGACGGGATGAAAAACGAAGGCTCTTTGTCGACAGATTGCGCGCAGTTGACGGGAGCCGCTTGCGGCACGTCCTTGAGCACGTCATACTTATGCATAGCCGATATTAGACGAAGACGTCGCAGTGGGAGAAGGGGAACGCGCTACCCTTCACGGTTTCACCGACTGGAGTTTAGGACTTGATTTTGGAAGAGCAGCGCTGTCTGGGGCTTGAGATTGAGAGAGCATTTACATAATACAAGGTTTGCAAAACGTACCAGGTAGCGGCTGATAGCATCCCCAGGAATCTTCACATTCTTCAATCTTGAAGGTGAGCATGCGTGTGGTCAGAGAGCTGCGCTGCTGCAGACGCAGTGTTTGGTGGCGACAGGCACTGAATCAGTCTGCATGAGTGTGACACTACTCTGAGACGAGAGAAAGAAAAACAAGTAATTCTCCTGTCATTGGGGACGGTTTATATTCCAGCCTTAGCAAGTCAGACAGAGGTGGACAGGAGCATTTATATGGAGAAGGCAGAAGATGCAGGTTTTATTTGCCGATCACGGTCTCGTGATGGCCAATCTCTGTTACTTCACACAACCATGACCGATTCTCTACCGTTCGACGTACTCATGGAAATACTGCCTTGGATAGAGTATAAGGACCTTCCGGCGCTGGCATCGAGTAGCAAAGCTATGTCTATACTAGCTCTCGACCGCTTGTACGCCTCAATCCCTGCACAATGTTTCCTCGGCGCGGGCACATCAATTTGCAACAACCCAACTCTTGCACAGCGAGTGCTGTCGTTAGAGGTGAATCGAAAGCACAACGGCAAAAACTCCGATATTGTCATTCCCCTCCTCAGCAATGTCCTCAATACCACCGTGAATCTACGACATCTCGTCCTCCACATGGGAGGCTCATATTGCAAAGTTTTGCAATTCTCCAGATTCCAACTTCACACCTTGTCCTGTCATGCGTTCACCGACCATCATCTTATAACTTTTCTTCGACAACAAACGGAACTGAAGGAACTTGTCCTTGCGCATTCGCTACCACCCATTCCAAAGGGGAGGAGCCACCCATGGAAATTCCAGCAACTTGAAAGTTTCGATGGACCATGGACATGGGCTGAATCAATACTGCCCAAAACCCCGTTATTGTCTCGTCTTATGGTCACGTCTGCACCTTCTCGCCCGTGTAATTTAAAGGTGCTTGCAGATGCGCCGATACGACAGTTACGAATACCATTCCCTGCAGTGGTTCCACAAGGTACCGCGGACCAAATACGACAACTTATTCCGCGTCTTGATTCTCTCGCCATCCTTTTGGATACTGGTTTTATGAGCCTACTCAAGGTATATTATTTTCTTTCACATAGGAACAAGTGGTGTTTATACGCTATAGACTAATCCTATACCTGCACTGGAGCAGTGGCTTATCACAACACTTTCAGCTGTGACAACGATTCGTTGCTTAGCCATATATGGATTCCGGACCTCAGATCGCCAAACAAGCAACACTATCAACTTTATTCAGAACGTCACAGCAGAGGCTCCGAGAGTGCTCGAGGTTTCCATTGTTTATGGACCCCAAATGGATGTGGATGCCGGAGCAACTTGTGTTTGGAAGAGGGTGTCGGGACATGACTGGGACTCTACAGAAACTTCAGTTGAATGGGCATAAGTATGCATAGGCTTTGTATCTTGCTCGCTCAACAAAACATAGGGTTGACACATAAAACAGCCCCTCCGAATGTCGTCCTACCAATATCGATTATGCTCCTGAAAGACCTAGGCCGCAGTCAGACGAGCGGATAATTCAACTTGCGACGAAAAGTTCAAATATTGTGGATGCGACATAAAAACCTTGAGCAGAGTACGTCGCCAACATCGAAGTCTAAAAGGCGTCTGCCGACCATGGACGCTATTGGTAACCAGTAAGAGTTTCCCACCTTCTAACGCTTCACCAATAGAGAGACTACCTCGGAGGACAAGAATCCAATCGGTCCACAAAGACATCGTCCGCCGATTGCAATCGAGGTAAGCAACTGATAACTTAACAGTTAAATTGCGAGTACGCGGCAAATACAGTTTACCACAATATGGCGCATACCACAAGCCTCGCCAAAGTGACGAGAATCCAGCCAGATGTTACAACCACAGAAGACCTCGACGCGTCGGCAAAGTGGTTTATCACGGCGACCTCGTTGGCACCCTCAATTCCCACCACCGGCCCGATATATTTCCGGCTTAGCACTAGCCCAGACTGGGACTGGTATCCGTTCGGACCATTGGTCTTCGAGGAGGAGTCCATACTTGAAACTGTGGTACTTAAGTTACTAGAGAAAAGTGGTGCCTGTCGATTTGCGCCACGTGCTTCATCCTTCGGCAGATCTCGGCAGGGCAAGATTGACGTCGGCTAGCTCGGCTCGGCAGAGACCTGACCGAAACTCGGAGGAATGCTGGATGATTGGGAGGACCACCTGCTGGAGGATGATAGCTAGAATGTGGCAGGAACAACAGAGATAACACAGCAGTCCATCTCGACGGTGTTTATTACACTTTTTGCGCGCTAAACCCATTTGTTTTCCCATTCGATGTCGTGTGACCAAGTCTCCATTACGCCACCTTGGCTGTTTTCCTCGGTGCTCCATACTTTGGCGCCGACTCTTGCTGTTGGACTCCAGCTTCAGGACTAGAACGGCAAAGATCCTCCACATGCGAACCTTATTCTGTCGAGTCCTTCTATTATGCTGTTTGTTATTCCATCGGCCCTGAGCCACATTCGGATACAAAAGCCTTTATAAACGGCGTCTTCCGAAGCGGAATATTCTTTCTTTCCTTGCATATGTTACGATAAAATACTCCATTTCGGCTGCTGGTTGCTCTCTTTTCGCAGCAACAACCACACTCGAGGCCCATTCTTGTCTGGCAAATTTGGCCAGCGATGGCACATGTAGCGGTCTCTGGTGCGTCGTTCGACTGAGTTTTCCTCTTATCTTGTGCTTAGAAATAAACAGCTTCGCCTATGTGGGCCCCCCACCCAGATGGCGTTGTGGCCTCTTGGCCACCCAAATTCTCGTTCTGTCCATCTCCCCCACAGACGCGGAAGTCGACACGTCAATGCCGCGCGGAAGACGACGAGGACGCGATGAATGGAGTCCTGCCACTGTCACTGGGTTTCGTTTCTCCCCGTTCGCCGACCAAAGCCATTCCCAATCGACCTTCGCGTTCGAAATCGCTCAGCGCAAGTGTTCCCTCCACTCCGACTGGGCTCTGGCGCCCAGTTGCGCCGACAAAGCCCACAATGAATCATTCAATGAAGCATGACAATGTAGCCGAGCCACTCGCTCTGGTTGGCGCTGAGCGATGCACCCACCCACTTTCCGCTTCTCGTCGGATCCGGCTATCTTCCGTTGACCACACATCACCAGGTCCACCTCCGAGTCCACGCCCTGCAGCACGCAAACTTCCGCCTCGCTTGCAGTCGGTTCCTCCAGCACCGACAGACATATACACACCTTTGCATTCGCACAGACGTGATTGGGCCGTTCCGCTTTCCCCGCCTCCTCGCCCACCTACTCCCGAGCCAACCGAGCCTGAAGACGATGCGGACCCACACAGCTACGGCCCCATTCTTTCCATATCTTCTTCACCTGCTCTCCTTCTCGCAACTCCGCCGCCACCCTCGGTTCTCTTTCAGTGGAGTCAACATGAGCACACATTTAACCGCCGTTGGTGCCAACAGAAGAGACAGAACCGATATCTCCCACTTGTCGTCTCTCCTTTAAATCCCTTGAGGGACTCAATGCCACTATTCTATTGGCGTTCAGTTGTCCCGTCCATATCGATAACAAGCACCAGCACTGGAGCCGGCGCAAAAATCGAGTGGAATATAAAAAAACCATTGCCCTCCCCGACGCTGAGAACAAGGCTACGGTCAAGATTGTCAGTAGCCCTCAGTGACTCATTTCAACATGCACTGACTTTTTTTATAGAGCATGCGATGAAGCAGGCGAGCATCTCTCCGCTCGACAACTCTTCTCTGGTAAACTGCGACACCACTGCTCTGTTTGCGCAAGAGACACGCTTTGCAAGCGTCTTCTGCTGTTCAATCATTGGATTAACCGTGCTGATATCGAACTTGAGCATGCCCTCCAGCTGGTTGATGCGGACGTGGAAATGGCCCCTATTGACGAGTTTCCGAGACCCGTCTGCATACACCATGACAATTTCGACGCGCGCATAGAAGACGGGCAGGCTATGGAACAAGATGCATTTGCCGTCCAATGCCATCCAGAGTGTGAAGCCCTCCAGTCTTTTTGAACTGATATTGTCGTCATTTGCATCTTCAAGCATTCGTACTTACACTCACACGAGACTTGTACCATCTAGTAAACTGTAATTACCTATACCTACGTGAATTGAAATCATTACCTAGGGAGGACACGTTGGGTAAAATATTTTGTCAGTTTCTTGCCATGGTCAGAGCGAGCGCTAAATGTCGAAATTGAAGCATTGGTGGCTCCGGACCCAGGCGGTCTGGGGAAGAAGAAAGCTGACTCTGAACAGGTGAGCTCGACAGCCTTACCCCACCAGGCGGTCTCCCAACGTAATTCAACGACGCGCAAGCCTCTCGGCACCAGCATGGCACACGCGACGAACGTGAGTCTGACTTCGACTCCGTCTTAACAGCATTTGGGTGACTCGGACGTCTTCTGCCAGAGAGTGAAAGCACAGCATTGCGGGCTACCAGTAGGCAGTGCCAGTCAGGCTGAACAGTGTGAAACTGGATCGCTGAGGATGACAGAAGGTTCGATATTACGATCAACAACAGTTCAACAACGAAAGAGAGAAAAACGGCGCAGGAGAGCGCACACACCCTCACACAATAACACCAAATAATTACTACAGCACACTATTACACCCACCTTCACGCCGCCGCCCTGAGCACAACGGCTGAAAGGGCAAGATACCGAGGCAAAACAAAAACGAGAGGGCAAAACGGTGGATTCGCAGAGCGCAAGGTGATGGCTACCGTACATATACTTGTAGAGGCCAAATAACGGGAAACAAAAAAAAAAAAAAAAAAAAAAACAACGAAAGAGTAGTGGAGTAGTGTCACGGTCACGATGTCACGGTGGTTCCTCTCCTCAAAGTCTCCTGCTCTAAACTGGTCGAGTCGTCGCTTGCGTGCTATGTGTCGAGGCTTGCTTGATATTCAAAGTATACCAACTAAATGAACCAATGCCGATTCCACTGGAGGCAGTGGCCGCGGCGCTTCCGTAGATTGTCAACGAACTTTTTTCCACCCGGCACCTTTTCGTGTGCGACCTGCTTCCACGAGGGCTGTTCATGATCAAGTCTGTTCCTTTTTGTTGTGTTACGAGAACTGGCTTACTGCAGCCTCGCTAGGCACTTACAAGGACACACCCACATAACACCCACAAGGACCCATCAATGACCATTTGAGTTGAAACTTCATGGAGCTGAAGTGCAAACCACTTGCTGTAAACCTGGAACAATGTGCGAGGGTGGGGAACTGCAAGTCGACTCCATCCTTTCGCATCCAGATCGGTGATTTTCTAGATACATCGGGCATTATTTCATCCTTGTCTTCTTGCGAACAGGTGAATAATGCTATGCTGGCTTCGAGTCGCTAGTAAATTTCTCTTGTCTGCCAATGGATAAAGTGCACAGCTTGTTTCCTGGCGCATCTTGCGTGGGACATTGCAAGCGCTCCGATTATTTCCATGGGCAGGCTCCGCATCTTAGACTCATGCACGTCCCGGAAAGATGTGTTTTTCCCAGCTCTCCAGTGATCATTTGGCGAAGATTTGAACTCGGAGTCACTTAAAGTCAACCAGTTGTCTGTTTCCTTCCTGCGACTCGCCCCACCCCCCCATCTTACCTCTAGGGCGAGTTGCAAGTTGCCAACTTGCAACGCAATGGACGACCAATACTTTTTCAACGGTGACTTCGGTTATACCTACCCGGACTTGAATTTGTTGCCGCCACCGAACCCGACCGAGTGGTCCCCAAGCAACTCCGTATCTGGATTGTCGTCGTTCGGGGAATTCATGGCGGAGAATAGCATCCAACCTCATCCAATGGACGACTCTGAGTCATCCGACTGGCCGAGTTCAAGGTTATCCTCCTCTGATTCAATCATGGCTTACTCCCCGCCCTCCGCTGTTCTGCCAGACTTACCGCAGCAGATGGAAGGACTGGGGCTCTCCCGATTGTGTTTGACTTGGGACGCAGATGGATCAACTCTCTTCAGCATTGATCACGGGTATGAAAATGCCTGGCAGAGGCGTCGAGAGGCATCGCCAGATGTAATATTGGCCTCATCGGTGTTCGAACGACCCATCGCTGCTCCTTCCGCTCACAATTGGACAACGATTGGAACTGCTTCAGATCCCCAAATTCAAGTCAGACCGCCGGTTCATATAGCACCATCGGTCTCGTTTGTCAATGAGAGAGATTTGGAGGCGGTGGCCGCGTTCTTGACGTGGATTGAGGATCGACTAGTTGTCGGCGGGGTGATATTGCCCATAAACAGACACCGTGACAACTTGACGTTGGACTTCGTCTTTCCTGGTCCTGGTAACACCCGAGGCAAGCTAACGTACAAGCTCCTCATCGCCCTCGCAATCTGCAGCAGTCAGGACGGGGCACCCACTTCCGCAGAAATCGCTGACCGCTTGACCGAGCATTTCGAAGATATACGCAAGCTTGACAAGAACAAATGGCGTGTAAATGATATCAACTTGTGGTCTTCTTCATACTGACGCTGATATAGTCTACGGTTCACCATGAGCTATCCCTTCAATTGATATTCCAGAAATTCCCTCCGTGTTTTGGCTCGAGATCTAAAGGAGGTAGTAGATTATGCCAGTGGAGAATCGATCCAGCCAAACTAAACCAGCGTAGACTTACGCGACCAAAACCTTCACGGTGGGTTGAATGACCAGTGCTTTTCGCGTTTCCGACGGACTTATGACTGAAATTTTTGGATTGTACTTGGCGATAGGGATACTCCAACCTATCGATATGATTCGGTTGAATGCAGTATATTTGATCAATTCTGTGCATTACTCTATTAGTACTGTCGGACTGTCCTATTTTATATATAACCACGTCCAATTTCGCTCAGCGCTCAGGCTTTCTACAACTCGGTGATGCGTCGGCCTATCGGGCATCAAGGCTGAGTTTGAAATCCAAGAACTGAGTCTCGACCACAGAAAAAATTCAAAAATGAGGGAGAAAAGAGATCAAGTGCTAGTGGAAGCCGAAGAGATGTAGGAAGACGATTGTAATTCGTAAATGCCTGGCCTCTTGCCAAGCGGGCCTTCACAACTCGACAAATTTGGCAAATCTGGTTCAACTCGCGGCTGTTCCCGATGTTGGCGGCCACCTACCCTCAGAGCCGGAATCTCACGCTGGTATTCGACGAAATGGAAGCCACCTTCCAATCTAAGGTCGATCTTGTTCTGAAAAAGGCATTTCCGGATAAGTAAAGAAGTGACTCCCCTTTTTGTTGCGTCGAAAAAGCGGACTCACCCTGGACGGCGGCTCCACATCTAGCTGGAGATGAACAATGTATTATTCCACATTACTCACCAGTGTGCTTCGTGAATGCCTCATGTTATCAGCGGTGTTGTTCAAGGAAGTCCTCGTTAATTTCTAAAAGTCTGACATCAGACTACAAGTACATTTTTGTCCGCGTTTGCTATGCTACAGAGTGGAGACAATCGATCCAAATGGCCGAGATACAATAGTGGGAAACAACGAGAGCAACAACAAGACAGCATGATAGCGAAAACAGAATAGCAAAAAAGCATAGAGAAAGCAGGATAGCGAGAAAGCAACGTGTGGGGGGTATTGGTATCGTGAAGAGGCTGTCGGACTGTCAATCTCTTGTTGGCTCAGTCGCTCTCGTGCGCGTTTTTCGCCGAGTGTTTCGGATGGGTCCAACAGTGCGTCGAGAGAGCTCCATTGGAGGGGGGGGATTGACCCTCTTGCTTAACCACAGAGTCGAAGACCGGGGGCTGTGGAGCAATTATGGGTAGAGCATGGATGGGGCCGACATAGTCAGCGTCTTTGCTGCCCTTGCGCGCTCTTTTCCTTGGTCTTGAACGAGTATCAGACGTTACTCTCAGAGGGAGGATGGAAACGTACTGAGCTGGGGTTTTACGTTTGCGATCACGCTTATACCCCTCCCCTTCCGAGAAATCAACAGTCCAATAACCTGCTTTGCCTCCACCAAATGGGCGTGGTACGTGGCGAAAGATGCTGTACAGCGAGAGAGTGTGACGTATGGTGTTCTGAGTTAAAGCATGTCAGTCCATGTTCATATAGTATGGGCTTGCATGATAGAACCTACATGCCACTTGGTATCCCGGCGGTCGAGATTAAACTGTTGTGATATGGCACGAATGATGCCCTGCAATGTGAGCATTTGGTAGGTGCTGAAGTAGATTGCCAGTGAGATCAGAAGCCAGAGAGGAAAGCCTTCGACGTTCATGAAAAGGTCCGGGTGCAACTCGAGGTCGTGGGGCATTTTCAGTCGACGACGCAAGTAGGCCGTGTTATCGGGATAGATGTTGGCACTATGCAAGTGCCGACATTCCTCCTCGATGATATGTTGAGGGACTTGGTTTTTGCGCTCTGGTTCCGCGACTACGAGACGCAAAGGGTCAATGCCTTGCCGGAGGAGAACGCGAGCGGCAGCGGTTACAGTCTGAAGGAAATGTGAATGATGGATCTTATCCTCAGTTGCTCACTTACGCCTTGCAGCCTTTTTGGCACTTGGAGGTGCCGGTATAGTGTTGTTAGGTCGTCAGCATGCATTGCGCGTGGAGCTTGCTAGTAAAGCGTTGGTGACATGCTCAATACAGCAATGGAAATCGCGCACAAACGCAACAAGCGATAGGCGGCTGCAGGCAAGTCAGCAAGTAAAGAGCATTGAGGAAGGAATGCCACGCACGCAAACAGGTCAGGCATAGGAAGGCTATGACTCTCTTCTGCATATTTTATATGGCGGGCTGTGTGTTGAACGAAGGCAGCCGCATCGAAGGACGCTGGATTTTGACAGGGTTCGTCGCTGGGCCAGTTGATCACGTCGTCGAAGCTCAGCTCGGGCTCAGGAGAGGTTGGGAGGGAGCTGGACCAGGCCGATAGACGAGGAGAGTCGGTCAATGACACAGACTGAAGCCGTGATTCGACGCTAGCATTGGACCAGGCTCGTTGCATGGTGGGGATGGAAAATGGGGAAGGTTGGTTAAACAAGCGCCCATAGCGTTCTGGCTTTTATGAGAAAACCACGTGGATGGAGCTCACGTTGCCACAAGCAGCAGTTTGAGAAAACAACAAAGGCTGGCCGAAAAGAGAGAAGGACAACGCGGTTGGCAGCGGCTGAGCGACGAGAAGCCAGATCTCATCTCAATGGCGCCCACAAATATCAGACAGGCGCGAGAAGCCGCCGTCGCCGATGAATGAGGACTGAACACATGACAGTTGGGTTAGACGCTGAAGAAAGACGGTGGAAATAAGGAAAGTGGGACCCAGATGAAGAGGAACACACCTAATCAGCCTTGTCTGAATTTGGTGGTTGAGGTTCAGATCAGGGGTGTCACGAGAGGTCACAGTCCGTCCTCAGAGCTCAACCTAAGTATACGCATTTCCTCGCTATCTTGCGCAACCGCAGCAGATAAACTTTCTCCACCGCCGATTCGAACTGGCAACTTGAATGGCATTCCGCGTCGCTAGTTTTCGATAGATGCAAGTAAGTACACGACGTCCAAAGGCAAAACTTGAGGCCAGCCCGTCGGGCCCCGACCGAGTAGGACGGAACTACGCATCGAAAAGACATCGCTTGGACTTGGTCTTAAGAGGTTCCTGATTTCTTTCCCCACATGAGCATTTTCCATATCAAGAACAAGAAGACCGTCGGGAAAATCGAATACATATCGCATCATGCACCTGTAGTGAGATTCGGCGGATTGGGGGATGAGTGGATATCAAGGCCAGATAGCGGAGCATTCACAGCCAATGTGAGCTCAGTCGTTTTGCCTCCGTTTCCTTATTCGTTTCAAGCCTTAATGAAAAACTGATCACCGTCGCCAGAACTTGTTCGGGAAGAATAATCATAGCTGCCATAAATGTGCTCCGCGCCGTTCAAGCCCTCTATTGTTTCAAGCTCCAACACATCTTCTGTGGACGACACCCACTGGCATAGATGGAAGTTGCCAAACGCTAAATCGAGCCCGCGGACGCCCAAGATAACGGATGTCGGAATTAGGCGCCCGGCGGAATAATATCTTGTGGGAGCCGATGGGGCAATATTCAGCCACCAAGAGACAGCGCGTCAGTGAAGGCTGCCTGTAAACTCTAATAATTATACGCACGACTCCTCCGTCAAGTTTTGTCCGCGAGAGTCTTCCTCGGCCTCGTTTCGGAGAGAGGTTTGCGATTAAACAATTCTCGTAAGCAAAACTACTACAGCAACGGCTCGTAGCAGGCCAAAACTGGCATTAGAAACGAACAATTTCATCGACTCGTCGCCTGCTTGCTTGCGCGACTCAACAGACACGATCACGTGGAGTCAAAATTCACTTCATAAACGCGTGAAAAAAAATTTAGCCGTACAATTTCAGTCAATTGGTTCCACCCATATCCGAAAGCAGAACTAGTCCCCGTTCAAATCAGGCAGCCCCGCCTTCTTTAAATCGGCATTCACTTGGTCGATGTGCAACATGAAATGAGCTTTCAGATTGTCCCACATCCTGGGCTCATGCTCTGTATAGCTATCAACCGCGAAGAGGACCGAGTGTTATGTGCGACGAACCATGCAGTTTTCCTGAACGCTTCATCGCAAAGTCGGTGATTGTCCATGGCATCGACGACTCGAACATAAAGGCTGATTTAGAAATAGTAAGCTCGGCGGCCAAATGCTTTCAAACTCGTACCGATAGTCCCTTCATGGATGCGCATCGGCTTAAGCTCCGCATTCGACGCCTTCTCCCATTCCTCGTAGCTCACTATACAGACCAACATAAGCGAGAGACAGAGACAACAGGGATGGCTTGCCTCCGTGTGGGCAGAACCCAGTCTCATAGCTGGCTCCCCCAGGCTGGAACCCATCACTTCTACCGCCGTAGATACCGTAAAGCAGGCCCATAAACTCGGTCGACGAATTGCGGTGGTAATACTTGTATGTGTTCATTAGAGAGCCTTGAGTATAGAAGCCAAAAGGCGACTCACCGGCGGACGGAACGTGTTCGAAGCAACATCCCACCTCGGACTGAAGATCAGGAAATCTGCGAGGGGAACACCAGCTTGTTTCGACTTGGCTGTGAGCACACAAAAGATAGAGGGGTCGATGTGGTCTTTGGAAATGCTGCCGACATTGACGAATTTTTCCAGTGCGTATTTGTACGGAACATAGCTAAAGGGGAGCAGTTCTGAGTCATTTTGAGGATGATCCGGTATGATATTCACTTTCCGTGCCAAGCAACGACATCGAATGGTGTGTGTTCTTGGTTGCAAGCGAAGAGCTGTCCACAGACTTTGTATGTGACTTGAGATGAGAATATTTGAGTTGCTTGCAATGCAATTCAGAAGGAAAACGCACTCGTCCACGAGCTCTGATCAATGTCAAAATGAGCGATAGGATGCTCAAAGTCGCGTATATTCGCAAGACCATAACCACCGAGAGGTCCAAGTTCTGGAAGCTGCCAGTGACTTCCGAATAGTTCTTGAATGTCTGAACGATTGGAGGTTATTGAGGAAAGCCGTATGTCAGGACGCACATCCACGGGAAGGGCCATCAGGCAATTGCACTTTGAATTTCATTCCGCGCTGAATCACGACAAGTTCGCCGGATCGCACCATAATCCTTTCCACCTCGTACATCAGCATGTTAAACTGGAATGTCGACACAAACAACGTACTTGCCGAATTCCGTCTGAATGTCAAGACGCCCTTGCTGGGGTAGAATCAACATATCTCCATCGTTATTGCAGAATGCCCTGTTCCCCATGGAGGCATTGGCAACATAGACATGCACAGCCAGCCCCTCCTTCAACGTTGGGTCGCCATTTCCTGCAAGTGTCTTGAGCCCATCAACAAAGTCTACCGAGGCCGAGTCAGGTGGGAGGTCAAATGGGTGCCAGGCAAGCTGTGTTGGAGAAACATGGACTTGCGGGTTGAGAGGAAAAAAGTTGGATTCGAGCTGCATTATTATCAGATGCGTTTTCGACTTGTGTGTTGGATGGGCCGTACATCAGGATTATCGGGAAGTCGGGTAAAGCCTTGATGCGCAACTGACGGTCGGATCTATCAGCATCGTCAGTAGCTTCACACAGCTGATGGACCGTATCGTATATTCATACCCGATAGAGCCATCTGTGAAGTTGAGTCCGACATCATATGGCCATAGAAAGACGCACACGCTCATGTTCTCTGCTCGAGGTGCAACAAAAGATGCTCCAGTCATCTCGTAGCCCTTTCAGCGCGATACGTATAAACATTTGTTCCGCACCCCTTCCGCATACAAATCATACTTGACTTTCTGTGGCGAGTTCTGGCCTTCAGGAAGTACTCCCGGGCTACAGTCAGTATAAGCATTCTGGTTATAACTGAGAACAGAACAGAACATACACAGCTTCACTGGCGAATCGGTTGCCGAAGCCAACTTGATACTGGTACGGATCCTTCTCCAGAGGAGTCGTGACAAACGAGGAGCGGGCTGTTGCTCCTGGAGCCATGATTTCGACTGCGTGAGGGGGAGATGGAAGACGCTGTCTAGGCCTTATATATAGTCATTGACAGAATCCCAAGGTCAGGAGGTCATCCAAGCAGACCTGATGACGACATGTCAAAACTTGCTCTAAAGTGTCAATTTGTGGTTTTGGCTTGTACAAAAATACACTGCGGTCTAGGTCAGAAAAAAGTCAACTTCTCATCGTACAACAAGAAAACCAGCCCGTCAGTAAGTCACCCTCCACTTATCTCTTGGTGTGTCATTCTTCTGCTTGATTCTACTGTGAGAGTTGCTTGATCTTTGTGAGGATGGCTGTGAAGAAACAGCCCAACACTGTGAGCAACTCCACATGAAGAGCGGAAACGGGAAGACGTACATTGGGGATCCAATCCCTGATAGGGAATTTGTTCCCACAGACCGCCAGAACCTTTTATCCACTGGTCAGCCCGGTGCCGGAGGAAAGAGGATTCTGCAACTCACCCTCCTTAGTGGTTCCCATATACGCATAACGTGGGGATAGTCCGCGCTCCAGGAGATAAGTGCCGTATTTGGAGCCAAGACCAGTCTTTTGGTTGAAGGATTCAACGATGAGCACGAAGGGGCTCTTGCCAATCTTGGTGATGACCTAAGAATTGACGCCATATATGAGGATGTTGGATCGCAGAGCGAGCTTAAAACACACCTCTTCATCTATGGAGTGCAGAGAAGGCTTGTTGATCAGCCCCACATCGATACCCGCCTCTCGGGCTCGAAGAACTGCGTCGTATGCACGATAAAGCATCTCTCCAAACGACACAACATAACCAGCCTTGCCCTCAAGGATGACTTCGTCTTTTCCGGGGATGAACTGGGCGCTCATGAGTGCAATAGCTGATTTAAGCAAAGCTACTCACTTCATATCCATCACCGAAGAACTTGGTCTTGCCATCCTCCTTCAAGATGTATGGTACCTTGGAACGCGTGGAGAACACGAAGCGAAGACCGCGGTCAAAGAAGACACGCTTAACTACGGCGACCATCTGGAGTGCGTCGGCAGGGAAGTAAAGGTAAGATTTGGTGTCAGATAAACCGTTGTCGGCGAAGAAGGAGTTGATACCGAAATGGCAGGTGTTGTCCGCCTATTACGACATGGTTACTACTTCATTCTGGAGATTAGCAGAAAGACAACATACCATCTATGGAGAAACCACGCAAGAACCGATGTGAGTGACGGAAGGCACTGGAAAGGACACGACTAACCTCGTCGACTAAACAAGAGCATCAGCTCTGTGAAAAAATATGGAGGATATGACATACCACCGGAGTGAGAGAAGTGGCACAAAAGATTACACTCGTTCAAACGTGCCATTGTGATTTCGGATATCAGCATCTCCAAAAATGCGGAGAAAGTCGAGAAGACACCAAACTTGTTGTGGTCGAAACCGAAGCCAGCGGCAGCACTCAAGTTTCCGCGCTCCATGATGCCAGAGGGAATGAACACTTCAGGGTGTTTCTGGTGGATGACCTTCAAGCCCGTTGAACCCTCAAGATCACCTAATAGAGAGATCGACGATCAGACAACAATAACACACAACGAGATGACGAACTGTCGATGACCATGACTTTTTCAGCGGCTTCCTCTTTACTCAGCTCATCCAGGACCAGGTTGACCGCTTCACCAAAGACAACACGGTTTGCACCAAGTTCGCTGGTGGAACCGACATGAGCGTACTGGTTTGCGACGCCTTTCATACCAGCGTATAGTTCGGTGAAGTCGGGGTAACCACGGGAGAGGAGGTACTTGATGGCAGACTTGACCGGAATCACGTCGTGGCCATGCGAACTTCCTTCGATGTCCTCAATACCAGGCGCCATGAGACGTTTGGCGACAACTGGAGAGAAATTAAACCGATGATCAAACAAGAAATTCACAGACTGTACCAGCGGCTGGTCCCGGGTGGGTGATAATGGCACTAATCGCACCCCATAGTGCGTCGATGTCCTCTCCGTCAACGGTGAGAACCTTCAGACCGTGGCCCTCAAGTGTCTTCGTGACATCGTAACCCTTGAGATATTCGGATGGGTGACCTATTGCCAGCTCGTTATTTGTTGGTGCAGCCGGAAGATAGACTGACCGGAGATTGTAACGTCGTTATCATCGATGAGTAGCTTGACGTTGAGACCTTGAGCAACGGCAAGCCGTGCCGCTTCCGCATCATTACCCTCTTGCTGTGAGCCATCGGAGCCCAGGCAGAAGACGGTCTTGCCACGGTTAGCCAGGGCCACACCATTGACCAATGGCCTGTGAACGCGATGAGTGCCGGATAGTCAAGCCTGAGTAATAATCAAGATACGCACCACATGTGGCCTAGACGACCCGATGAAAACTTCACGCCGGGAGTGAGACCGAGTTCCGGATGGCCTGGAAGCTTCGAGTTTGCTTCACGGTAGTGCAAAAGTTGTTCGGCAGGGATTGCCCCTTCCAGGGCAGCAAGGATGTATTGGGTCGCAACGCGGTGGCCTAACGAGAAAGTAAGTGGAAAGTTGATTTGAAGAGAAGTGCTCAGAATAGACATGCCTGCTTCATCGAAGACTATGGGCACGTACTTCTCTGCGTCTGCCTCGAACAGCGCAAGAAGGATCGCAACTTCCGGAACAGTATCGAACGAGCCACCGGTATGTCCACTAACGCCCCTTGCCGCTCCAGTAGCAGTGAAAAGGACGATTGCATCGCGCAAAAGCTGGATGTTAGCCAAAAGATCCGCCTTTTGCTCGGCAGTCAGCTGCGACTTGGAGGCATCGAGCTTGACCCTGAGGGCGGATGAGCTAACTCCACCAGACACAACAACGAGCACCAACTTCTTGAACTTCTTGAGGTCGATGGGGAAGGTAGACATGGTGGACTGAAATCAAACTTGGAACACCGTGTCACACCGAGAAATACCGTTGTCACGCGTCCTTCGTTCTACCACCACCACCGACAACGCCCGTGGCCATCATTATCGTCAATGTAACCGGAAAAATGCATTGTCAAAAAATTCTATGATTAGAAGGCGAAGGCTACTCTAAAGTTCTACTTCAAGCAACAACAAGCTTGACCGATGTCACCCCATACTGTGGCGGAATATTAACTCCCTGTCATGTTCGCTCAATTATCAAGGAATGTCAGAAATACTGGCTTCATACCGGCGGGCAGGCTGTGGCTGTCTCGATTACAGCAAGATAAAGGCTTCTTCCGGATGCGTATGCTGGAGCGAGGGCAGGTGTTGTCAGTGTCGATGGTGGTGGTGGGTTCGACCCAGAAAGAGGCGGGAGCCCTGAATCCAGATTCAAAATTGTTCACATTTGTCAAAAATCTATTGACTGACCGAAATTGGGGATCAAATACGTGCCGAACTGGTAGATGGGGTTGCTAGGCAGGCCAGTTGCAGCGTCGATGTTGGCGGTGGTGGGCTCGTAGTCGAGGAGCCAGGCGGTGGTGGTGCTATACCCATTATGACACCAATTGCTGTCGCTATATGCGAAGGGAATTGCGTCCCCTCCAACGTTGGAGACTAGGGTGCCAGTCGAAGGAGAGGTGATCGTTCCGTGGTTGGAGCTAACAGTGCGTTGTTGGACCACCCTGGCGTTCACGAGCGCAATGGTAGAGACGAGTGCAGGCAAGATTGGAAGACGCATGCCGTATGGAACGCGACGACTGTCTGAAGGTGCATTCAAAACACTGCGTATTTATACTCATTCGACCAACGGTCCCGACAGACCGCTTGACACAAAGAAAATTTCAAGGGTGCGGAGATTGTCGCGGATATGGCTGGCAGATGATAGTGACCGAGGCCTTTTACTGGTTCTGCCCACGGTTGGATCAGCATCCAGTCGTGCCTGTGTCAAGTCATCTTGAACGGCGAAGGCGGCTGTGTGGTTTACGAGATGCCGATGAGAGGCCGTATAGGATGTCTTCAGCGACAATGCAGACGAAATGCATCGCATCTCACAGGTGAAACAGCAAAGTGCTTAGCGCTCACCTAACAAGCTACTTTCACGTTAGCCTTCCCGAGCAGTACCGCATGGAAGACAAAAAAATTCAATCGAGACTCGGCAACTCGAACCCTCGATTTCGGAGCAGCCCGGAATGATTCTTGGCCAATTCATCCTACAGATGTTCTTCCAGGCCGACTGGGAATCGCCGAGCAAGTCAGTGAAAAATTTTCATGACGATGATCAGATTAGATTGCTTGATATCGGAGTTCAGCAAGAGTTCAGGACGCCATTTGCAAAGAAAAGGCCCTTCCGCGGCCAGCCTTTGACAAGCCGGTGAAATTCGGCGCTCAAAACCCCAAGGAAACGCGAATCGAGGGTGTTGGCAGGGTGCTTCTGCAAGGCTTCTCGTTGGATAATGGTTCTCTTGATTATGGCAACATCCATGTGGATGAGTGGCGTCGGCTCTGCATTGTGGTATATTAGGGTATATTTCAAGCATATAGTCGCTTCGACTACTAATCAAAAGCACTCTAGAACTTGTACTCTTACGCAATAACAAGCTCGACCGATGTCGTTCCATACTGCGGTGGGATATTGTTTCCCTGCCAGTGCTGGAGTCAGACACTAACAAACTGACGGAATGAGGGCCATACTGGGGGACAAGACGTGGCCGTCTCCACGACAGCAATGTAGACGCTTGCGCCAGGTGCATACGCGGGACTTGTGAGGGCAGGCATACTGAGGGTCGTCGGTGGAGGATTCTTGGGTGGAAGCCCTGTTCGCGAAATTGAGTCTACCAATTTCAACGATGCCTTGAACTCACCAAAGTTTCCGATTGAATATGCGCCAAACTGGTGCACTGCGTCGTCAAACCGGCCTGTCGTGTTATTGATGTTGCCTTTGTTGGGTGCGTAGTTGAGCAACCACACAGAAACATCGCTGTAGCCATCATGGCACCAATTACTGTCAGTATATCCGAACGAGATTACTTCGCCACCAGTCTGGGCGTTCGTAATCGGGGTACCAGGCTGAGGAGAAGTGATAGTCCCATGGGCTGGGGTAACAGTGCGCTGCTGCACGTGCACGACACTGGCGTTGACCATTAAAGGAATGCGCGTGCATGCCGAAAAGACCACTGGCACCAAGCTGAGGCGTCGCATTGGATACGGATGTGAGCTCAATATCAGTCTTCAGAGTGCTGTATATTTATACTTCTGGAAAGGAATTGACAAGGTGGAGATTGTCGGCCCTGACGGCGTCAGCGTCGACGATGCAATTCAGTAAATCTAGCTACATCAGCAACGAGGTCCCTAGATGTCGACAGTTTGGACCTTGGTTCGAGGGACGAGAGCACCATGGTCCATGGGTGTAATTGTTGTGATCGCCGAGCGAGATTAGATTAGATCTGTCGATCTTACTTATGTCAATCACTGACGTCACGTTCGTCACACAGAAACTCTCTTGACACTCACAACAATGGTCGTCCGCGAAATTATCAATGTACAAGTAAGAAAGACGGCTCATTTGATATTCAAAAGATTCAGAGTATATAGATTGGTCAGGCAAGTTCTTATTCGCAGCCACTCTCACCACAGTTCGTGTCTTAACCACGTGGCCTAGGCAGGAAACCAAGTTGGGGAGGCTTTCTGGCAAGCCGTTCTTGCGGAGCACGGGCTTGATCTTTCCGGGGTACGTTGCTGCCACATTTTTGAGACTTGCCGCTCAATTGGACCCAAGACATATCAAGGGACGAATCCCTCGCAACTGCATAATGTGAGTGGCATTGCTGGTGAAGCGTAGATGTTGAAAGAACGTTTGGCTCTAGATCGGAGTTTACTTCTCCGAAGTTAATTCTGCTTCAGCTACAAAATATGTTCCACGATCTCTACAACTAGACCTAGAAGCTGGTGTCTGCAACGCTGTAAGCTTTTCGAAGCTTCATGTCAACGCTACTTAATCATAAGTCAGGTTCGCAGCGGCCCGATGGGGGCATTATTCAGCCCTGACTCTTATATACATGCGCAATCCGGAGCGGGCAACAACTGGGCCAAGGGCTGTAAGTTCCAACCCCTCAGTCTCGATGAGCTCTACTCACAACCAAAGTTTACACGGAAGGTATGCCGGCAAGGTGATAGGGAAACTTGTGTTTCTCATTTTCTCGAGGCGCGGAGCTGATTGAAGCGATCATGGTCCATACTTTCCACGATTTACTACTATCCTCAAATGACTTGCGCCACTAGGATGCCCTGAGGAAGGAGTCCGAGAAATGTGACGTTTTACAGGGATTCCAGATGATACACAGTATAGGCGGTGGTACAGGCTCCGGCCTGGGGTGTTTGTTACTCACTAAAATGCGAGAGGTCGTGATTTCCTTTCCTCGTGATTTTCTGTTCTAATTCCTGTTTCCGACAGGAGTACCCTGACAGAATGCTGGCGACTTTCTCTATCTTGCCGTCTCCGAAGGTATATATCTCTTGTGTTCGCAAGGCAGGAAATCGTTGATTGTTGTTGGTCTAGGTTTCGGAAACTGTTGTCGAGGTAGGGGCAACAACCGTACTTGAAGTTGAACGACCCATGGACTTACCGGTGTAGCCTTATAATGCAATGCTTTCTGCCCACCAACTGGTCGACAACGGAGATCTGACCATCTGTGTGGACAACGAAGCACTGTGCGTTCAGATTTTCGACTATCTCGCTACCAAATGTTCAAAATTCCAGATATGGAATCGCGGGTCGATCATTAAAGATTCAAACGCCATCCTTTCGAGACCTGAACGCGGTCAGTCCTCCTTACTATTTAACGGATCATCGTTGAACCGGATGTTCAGCTCATTGCAAGAGTAATGTGTGGTGTGAGCACCAGTCTACGCTTCCCCGGGCAGCTGAATGGGTATGTTTTCCGACCAAAACCGGACCCAGCCGACACGTTTCCCAGCGATCTTCGTAAACTTGGCATGAATCTGATGTGGGTCCGGAATATACAGTAGCATCAATGACTGGGACTGATAACCGCGGGACACAGACCGTTCCCTCGCGTGAGTACTTGTGTGGCATATGCCTAGAGCGCTCGAGATGGGCTAATATATGTGCCAGCTACACTTTCTAATGCCTAGTTATGCTCCATTCGTCAGCGGAGAAGCTGCGAGATATCAAGGCAATAGTGTTCCGGACCTAGTTCAAGCGTCAGTGAGATAACACCATTTGTGTCAAAAGCTGACGAGTTGCAGATTGTTCGACAGGCGAAACTTGCTCGTCGATGTCGATCCCAGATATGGGTGTGTTGTTTCTGGTCGATTACATCGCGGGTTCTGAATAAAAGGCTTCTGCAGGCGTTACCTAACTGCGGCCACAATTTTCCGTGGCAATATAGCCTCACGAGAGGTAGTACCTCTGCAAAGTCATTCGTTCTCGGGTTAATATCTGTCTGTGCTAGGCTGAGGTCGCGGTGCGAGACCTCCAAACGCGGAATTCCACCAGTTTCGTGGAGTAAGTGCCACTCGGAGTCCATATTGCTTTCCTCAGCTTTGCCGAAGATGGATCCCAGATAATGTTTCTGTTACCCTTGTGTCTGTCCCTCCGGTTGGACAAAAACAGGTGCCTATAGTCGATTCATAGGTGTTAGACTCATGCTAACTCGTAGGCGGCGACATGTCTCGCCAACTCTACATCCATCCAAGAACTTTTCCAGCGGACACACGATACAGTAAGCAGCATGTGACTGAGAACAATTTATTTTCATTGTTTCAGTTTGCTGCGATGTACAAACGAAGAGCCTTCTTACATTGGTACACTGAGGAGGGCATGGATGTTATGGAGTTCTCAGAAGCAGAAAGCAACTCGGCGGACCTCATGTGTGTGTTTTTGATCCTATATATCTCATAAAAGCTAACGTGGGCATACACAAGTGCTGAGTATCAACAGGTTTGTCTTTTGTCGGTCTACCCTGATCACGCAGCTAATACCACGTCATCCATAGTACCAGGAGGCGCGAGCTACTTCGGATGACGGTGACGAAGAGTACGAGTACGAGGGCGGTGAGGCTGCCTCTGAGGCATATTCACATTAATACCCTGCCCGCTTGTAAAATCGACCCCTTTGGTTAACGCGCCCACGCGTTTGACATGGACACCTGACTTGCACCTGACCGTGTTTGACATCATCAAACGTCCACTCCGTCTTTTTGCAGGGGTTTGTCTTCATTCCAGTCACTATCCTTTGGAGTGAAGCTAGACAGGGACTGACTTCTTGCCCCACCCAATCACAGCGCTTTCGCCTTGAGGAAACAAGCATGCCGGAATCTCCCAACCGAGGTTGATGCAAACCAGTTGGGGCACGGAGATCAACAGCGCGAGAAGCATTTCTTCTTTCCTACCTCTCAGTACCCAACAAGGAGCAATGGAGGAGCCTCAAGCTGTGGCCAAACGGCGCACGCCGCTGCCAAAATTTCAGGTCTTCATTCTCCTGTTCATCCAGTTCGCAGAGCCAGTTACAGGTGGGGCCACGTTTTACGGCCCCTTTGGTCGGCTGACGGAATGAAACAGCGCTGGTCATCTATCCGTTCATTATGCAGTTCATTCGCGACATTGGTATTACGGGAGGGGACGAAAGCAAGACTGGGTATTTTGCCGGCATCATTGTGCGTCTCCAAACATAAAAAAAAACAAGTCCATCTAAGCTTGCTTTTCAGGAATCGGTCTTCTTTCTGGCGGAGTGTTTGACCGTTTTTTGGTTCGGTCGTGCATCCGACCGTTATGGGAGGCGGCCAGTTCTGCTATTCGGGCCCTTCGGCCTCGCGTTATCCATGCTTGGGTTCGGGATGTCGAAATACTTTTGGTCGATGGTCGTATTTCGATGCATGCAGGGAGCTTTTAACGGGAATATCGGTGCGTTGTGTTGGGTTCTTGTGTGAGCGGCTTGCTGAACCACAATGAAAGGCGTGGCGAAAAGCGTCATGGCTGAGGTAAGTTTCATCTATCTACTTTATAAGCTAGTTGCTCAGCCCCAATGTGCAGATTTCGGACTCGACTAACATTGCCGAGATCTATGCACTGCTGCCCTTGATGTGGACGGCCGGTGTTACGATTGGGTACGAAGAGAGTCGGCCCTTGAATGTTGAGGTTAACCCACTCTTCCAGGCCGTTTATCGGAGGGACATTCGCTAATCCAGCAGCGACATTCCCTGGTTCGCTGGGGAAAATCCATGTTTTCCAACAATATCCCTATCTTCTGCCCTGCGCCATGGCTGCGTCGCTGGCTTTCCTTGCATTTACATTTGGATTCCTGGGGCTGAAGGAGGTGCGTTTCCATGTCGGAGTTGCGATACTAATCTCACTGTTGCTTCAGTCACTTCCTTCCGCGATCGCGAAGCAGAAGAAGTCCCGTCAAGGCACGGAGACAGAACCTTTACTTAGTGACAGCGAAGAAGTATCCGGCGAGGAGGCTTCGATCGACTCTCCACCCCCGTTGCGCGAGCTGATCACCCGTCCCGTGGTTATTGCGCTCACAAACCATGCCTTCCTCTGCTTTTGTCAGATGTCCTATGATGTGAGCAGTTTCGGCTTTGCTTGCCCCGAACGACGTGCTAAACGCACCTAGGTCATGATTCCTCTTGTCTACGCAACCCCCATCGAACTCGGAGGGCTTGGGCTCACCCCACAGTCGATTGGCCGAATTATGGGTATCATCGGCTTCGCCAATGTATTCACCCAGACCCTACTTGCTCCTAAACTCACGCGTCGATTCGGAGCACACATGGTCTTCCGCACCACGTTCATTCTCCTTCCAATCGCTTTTCTGGCGTACCCCCTGCTCAACCACTTTGCTCGCAAAGCAGGCAGGGTCGACGGCACCGTGATCGCCATTATGGCAGTCCAGCTCAGCGCCAGCTTCTCTATCTTCCCGACATATGGCGAGTTTCTTCTTTACTGTCCTGCGTTCTCCATGACAAGCCTCTGACTACGACACTAGGATGCACCCAAATATTCCTTGCCGATGCAGCACCACCCAACGGTCTGGGAGGCGTCAACGGAATAGCTCAAATGGCGTCTTCAACCCTGCGAAGCATTGCTCCGTCACTTGTCGCTTCTCTGTTTGCGACCTCCGTATCATACAACCTTTTAGGAGGCAACTTGGTCTTCGTCGTCTTGTTTGGTCTGTCGCTCTGCGGCTTGCAAGCGACCTTCCTTCTACCGAAACAACTAGGGTCAGAGAACTGATTGTGATCTTGCAAAAAAAAAAAAAACATAAGTTACAACACGATCGTTAGGTATAAGTCATCACAACTCGATAATACATAGTTACCATCCAGATATCATTCCGTCGTAAAATCTCAGCGTAAAATGTCGTTTGGTCCGTTAGCGAAAACTCCCTTTCTTGCGCTGTAAATTTTATACTGTCAGTCCATGCACCACCCAATAAAAGGAATAACTCACTACATCTGAAGAACCGCTTTCGAGTTGCTTCTTTTTCTCCATCAGTTGGTTCCACTGTTTGGTCATCGCTTCCTTCATCTCTGTGTGACGCGCGTAGAGCTCGACCTCTGATTGCTTCAGTTTCTGCTCTTGCAGCTCGACCTTTTCACGGAAAATCTCCTTCATCGTGGCCTCCATTTTGGCAAGCTTGGCTTCATGCATAATACGGTCTTCTCGCAGTCGATCAGCAGGGCTGTGTTGATCAATTGGGGTAGATATCAGCAGAAAGATTTAGATGTACCTGACTTCGTCAAAGACGGAATGATCTTGTGCCACGCCCAGTTCAAGCATTCGTTGTGTGCGCCAGGTCTCGTAGAGCACATCAGCAGTCCGTTCTCGCAGCGCTTCCATGTGCGAGTGAACGAGCATCCGGCGAAGCAGGATAAAGTCGCAGTGGGACGGGTCGTCGACGTCGACTATGCCCCAAGGGTAACCCCGACCACGGATAAGCCGACCGTTTGAGGCGCGAAACGTCTTGGTTGGGTCTGCCCCGACAACAGCAAACGGAATCGCACGAGCAATGGCTTCCGTTTCGGCAATGTTCTCCTCGTCTTCTTCGTCGTAGATTGGTGCTTGGAAGATACGAATCCCATGGAATGCAAGGTCGGAAACAATCTGAAAATTTACGTCAAAACTTGGTCCCCAGAAGCTATTGCTCAACACACCCTCTCCTTGAAGTCCGCGACTTCGTCTTCCGTCATAGTGTCCGCCTTTGCAATGACAGGGATAAGATTGACCTTTTCGTGTAGCCGTCGCATGAACTCGATATCAATTTGCTTTAGCCTCGGCATTTCGTCAGCAGAATACGCGAACGAGTGCATAGCTGGGAACACACGAGTGACCGCTGGGTTGAATGAAGTAGATGCAGGCGTGTATTCTTGTGTCGATTATCTTCTTGCGTTTGACACTATTTTCTTGGGTTAGATACGCTTCGTAGCGATCTTCGATGGTTTTCAGTATCGGGTCCCAGCTGGAAATTAGAGACAGATATACGCTAACAGTTACAACACACCAAGAACCATTATTGACCAAGTCCCCGAAGCCAGGGGTATCCACGACAGTCAATCGCAACCTCACGCCATTCTCCTCGATATCTGTTCAACGTCTGAAAGCAGGTCCAGGGCGCGTTTTTATCATACCAGCGTGAATGTTGTCGATGGCTACAGTTTTAGGTCGTTCCGCTGCTGGGTGCAGGGATTCTCGAGGTGGACAGATAGCCAAATTGAAGAGCGTGTTTATCAGAGTCGATTTACCAAGCCCGGATTCTCCTGCATGTGTCGTTGAGCGAGGAAACAGATTTCTTCACTTGTATTCCACGCACCGACGACCATTGCAGTGAGTTGAAAGCCATCCTTGATACTCTTCCGTCGGACTTGATTAGGCAAGTTTGAGAAACCGACATGGCCGGTGATTCTCTTGCGTACAACGGGCACGGGAGAGGAGAGGGAGTCCTGGACTGTCATGACAGAAACCAGAGAGTGTGTTAGGAAGATTTAGGCTGACGGTTACAAGCAGCGCATGTTGATCTCAATGATTCTCGGCGACCATCGTATGCGGCAGTGATAAGTAACACAAGTGACTGCCTTGTTCTGCCTCGACTTTCTTGATCCATTCATTTTTAACTCAAACTTGCTGAGCGCAGCATGGCCCAGACAACAGCGTCGCTTTTTTCACTCCACTTCCACCATGCGAAAAATAACCCGCTCTTCAAGTGCAAAATCTGATGAGACGAAATCACGCATTTCAAAGGTCGCAGTCCCACAGTTGGCTGCCAGTGGTGGCTCGTTTGATTCATCTCGGACTGCTGCTACCGAGCCTTCAGAGTTAGAGAGTCTCTGCAAGCATCTACTCTGGCCGCTTATATCCCGCTGATACTCTTCTGACTGCCAGTAAAGTTCATCAACGAAAAGCTCCCCCCAGCGATCCACAAAGAGGCTGAGCGAAAATCGGCAACAGTCCAGGAGATGTCCCTGTTACGACAAGCCAATCGTGATGGTGAGCATTCGCACCGCATCTGACCTCGTTGCTCACGAAGGATCCAGCCAAGATGGAGTACGATGGTCTCCAGGCTGAATTAAAGAATGGTACGCAACAATGGTTTCTGAAGATACAAGTTGGCTAATGTTTCCCTCCAGCGAAACAGGAAATCGACAAATTGCAACGAGAGGGTAGTGCCATTTCAGCTCAAACCCGCACCTATCTCAAGCATTCAGTACTCGCAAAAGACAGGCAGTTGCTAGGAACTCAGACTAAGTTAGTTGCTCGTAAGTCACTTGTACATATTCTTTTCGTGCAGTATGTACTTAGAAAATCACAGAACAAGAAGAGACCAAGAAATGGACCCAGCGTTACAATGATTGCTCAGCGCTCCTTGGAGACGCCAAACGGACATTTAAAGAAATGGGGAATGCCCTGGGAATTGCGGGTGATGCTTGTGTGCGAGCGCAAACGGCAGATATAGAGCAGGAGCCGGCCGATGGTATGCTTACTAGAGTTTTTTTATTGTGCTATATTGACTTAAACTGATTGAACAGCACGACGCGGGATCAAGCGCAAACGCGGAAGTCTACCATGATCACCCTCGTATTGTTTTTCCAAAGGAATCGCATCCCGCTTAGTTAAAATCAAGCCCGAGTGGAAATGGGGCAGTCAGTGTTCCATACGTAGATGAATGTGTATCCGTTCTTGTTCTTAAGATTAAGATTTCGCAAGAGCTTTTGTTTCACTGGCCAGCCCGCTCGCTTACATATGCGAAGCGTTCTTGCTTCTTCCTATAATCTTTGAACGGGTTTGGCAGCAGAATGCAGGGTCTCCCTACCCCTCCTGACAGTCGAGCAAGCGTTGCTTCGAGCACACCCCATTCACTGGCAGCAGTAAAGACCATCGTTAACCCCAACGACACGAGTGCAAGTACATTTTCGCAAATTCCAGACCTCGGTAGGTTTTCGTCTTTGTTCTTCGTTGACCAACGCTGGTGGAGGATGCCTTATTATGGAAACACTTCCCCAAATGTTTCAAGAAGAGACCCATCGTAAACTTGCTACAGTTGAAGAGATCAAGCATTTGAGAGCGGAGAACCAAACGGGTGCGTACCTCTATTAAACATTGTTCCCGGAAAACCGGTGTTCCTCAGTGAGACCGTGCCGTGGAATGCTATCTTTTCCTTCCAGACCGTGCCATTTTCCGATACACATCCCTCGTGCTTCACGTCTCTGCGATTTTCTGACTTGTCTCAAGTCAAGACCTTATGCGATAGTCTCAAGGAAGAGCTAGCCAGAAGTAAGGGCCGTCAGCTCTGCACTGAGCAGACTATCATATCCCACAGTGACCCAAGACACTGTCAAGCTACAAGAAGAGTGTTGAGTCTTGTCCTTTGCTTGCTGGGTTCTCAACTGATCGTTTTTTATCTAAACAGTGAGCGCAAAATCCCGAGAGAGTGATGAATGGGCACTTCAAGCGAAGGAATGTCAGGCCCTGTTAGCTGAAGCGCAAAGCAAAATTTCTGGCATTGCCAAAATCGTAGAGGCATCAGGTGTGTCGATTTCAAAGGGAGCCTTCACATTCAAGTTTAACCCGTACAATAGACCAAAGCGATCGTAATTCAGAGCAGGTTAGAGACACTAGAATGTTGATCCGGATCCCACCTCTTCCAATCAACAATTCGGAGAGTTCAAGCGCGTATGGCCCACCATACCGCACTAGCGCTAGTAAGCGTCAGGCCAAGAGTCCGAGTCATCCAATTGGCCCAGCAACAACGTCGTCCTCGAGAAAGAGAAGAACATGTGTTACATGCAAGAGCAGTGAATGCAGCGGAGCATCACGGAGAAATCGCTGTCTGCTTTGGGGTGTTGGACTTCTGCCTTAAACTGTTCTTGTGTTTTCTTGTTACCGTCAACGCATTTTGAACGATTTGATATGGCAATGCTGAACAAATGAACGAAGATATCTTCTCCAGCGGCGGGATCTAACAAGTCCAGCCAGGGGGCGGGTTTGTTCCTTACTGGGATGATATTTGCTGCGCCTCATCGTTGTTGTGGTTTGAACTTCAACTTGGGAAGATGACCAATCAGCCTACTTTAGTCATGATGGTTGTCGACGTCGCTGTGAGAATTGGCACTTTCCCTTTCACCTGTTTGCGTTTCTTCTCCTCCTCAATGAGCTGGCCTCTCTGTCGTCGCCTATGTCCAAGACGCCTTTGACCATCCATGTCGTGGACGCCCTCGACTGGCCCCCTCTCCAGGACTACCACATCAACACCCCTGGCTCTCTCTTCCCTCGCAGTGTGAAGGACGGCGACGATGGATTCCGTCTGACACCGAATGGGCCGTCAGACTGGAATGTAGAGTGTGTAGTGCCCCGAAAAAACAATGACCAGCTGACCGTTTCTGTGTAGCAGCAGGACACCGTCATCGAGCCATACTTTTGGCTTCCCGCTTTCTCCTCGTTCACCCCAGCTTCGTTCTCGGCGTAAATCTGCTGCTTTATCCACCCACCTTCTTCCTCCAAAAACACCATTCGAAAAGCAAAAGCACCGACTTCGGCGGTACACTGCTGCTGAAACGCAACTCGCTCGTATATCGGATCCAGTTTCACCTTCGCCTGCCGAGCTTTATGCGTCTGCTCTCAAATTCAGCGTTCGCTCGCTGGCTTTGCGTATCTTCGAAGCGCAACAAATGCTGAGAGAAGTAACTCGAGAGAAGAGACAAGACACGGCGAGGTGGATGGTCGAGCATCACGTCGCTGATTTGGAACTCCTTCAGGGCAACCTGAAGACCGAGCTTAACCATGGCTCGAGATCCAAAGTCCAACCGGATGACGACCAGAACGATACCAACCTCGTTCGTTTCCTTGGAAGCGCCAAGGTAGTTCCTGTATTTACACGTCGAGTTCGCCGCCCACAGCCACAAAACCGGATACTCGCTGCTTCTATGGTGGAGAGTAGACGGATGGCCTCCAGCTCACCAATGCAACTGCAAACTCAGTCGTCATCACTTCCTCGGCACGATCCTCGTAGCGAATGGTCCTGGGAGACCCGTATTCGCACTGTCCTTCTTTATCCCAACCCTAAGCCGCCACAATTACCACTTTCATCAGTCGAATCCAACCTTAATATTTCCAACAGCAGTCGAAGCACCACCGAAACTTCGACTTCTTCGTTCTGGACCACCACTCCGACAAGTGAAACCTTCAATTTCAGTCCCATCGACGAGATTCCAGACCCAGACACGCCATTGTCCGAGCTCAACGATATATTCGAAGAGGATGAAGATGAAGACATGTATGAGGACTATCCCACGTTCAATCACAACTCGGCGTATTCGCGTCCTTGGAAGCCGTCTGTTCCTGTTCCAACTGCAAAGCCAGCCGCGCCACCTCCACTTGCAACCAATTTCTCTCCCGATGTGACTTATGGCTGGTTAGCGGACCCATCGACTTGGACCTCACCTTCAACTTGGCAGGGCGACGGTTGGGAGGTCTCGTCACCATCATCGTCTCATTCTCGTTCGTCCTCTCTCCTGGAACCTTTGTCTGCCTCGACCATTTCACCCTCTTCACCTTACCAATATGGGTATCCTGGGTACAGCCAAACACCCTATTCAGCAGCAACTGCACCAAATCCGCGAACTCCAACCCGCGATCGGTCGCAGTCTTCCTCTTCTCCATCACAAAGTCGGTCTAGTTTCTGGGCATCCATACCAGGGCGGCACCGACGGTTACAATCGCTCAAGCCAGTTTCTGCCGCTGAACGAGAATCATATGCTGTAAAACCACTTCCTCCAGCACCTGGACAAACGGCCACGCAATTGTCGACACCCATAACGCCACAATCGGCTCCCCTCCTCGGTTTTGGTACATCCAGTCATCGGAAGGAGAAGGATAAGGAGAAGGGACTCAGCTTCATTGCAGGCCTTGTGCGAAAAGCGACTCTTTCGTCTCACAACCGAGTAGACGATGTCGCTGAGCCTAGTCCGACCCTGTCGGACACGAGCTCAGTGTTCAGCTTTGGCATGGGTCAGAATAAACTCCGCAAGCAGCGGAGTGGACTTCGTCGAATGAGCAGTCAGCGAAGCTTGACAACAGCCAGCATCGTTTAGGCGCGAGTGTTATTATTATCTACTGATTTGGTTTTGCCTCTGCGTACATTGGTCTTCTACACCTCCATATTCTTATACTTATACGCTCCTCATCATCTTGCATGTACAAGTACTGACCCACAACTCGCATTGCCCTTGGCTTGACTTCAGACTTGTCTGTTTAGTGGGATGAGTCACGCTGTGACATTGTTTTTTTTGACATCTTCTCAGTGTTTTGAAGATTCACATCTACAGGCAAGACTATCATGCAAGACCAGCGGGAACGGAGGGTGCTTCCTTCAAGCAATAGCAGAAGTGGAGGGTTGAAGTAAATGCACCCAGCTCAAACCAGTGCCGATGACTGTCAAATCATGATGCGGTACCGCAACTTTCTCAAAACTATGGAACCTTATGGAACCATGGGAGTGACTCACGAAACTTCTTTCCGCTTGCCTTCATGCGTCAGACCCCTTCTCCGCTGCTGGGCGATGGTCGGGGTGTCTTCCGCATCCATGTTGTTGGCAATGCCGGTAAATCACTAGTATCTTGCTTTGAAGATAGAACCAACTAAGGACCAACGCGCCCAGGTTCAGGCAAGGTACAAATCAGTATCTGGACGTTCCAATGTGTATCTTGAGCAACTTCCAGAGCACGCTGAGCCGGGAACTCGCCAGAATTCTCAACATTCCGTACATTTGTCTGGACGAGCTTTTCTGGAAACCTGGCTTTGAAATGGAAACGGCCGAGCAATTTCGGGTCAACGTCGCAAATGCGCTTGCGAATTGCCCAAACGGCTGGGTCGTCGATGGAGACTTTCGCCGTCGGATTAGCGACATCGTCGACACTCAAACTACTGACGAGATTTGTGCGTCGATTTTCTTTTACTCAATGCTTGCCTACATGAATAGGGCTTGATCTTCCACTTGCGCTGTACCTCCCTCGACTCACAATTCGTACTTTGGCTCGTCTTTTTGGACTCGCCGAGCCATGTCGGCCTGGCTGCGAAGAGACACTCAGTGTCTTTTTCTCCCGCGAAAACATGATTTGGTGGTGCATCACAAATCATGGTGTCGTGCGCCAACGTGAAGCTGCCCGCTACGAAAAGATGGGCAGAGAAGAAGGCACGGATGTTGAGAATCGAAAGATGCGTCGCATTGGCGGCTGGGGTGGGCAGCTGAGGGCGTGGTTAGAGGAAGTCCGCGACATGCGCCGTGGCCATTGAGTCATCAAGTTCAATCTTACATTGTGTACTACATCAATGGCCAAAATCCACAGATGTGTTTTTTCTTGAAAGCCGTACGCACAACGTGACCGTGTAGCCTTCTCTGTTTGCCAAGGGATGTTCAAGATGACATTACCCCCTACGGAAACACCCGGAACGATGACTGGCGGACTTGACATCAGCGCATTCCGCATTCCGGTCATGAATAGCTCCGACAAGTCCTCATGACTCAAATCCAGGAGCGATTTCCTTTGTCAAGCGGACGAGTAAAGGCTCATGGTTTATGATAAAATATTTTCCTACTTTCCTCCATAGCAAGCCAGCTATAGCTAAAATAAACCTCAGGTTATATCTGGTATTCGCAAAACTGATTCTTGTCCAATGTCACAAGTTGTTCGCATTTTTTGGCTCTTCATCATCGACGCCCACACTGGACAAGAATCGACCGGGCGAATCTAAGGACAAGCTTCCCACGCTGCCGATCAGCAAACGGAACGCGGAACGTCTAACGCCGTCGGATTCAGGCAAGTTCAAGGCCGAAAGAAAAATGGGAAACTAAAGAAGAAATAGTCGACTGTAGTCTGCATGTGATGATTTTGACGACTTCGAAACAAGACCACGCCAACTTGGCGGCGTGGCGCACAACCGAGCTTGAATCAAACTCGATCTCGGTGTTTCGGGCAAGATACGGCCTATACGAGTCTGTCCTCACTTGTTATTTACCCTTCGTCACCGAACGCCTACGAATGTCGGCCCCCTTGCAACGGGAGAAAGGTTTTATCATGATGGCTGTGTCTTAATTCTCCAACGGCACAGTCTATAGCCGTCGACTTGGACAACGAAACTGTCGTTCCCTGCCTCGTTCTCTCGCATCAGGATGAAACTGTTCACGCAGCACATCTAGAAGCGCTCAGAAGCGACTTGTACGCAACAGGAATTGTTGGGCTGTGATGAACTTTTTCGTCGGGGACTCCAAGGTATGTAAGAAACGGAACCCCGGACCTAAAGAGAGGGGCATGAACACTTATCCGGACATCGTCTCCAAAGGAACCCACGGGGCGGCGCATTCTCCGTGTTCGTTTTGCAAGGTGCCCTGCAGCTTGCTGCTTGTTGCACCTCCATAAGTAGTAAGTTCCTCGTAAGGTTTATCGTTGACAGTGACTATCGAACGGAGCAGACCTTTACCACATTCTCTGCGATGCCGTATAGGTATTTCGGGAAAAATTATTTGAGCGTGCTTGAGTGGGTTGTTGTGTTGGGATCAAACACAGGCGATCAGCTGGCCGAACATATCAAATAATATGCGTGACAAGTTCCTGGGCGCAACCGCAATGGAAAATCCTATAAAAGCTCTTGCGGGGCCCCGCAAGAGCTCCCCGTTCGCTCACCTTCTACCATGGCCACCATCCTTTCCAACGCGAACTCCCAGAAGATCGTGTACCGCGACCAAGTTCGTCCTCGATCGGCCGCACTGCAGCGTTGGGAGCGTATTCGTCATGGACCTGCTCATTGGTTTGTCGAGTGCCTCTCAGAGGCGGTGAGCTTTTTGTTTGTCCACATCGTTATGGTACTCACAGCAGTTATTATAGTTTGGTGTATTCTTCTAGTTCGTCTCCGATCTCACAAATCTTCTTGGCTCACTGACGCTTCGCTATAGCTGCTATGCGGGTGTGGGCTCACAGGCCATCTTTGTCATTGGACACCTGACGCAACAAGAAGGTCTTGGGTGTACGGACGTTTCTCGTAAAACTTGACTGTCCTCTAATCACGACTCTTAGCACTTTTCCAAATTGGTTGGGGATACGCAGCTGGAATCATGCTTGCTATAACCTGCTTCTCGGCAACATCGGGCGGTCACTTCAATCCCTGTGTCACCATTTGCTATATGCTCTTCAACAAGTTCCCGATCACGAAAGGCATCCGATATATTATCGCTCAAATCCTGGGAGGTTATATTGCTTGCCTCTTCGTTTACCTGCAGTATAAACATACCCTCAACACCATTGAAGCCGCATTACCTGCACCAGCCCTTGCTGCCGTCCTATACACACCCAACGGACCAGCTGGAATCTTCGCCAACTTCATGCAGCCCGGGGCCAGTGTGGGTCTCGCCTTCGTGAACGAGTTCATGGCGGTATGCATATACCTTGGGGGGTCAAATATGCGCAATTGATCTTGATGACTAGGATTTCTTCATTGGCTTGGTTCTTATGGGCGCCACCGACCCAACCAACGCATTCGTTCCTCCTTCTTGTGTTGCACCTATCATCTCTCTGGCATACGCATGTGCCATCTGGGGCTTTTCTGCAAACGGTCTTTCTGCCAACAGCGCTCGTGACTTGGGTGGACGTTTTGCTGCATTCACGATCTGGGGTACTAAAGGTTAGTTGTTTGTTGGACCCGGCTGCATCTGAACCTGACCGGACTTCCTAGCTGTTGGCAGAAGCAGCGGCTACGCCGCCATTTCAGCATTGACCAACATTCCGGCCACCATTCTCGCGTTCCTCGTCTACGAGTTCATGTTTGTTGATTCGGACCGTGGTAGGTTTCTTGTTGGGTTCTTGGATGTTTACTCAAAACGACCCAGTTGTTCCACAGGGTAACCGCGAGTTCTACGACGTCCACGTTCTTCACCGGCGCCTCCATACCGCCAACCATGGCCACCTCCCCAAAGATGCTGATGCTGACTCCGCTAGCAGCTCCGCCCGCAAGGAGATGGTCGGTACCGTGGAACGCGTATAATTTTCAAAAAGTCGTTCTTTTGGTTAACAATTTATTGTACTACCTTGCGTCATCTTGCGCTGCTAGTTTTGACCCGTGTACACATAATATAGTTGGTGCAAGGTCTTGCGAGGCTTTAGGTTGCTCTTTTCTGAGAAAAGTTGCTCGCCAGTGTTTGAAAGATTAAGAAAGGAAGCAGATTCCAAGAGAGCCCAGTAGTATTGGTGGCAGGAAATTTGCTGGCAATGGATATGGTTATCAACCAAAAGTTCGAGTAACAATCAGTGTGACCAAGTTGCATGTGAACAAAACGCGGACTTCAACTCGACTCGGCAGCCTGAAATCGCACTGGCACGGTATGGAATGGTAGTGTACAGCGCGCCAGTCCTACAAACAAATGAATACAGCAACTTTGTAGTACAAGACTAAAAAGAAAAGATCAGAGAGTAACTAAGCCATTCAAGTTCAAGTTCATGCGGAGGCGGCAACAAGCTGCAAGCCCATCGCTACTCGTGCGGCCTCATTTGCCTTTCCCAGCGCTAAATCATCTTCGCTTCCCAGTCCGACAAAATTAACCCCAGTGGTTGCAACAGGGAAATCTGGTGGAGGGATGCCCGCCCGGAAAGCATCCGCTTGACGGGCGATATAGCGCTTGTTTGCTGGAGTAAGAGGTACTGATGGAATATACATAACCGCTGAGTCTTCGTTTCCGTTGTGCTCGCGCTCTACAGAATGCACGACATCACAATGCCAGAAAACTGTGTCGCCTGGGTTGACCGCGGGGACCGAAGTCATGGTCTTGTTGAGGGAAAGGTGCTATGGAAGTACTCTTTGATCAATCAATAATCATTTGGACGCATTGACGCTTACCGGATGTAGTTCTTCGGTAGGGTGCAAATTGAATCCAACCTGCGTCTGCCGTTTGAAGACTCCAGCAATCTCTGGCGTGGTGAGATCTTGATTAAGAGCATTTTCATGTCAATCCATTTCCACACTCTAATGAAACCTACCGAATACCCAGTTCTTTACGTCCCAGATTTCCTTCGAATCCGGAGCAACCAATGGGCGAAAGAAAGGACGAAGAATGATGTAGGCGTTTGAGAGCAAAACGTCAGGGAAGACTTTCAATGTGCCATGCCCGGGGGCAGTCGCGCTGCAGTTAACTTCATTAAAGCTCGATGGAGCATCTAGCATTGGAAAATCGACCTTAGCGCCAGCCATCCTTGAAATGTGCGAAAAACACTTGACTACCTGAATGTAAGCCGCATTGGAAAGAGACAAATAGTTGCTTCACACACTTGATTGGGGCGTTGATAGAGAGACGTCCTTGCCTCGAGTCTGGGTTCGAGAACGTATGGATCATGCTTTTTCCACGATCCTGCGAGAATGTCTGAGAAACACGACCGCATTTTGATGTCTTGCCAGCGCTCAATGGTACCGCCTGCGAATGAATATCAACCCTTATTTCTTTGCCAAAATTCGGCTCACCATCTATATGTGGCGGATGAGCATTCCATTCGAACCCGGGTCGTCGAATTCTAAATCTATCTGCGTAACTGAGAGGGGTCTTGAGATCAACGCCTGCCAAAGTTGACGCGTTGCTAGTCCCAGTAGGCTGGTAAAGGGTGTTCAACCATGTTGTTGCAGCCAGCATGTTCGGGTGTGCACGAGCTTCAAGTTGACTTCTAGTCCAACTGCGAATAAGTTCAGTAAGGTATATCAACCCTGCTACCAGATAAACGCAACTAAAGATGGAAAAACTGTTTGTCGTCTTCCGGGAAACCTGGCGCTGAAGGTTAGTCACGTTATATATAATCGACAGACGAGGCCCACCCTCAGCTTGGGGATTCTTCTTGACGAATTCCTCGAGTTCTTCCTTCCAAAGACGAGCTTGTTTGTCGTCGATTACGTCCTTGATAACGACTGAACCTTTGCGCTTGACTTCAGCAATTTGCGCTGCGCTCAAACTCCCCGCTTGAATATCAGCAAACGATACTGTCGGGATGTACTATTCGTTCTTTAGTAAATCAAGCCACGAAGCAGCGAAGATGGACGGGAAACATACACTAGGTCCTTCCTGAGCTATAGTGTTGGTTACAAGTTGGAGTTCCGCGATAATTTCAGCCCAAGCTTGAGTGGCCTTTTGCTCGAAGTCAGGTCCATTCTCGGCGGCGATGGCTGCTTTGATATCTGCGAAAGTAGCTTCGTCGGTGCTCATGGTGAGAGTTGGAAACAAGCCTTGCGGCAATAGTGTGGCTCGGCCCGATGGTCCGGGGAATTTTGAGCCGCCGAAGCGATGGCCGTACATAAATTTACATGCAAGGGATTAAAATCAATACAAGCACCACATCCCTACGAGATTCAATACTTAAGCAGTTATGCCACAGACCTGACGAAAGCACCGCTTTTTCCAAGTTCACAAATAAGTCCCAATAGCCCAATTGACTGGGATATTTGTTGCGTTGTACTCGTGGAACGTTGGTTTGACCCGTCTGTGGGGGCCCAAAGCGTGTTGTGCCGCAGAAGCAATCCTGATCAGAGTGGGTTCACTGAATGCTGTACCCACAAACGAAAGGCCAAAGGGAGTGTGCCAATCGTCAATCCCAACGGGCTGGAAACTCTCTTCAACAAGAAAAATGCGATTGATAGCCATGAACCACCCACGATTGTGATCATTGGATATCCGGCCTGTGCTGGGATGTTCGTCCCTGGACCGTTATCGTCCGAAGGAATGAGCAATGCGTCCAGATGGACACGATGGCCATTTGGAAGAGTAGGATTAAGCGCGTAATCAATCCCATCCACGCGCGAGGTCCGTCGACACCATGTCTGGAAGAAAGTAAGTGGGATAACAAACCAAACCCGAGCCGTAACCTACCAACGCTTGTTTGTAAGTTGAATTCTCTATACCCTGTGTTGCCAGGGACGCTAGGAAGCCATCTTGTCCTGATTCGAAGGCGGCTGTGACATCCTATTTTATTTTCGTTGATTCAACCTTGTCGACGCAGACTTAAACCACTCACGGGTTGGCCGCCTTCATTTGCTAGATTCTCCCCAGCATCGTTGAAAGCAACGATGTCCTCCAATGAACGCATGGTGGTATTGCCTAGCTCAGACAGGTATGCTTTGATATTGTTGTAGAAGTCGACCTGTGAGTGTTAGCTTGGCGGATTTGAGGCGTAAAAACTGAACCGACGTTGACGACAGTGAGCTCGCTTTGGTTCACTGGACCGTATGCCCAGTTCCAACTAGAGAGAATGGGTTATACACGACACCGAAGCGAACTTCTGGGCTAACCCGTCTGGCGATACGATCTCCTAGAGTCATTTTAAAGATAGGCATTGGGCCAACGGAGACACAAACCTTGACAAACTTGTAGTTCGTGTTGTTATAAACTGGCTCAACTCAGTTTCTCCACGCGCAGAACACTCATAGCTTGGCACCTTCGACACCGTGCTGTTGATGCATTAGGAATGGCATTCTCAAGAACATCCACGCACCTGCTTCAAGATGTCAATCGCTTCCAGCAGTACAGGAAGCTGGTGACTTGTAGTCTTGCCCGTCCACAACCGCTCCCACGGAATCCCCACCTTCATTCCTTTCAGTGCGCTCTTGTCGTGTATGAATTGCACGTAGTCTGATTAGTTTGAGAGATTCAATTGACGGCAAGTCACCATGAGTGATTCTCACTTTGTGGTGTCTTCCCAAGCTGCTCTAGGGTCGCGTCGTCCCGATAGTCGAGACCAAACACGGCATCGAGTCCATAAGCAGCATCTTCGACAGTCCTTCCAAAGACTCCAACAGTGTCTTGATGAGAACTTTCAGGGATTATCCCGGCGCGCGAGGTAAGCCCCACGGTGGGCTTTATTCCGACGATGTTGGAGCGTTCGGCAGGCGAAATGACAGAGCCGTCCGTTTCGGTTCCAAACGCAATGGTCACCATATTTGTTGAGACAGAGTGACCAGCTGCCGCAATTCGTTATTATTGAGATAGACAGAGGGAGGAAAACAACCAACAACCAGAGCTCGAGCCGCCCGGTTCTTGCGTGAGGTTATAAGAGTTGCGAACCTGTCCACCTCTGGTAAATTTTAGCTGGGGATTGATTAGTGGACTGTGACGCACCTTGCGCTATAGCCCTCTGAGTATGATGTACTCCGCATATCCGCCCATTCACTCATTCCTGCGTGGCCTAAAATGACAGCGCCTGCGCTCAGAGTTTAGTCAAAATGTGTGGCAAAAAGAGGTTGGTTTTCACCATTTTTTCGCATGAGACTGACTACGTGAGCGTCTCGAGGCACGATACTCCCAACGAGAGCAAGGCTGCCTGCTGTGGTTTGCATCTTGTCCTTGGTTGCGAAGTTATCTTTGACCAGCACAACAATCCCATGCATAGGACTGCGTTTTTTTCCGGCTCTGAGCTCCCTGTCGAGGTTATCGGCGATCGACAAGGCGTCTGGGTTGAGTTCCATAACGGCACTACCAAGTGGGTGAACAGGGAAGAACGAGACAGACTGGAGAGAACATACCGAACGTAACGATCGACCTGGGCTATCCTTCCCAAGTAGCACTCAACGACTTGACGCACAGTCAATGCCTGACTGTCGTACCACCGCTGAATTTGTGCAACACCAGCGTCTTCAAGGGGAAGACCATGACACAGCGGCATTGGAAAGGGCTGCAGAACATGAGACGCATTGGAAGGGAGTTGAGAAGCATGATTGATCGAGACAGTTGCAGCACAAGTGCCTGCAAAGAACACCCACCGCCACGACAACATTCGTGGAGAATGTCAACCAAGGGAAAAAATTAATACATATCACTCCAAAGAAGATAAGATAAGATTACAAGTCAGAGATATATTACACCCTCAAAATAACCCGCGGTAGATTGGCCTTGGATTCAGATTTGGATGGCAATGGTATTTTGATTGTTAACTTCCGATACTCTGGCGTAGGCTTTCCTCCCTCACCAATAAATGCTTGCTTCTTGACTGGACGACGATTTTCGTCCGGCGTTGAGGCTTTGAGCTTCGCAATAGCCTTGGGCAAGGCCTTTTGCATTGGCCGAGGTGGCACAGAATGCTGCGGAGTTGACTGGAATTTTCGAGCACTTGAAAGAGCACAGGCCTGGCGGACGGACCGTCGCACAAAATCGGACGCTTCCAAGTCTGGTGTTGCTGTCATCCTCAAAAGAGGCTTGTGTTCGTTGTCCGGGGCTGGCAGATTCCCCGTAGACACAGACTCCTGTACTCGCCACCACCATTGAGCAGACGCAACCAGCTGCTCTTTGCCTTGCTTCTGCTTGGGATCTCCGGTCACAAGATCAAGAGCGACATCGAGTTTGGCGTGGAACGGGGCGCCAGGCATGAACTCTGTGGCAGTCGAAGCTGCTAGATATCGATCGATTTCTACGCGAGAAAGTGGCGAAGGCGGGGGAGATTCATCCGACTCCGGAGGATTATCTCCCATTTCCATATCCTGGTCGACCTCCATGACTTCGTTCGCACGACTGGGTGATTGAACGGAGATAGAGCAAATGTCGTTCAGTGCTGCGCCAAAGTCCTCATCTTCTTCGTCGGCATTATCAAGCATCCACGATCCCGAAACTTCCTGAGAGTCATCTGCCAGCTCGTCGTTGCTCATCGACGAGAACGAAGACATGGATGAGTCCCTACGCTCGAGACCACGGGTGGCAGCACCAGAGAAATGGGGCGCGGGAGCGAGGAACTATAACAAAAAGTCAGCAGCCACGTGTAAGTTGAGTAAGTACGCGCCGTATATGATGAATGACCGTGTTGTTTTGCAAAGTCAAGACCCTGCTGGGCGGACGAGAAAGACGGTCGCATAATGAAGCACGAAGGATAGTAAACGCTTCATTGTTGCTGTCGCAAGAGCTCTTTTATACGATGAGGCCGTTGCGCTTTGATTCGCATGAGCATTGTCGTGCTTGCATCGCGTCTAGCGCTTTGTTGGTGATGCTTAGAAGTAAGTTTCCGCCTCAACTCCACTCAAGCATCCATGGTTTGTATGCACTTTTAATATGGTCGTCGGTATCCGGAGGAAAGCAATTTTATCGCATTGGTGGTTGGGGGAAGAGTGAACCCTGTTGGGTCGCTAGGTATAAGTATACGCATTGTTGACGCCGGAAAGTCGCTGGAAAGTATCGGCTTGATGGAGTAGTTTCGAAAGCGAGTTGAAATCGCTTCGGGGGCACCATTATCGGCGGGTGAACATGTCCTATTGTACGAGTGGTGAGCATTCGTGCCCAGGTCGGAGGACACATAGGATGTGGATTCTCCAACGATATCCCCCCTCCAGCCGCAACAAGTGCATATTCCGCTTTTAACTAGGCAGTCGTTTATGTTCAGTGAATCCCTTCAGTCGAGAGTCGTGGCGCTTGGGGAAGAGGTGTGGTCGTTGAAGCGAAACAGAGGAGTCATGGGACATATCAGTAGTACTGCTAGCCCCACAAACTCTTGACTGAAGAAAGTTAAGAAAGGTCTAGGTGATCTGTCAGACGAGCTTGCGGCATCTCGGCACCAGATGATGTGCCAGAGCGGTCTCCGAAACACGGTCACGGGAGTGGTGAGGACGCCACCAAGTATCGTTCTTAATGGAATCCAGGAAGAGTGACCTGGAGGTCGTTACGGGGGTTTCTTTTTCCACTTGGCGCTGTCCAAATATTGTGGAGAATTGAATTCAGCTGCATCGGGAAATTTGGGTTCAAGTCGCCCAACTCGTCCATCTACGTGCCATCGTTCTTCATCTACATCTGGGCGCTAATCGACGGAAAATCCCTTCAATGCTCGTCGTCATCTTTTACCCGAGCGACAACTGGGAGCCCGGCACTTGTACCCTAATCTGGGTGTTATTATCTTTCGTTCCCGATCCTCCCGCTCCCGATCCTCCTGATAAGTGGATTGGCGTCGGTAGAGTCACCCTCAGGCACGGTCAGTTAAAACGCACTCTCACTGGCAGTCTCTCACTCGATGTCAGATCGCAATCGAAACGTAGCTTCAAGTTGTTTGGATCGCCTTGCTCCGCATTTGCTCCGCCTGAATAGCCTCAACGTGAGCCTGAGAAGTGAGCTCATCACAGAAGTTGCCTTCCTTTGTCTGCTTGATTATATATTGGGAGTATTTCATGATGACTCGCGTTAATCAATCTTCTAATTCTCGAAAATTCATCGGGCCCCGAGCCAGCAGCCAGCCCGAACACACGCCGCCCTGTGCATGTAGTTGTTTTGGAATGTCGGCGAACAGGCCCGCGGCCCCTCACCGGGATATTTGCTGCACATACTAACCGGTGTGCGACGACCGGCGCACCTGAGCTTGTCATGCGATCCGAAGATCTATTGCTCTTTTCGGCACAAGGAGACGATAGCAATCCCCGCGTACATATGGATAAACACTGTTATACTTAACAAGCGGCTAAGCGGTTACTACTGGTCAGACTTTTAAGTTCGCAGACTTGAACTGGCAGCAGGTTTCACCTAAGGATTCTGGGGAAGGCCAGAGATTCATATATATATTATCTTAAGCTTAAAGCATAATCTACCTTGAACTTAAATTTGCACGATTTTCAAGCAACTGCGTAGCAAGCTAAGGCAAGCAAATCTGATGTATCATGATATCAGTCACGGCGTTACGAATGCTCTTGTCTCTTTCCTCGTCGTCCTCGCCCACAACAAGATCTATCGGCGGGGTTTGGGGATAGGGTGAAGGTAATCTCGGCTAGTACCATGCTTCCAGTCGACCCAGACGTCCGGCTCCATCTGGTTTCTGTGTTCGCTCTCACTTCAGTGGGTCCATTCTTTGATTGCCTTTGATAAACTCACACAGTGTCACACAAATAAGGAAATTATGTCGAATGTTGCCCTGATTTTTGCACAATACTGCCGCTTGCGTCGAAAATGACTTCCAGCTCTCTGGATCGTTCAGAAAAGACCCTAATCTCCTCAAGAACGTCAGCTTGTGACCTCCACGCGTCGAACTAATTATCGGCACGGTCGGGAGGCTCAAACCCACGTGTTCTCTGACTATTTTTTGACTTCTGCGAGCGCTCAACACAGGCTTGTTCTCTCCCCCCATCTTCTACCTTGTAACGGCGCATCTAATGTCCCTTTGGACTACTGTGTCCTCTTTGCCTCCAGCTATGGCGACTAGCAACCGCGATCAGCACCTCCCCATCGTGGATAGGAGCTCCAACTACGCCTCGGCTGCTCTCGGCAAGAAGGAGGACGATGGCCTTCCGTTGGCCTTGAAGCTCAGCGATATCCTCGTTGACGAATTCGCCAATGACCCTGACGATGTCACGGTTCCACCTACTCACCCTTCGTCCGTCCCCGATGCGGGGGAAAGTCTGTCTCGCTTGACGGGAAGCGTGGGTAGGCATGACGGAACCACCTCGTCCAAGCCACAAGACAAGTACGAGCCCTACCAATCCTCAATGCGGCCGTCGAAAATCAAGTCGGTGAGGATTGACCCAAACATTGGTCCAGAATATCAACATAATTAACCTTACAGGAGAGCGCATTGTGGGCTGGTAGTGAGCGTTTGATGCCTTCAACCATCGAAAACTATCATCAAGCACCGTGGACGCAGACTAACGGCCCTCGAGCTGTCAAGCCAGCTAGTAACCACTTCCCGGTCGCCTTTCAGGCCTTGCCCGAGCCACCAACTGCATCTCAAATACCCTATTCTAGTGGAGGGCCCCCTGAGCGCAGATACAACCAACTTCCAACGCCACCATATACCCCAGTCACACTTCCACGACCTCTTCCAGTCATAATTACTCCCCAAGTAGTTCATATACCTGAAGGATTTGTTCCGTCCTCGTTTCACAGTCAGCAGGAGCTGCGCTATCCTCCACCCAGGCCCGTCAGCAATGTCGATCATCCCGCGACGCTTGCTCCCAAGCAAATCAACGGCTTGGTTCTTCCTGACCCCAACGCAGTCGAATTCATGCGCCGCAAAATGGGTCTTCGCAAGGATGACACAGTCAATCTGCATTCGATTCCCGACACTACTGATGGTAGTCGTCCGGGGATTCCTTTGCATCAGCTTATAGGCCTGGCGATCTGCGGCAGCGAGCGCCAGAGGCTTCCCCTCAAGTCCATCGAGAACGCCATCGCTGACCGATTCACGTATTACTTTGAGTACAGGTATGACGCTTCCTGGAAGGTCTGCACTGTTTTTCCGGTCAAGGGAGTTTTTTTTACCTTTGCACAGAATTCAATCCGCCATGCCTTGTCATTGTACAAGATGTTCGTCCAAATGCCTCGTGATGTCGACGATCCAGGCAAAGGCGCATACTGGACAATCAGCACTGCAGATGGTGAAGGTTATGCTAGGAAGCGCAACCGCAAGAAAGGCAAGGCAGCTAAGAAGCCCACTCCGAAGTTAGTGACTTGTTGATTTATTTCTTGTGTTTTCTAAGCAACCGCAGATATGAAGACTCGGACGACGACTCTTTCTTGGACAGCAGCAGCGAGTCCGAGGAAGTTGAGGCTGCTGAGCGATACCATCCCTATGCTCGTGCTACGCGGGCACGTCGCCAGGCCTCCCCAATCGTCACCGGGAGACGCATGACGACTCGCAGCGGCGCAAAGAAGGCTCTGCAGCTGTAGAGTCAATATATGACCACAAGGCTTGACGCACACGGATCGGATTTCACGTTTCACTTGTATCACTAGCTTTTCCTCTCGCTTTTCGCATTGCTTTCCATTGGCTGTCGAGCTATGATGTACAATCACGACTGAAGTAGGACTTGTAGCATACGGTGTTCTATTCTTGTTGCTCTCTTACAATTGTTCTTGTTCTCGATGAGGCCGTGCTTTTGTTAAAATCGATCGAGGTTCGGACTCAGACGAGGGTGAGAAGCGCGTCGTCCTCAAACAATTGTTGTCTGTTTTCTCGAGACAAGTTGTCCGTGGTTCTCGTATTTTGGTAAAGCCGCCCGAGAGCCGCCTCCACCGACTGACCGATGGGCCTCGGCACAACGTCGCAATCAGTTGGACGATGTCAAAGCCTTGGAACGATGATATTACGTGGTTAAAGACTTTTTACGCTGCCCTGTGCGTCCACCCACAGCTGCTTTACTGCCGACCAATATTCGTCTGGATACATTCTGGCATGGGCAACATGCGGACTGTCTTCAAACCTAACCTTCCTGACATTCAGCCTATCTTGTTCGCACTCGTTGATGTGTTGCTCGACCTCTTTCCACGGAACCATTGCGTCCCGCTTCGAATAGAAATATAACCGCGGCGTCTGCCCGTTGACGTCCAGCCATGGTAAGAGGCTCGGCCTCCGGAGCATCGTCAACATTTGTTGGAATGGATGGGCTTGCCGAAGAACAACTCCGCGTACGAGGAAAACGAGAAAGAGGTAGACAATCGAAATGATTCGCGCAAACAATCGCATAATTTTGTTCTGGATCGGACTGACCATAGCAAGAGCGATGTGCGGAATGCTAAAGCCGCCGGGAGAAGAGTCGATGATGAGCGCGGTTGCAGGTACTGGCGTCGAACCAGTAAGCTTGGGCTGCGAGGCTAGTAGCCGATTGAAGGCCATCATATGGAACGAGCCACCTGTCGAGTTTATGAGAGTGAACACTTGGAGAACGAAAGCAAGACCGTTGGAAAACGAGTGTGTCAGGATGCGCTGACGACCTTGGAAGCATCCCAACGCTTTCAAAACATCGAGCACAGGATTAAATCTTTCGGCCTGGAAATTTTGTTGCGGTTGGTTGTGCTCAACGGTTGCGAGCTTACTTACCAGTTTCGCCCAAGAAGCAGAGAAGAATGAAATATGGCTTCTAACCACGATAATCGTGGCTGCAGGATATAATTTTCGGTATGCTTCGGTGTATTTCAGCAAGTGGGCCCGTTTCGCCGCCATCCAGCCGAATAAGATTATGACCCTACACGATTGACTGTCCAGTGTCATGAGGAAGTCAAGAAGGTGCCGACTCACGTTGGATCACCATCAATAGCTTCCTGGTCATAGCTCAACTGCGAGTCCGTCGGTCGGTATATGAATGCATGCGGACCCAGTGAGGTGTATACTGCTTGCTCAACAGTTGCCTCCGGCATACCTGGCAAGAGTTGTGGAACAGTTGCGGTTGGGGACAAGTTTCCAAGCCGATCACAATTTCCTTGGGGTAGATCATGATGGCCCATTGACAGCTCGGACCGAGAGATTGCCGAGAATGTCAGACGAGCAAGTAAAGCAAGTCGAGCCAATTCACCGTTTAGGGTATACTATAAGCCAACCAAGCTTCTCCCATCTGCTCGTTCCCCCCCACCCACCGGCCAACCAATTGTGAAACAGCTGTTTTGGCCATCCATCCCGCAATGATAATCGTTGTCGTGAAAAGAGGGTGAGTATCCAGAATGACTGAGTTATTGATTGATTCAGTGCTATACGTGAAGAGGAAGCATACCTCTGAGACCAAAGCCCGCTGACATGCCACCTAACACATTGCGGACAACCCATTCGCGATCAATATTTTCATCCTTGAACAGCTGAACATCGAAAGGGAGTGGCACAGGCTCCGAAGAAGGCCGCCAAATAGTGAGTAGGAATAAGAGAAAAAGTTTTGTCAAGGAAGAGTAAAAAAGTGTGAGCGGGATGAGCGAGAAGCGAAATTCTCGTCGGATGTCCGAGTCAGATATCGGAGCATGCCTCAATTTGTCGGCGAGTCCGAGAACTAGGAAGCAGCCCACGATGACTGCACCATGAAATGCAATGGTTTCTAAGGAGATATTGGCGGTATTCGAAAATTCACGGATGGATGGGTTACCGATCGAGACTCCGACCAGAGTTCGAAAGAGTGTATTGATGGTTTGCGGTGTCCATGGTGAGATGTCGCTGGGTTGATGTGGGTCTGAAGAGCTCAGTTTAAGAGGACGAACGATCTAGTGAAGTCCACACTTAAATAGCTCCATCTGATAACTGAGCCAGGTTAGTTGCAAATCTGAAAATGACTGGAACCCGACTGACAAGCGTCAATGCACACCAAAGGCCCACCAAAACGAAGAATAGTGAACCAGCGCGTCTGAATTTCATGAGCCTGGAGTCTAGTGATAAAGACCATTTGAGAATTGCACCAGCTCGCGTTTATTCCATGAGTCTGGGGGTGGGTCTACCAGAACGCCGGCTATAGATCGGCGAGGCTCTGTTCCACGATTGTAGAGCAAATGCCTGAAAACTGCGCGTTTGAGGAGCATGAGATCCAGAAGTAGCATCAAGGAGTCGTGCTCGACGTAAGGATCAGCAAAGCAAGATTGGCTCTTATTTTCCAGAGGTTGGTCTCGTTGGAGTTGTGCACATTTACGCTGTTAGTTTTTGGTTGAGTTGTCAAGCTATATCAATAATATTAATGCTCACACATTGCTCTAGACGGAGATTATGCTCCGATTCGTATATGGTATAGAGAAATGGGAGGGTAGTCGTGCAGGTTGTGCAGATCGGCATGCAGGTTCGCAAGGTCACGCACAGTCACTGTGTGACACTTTTCCTTTCAAGTTTAGCAATGCCGCCTGCGCCATCTTCCTCTCGCGCTCTCAATGCCATATTACCTCAGATTGCGACTGCTCCGTACGAAGCACATCAGAAAGCAAGAACATTCGCATCTCGATATGTGAAATCTGGGCAGCATGATGTTGCTATCGACGTCCTTTTCCAAAGTGCCCGCGAACTTTTCAAGGCCGGCCAAGCGGGGAGCGGTGTTGATCTGACTGGCTTTCTGCTGGAGGTCTACGAGACCAAGGGCGAAACTGTCTCAGACGAGAGTAGAGGTGCTTCTCTTCGTGACCGCGCAGATTTAGGAATTGCTCACAACACTTAGGACGATTGACACAACTTATTGCCCTTGCTGGAACGGAAGGAGCGTGGAGAAAAACCATCATCGACAAATCCCTAGCGTGAGGCGCTTGTCGTCCTTATGCGCTCGTCAAGATTTGACCATTCGGCTGCAGCTGGTCGACAATGCATGGGGCAAGTCCTGCTGGTGATGCCGAGCTGCATCATTATGTTGGAGAGCTGCTCTATAAAGGCAAGTCCCCACCAATAATGTCCGCCCCAGCTTCGTTGCTCATCGAATCCAAGAGGGCGCTTTCGAAGCTGCGGAGCCCCACTTTCTTGCCTCAAGTAAACGCGACAGTGCCCGCTTGCTTGCTGAAATGTTCTTGGAGTGGTCTGCAGTAGACATAGACTCTTTGGGTGCATTTTCGCTGCGCGGGACCTTACCGTAAGTTCTCTCAGATTCCATAGGCACCGTCTCACTATCCAAAACCAGATATCTGTTGAATGGCAATATTCTCTGTGCACGCACCTTCATAACTCAGTTTGTCACCTCCCTTCCACGAGCTTCAGACCCCCCACTCTCTGTTGGCCCTGATGCTCAGGTCATCCTCGTTCAAGACCCCGTCGTCAACTTTGCTCAACTCGCAGTGCTTACCTGTCAACGAGCCCAAGGGGACCGCAATAAGGCAGTCAGAGAGAGCTGGGTGCGGCTCTGTGGGACATATCAGAGCAAGGGTGGGCTTCTTGCCAGTCCAGAAGTCCGCGGGGTCAGTTTTTAAACCAATATTGGATACAGCGCTTATAACGGCACACAGGCGCTTAACGAAATCGCCACCTTATATTTCGCCTTTCCTCCGCCGCGTGGGCAAGCTGGCAATCCTCTGGGAGACATGCTTTCTTCGCTACTCGGTGGCGGATCGTCGGGCGGTCCAGCAAGACGAGCATTAGCGCCAGCAGCAGCACTGACAGCCAGTGGGTTGGATTAGCATCGTGTCGAAGAAATAACAAATGAATACATTCGGATTACACGCATAAACAAAATCATGATTTAGCAAGAAGTCTTCGGCGCAAATGGCGAAAACTTTAGCTTCCCGTTCGTTCCATATAACCCATATCCAGGTTCCATATCTAGAAAGTCCCGGTAAGCAGTGGTTTACGCAGACTTCCGTCGACTTACTATCGCTATAGATATGCCAGAACCACCCTACACCACCTCCCGGAACGGTTTTGAAATACGAGCAATGTGCGTCAAGCACGCTATAATAGTCCTATCCGGAACATCAGAGCGCGTTGACTACTGTAGGGATCAGAACTACGTGTTCATTCTGCACATTCGCGACCGCTGACGGAGAGTTGGGCTGAACTCCCGAAGACGTCTGGATGGCGAAGACAAGTCAGTCGAGTCGATAGCAAGTCTCATTGGGTACATACCACCGACGGCCAACCATTCTGTTGATGCGAGCGCGACATTTTCTCAACAAACACAATACTGCTTGCAAATGCGTACCTCGCTCAAATATATCTTCTTCCCTTCGCCATTGTCGACAAACCAATCCAAGTCCGTGAGCACAATCGGCCACGAGTTGTTTGCTACTGGGGTTGGAAGACTGATCACAATGGTGCAAGTGAGCGGCTTTTACCAGTGGATGCTTCGGTTGAGAAGAACGGTAACATGTGCGCGTCAATCAAATCTATCGCGTCCATTACCTTCTGGGAGGAGGAGCGTTCCTGTTGAATAACGTTATCAGGAAGAGAAGACAACACGATGGTACATATACTGACTTGGTATCCGTATGCCATCTCTGAAATTGTCACAGGAATCTGCAAACTAGACAGGTTGGCCTTTGCGGCGGTAACTTGTGCCGCGAGGGAAGAGGCAGAAAGGACCTATCGTGTGGGTGAGTGAGCACGACCACCAAATGCAGTGATCAGTCGGCTGACATTATCGTACAGCGGCTCACTTCCGAACTGCAGGACTCGGGTCACGAATTTGGCTTTGGGATTAGAATGGAGGATTCCGAAGAGCGCATCTCTGCGGCCGATCCACTCGTCTGTTCCGTCGAACCCAAACTGTCAATCGAGTTGGTTACCTTTGCGAACTGCCTCATGAAGGACTCACCCAAATCAATGCATGAACACCAACTGCGAAAACGTCAATCTCGATCACAGTAAAACATGTCATCCCTACTGCCAGCCTCCCATGCAGCTTGAACGACGTTGTTGCTGATGAAAATGAGTTTTCCCAGTCATCGATGCCCTCAATCAAGCTCACTAGAAACCTACTTCAAGTGTCAGCCATCACCCAGTACACCCAGGCTCCAGCTTACCATCATTGTCACAAAAGCCATACATTCGGATATACCGCCCTTTGAAAGTATTCCTGATGTTCTTGAAATCCGTCCGCAGTTGAGACAGACTCTGGCCTAGTCGCAAGATCAGCACTAGTCAAATGGGAGGCGAGCCACCCACAGTCGGTAACTTCATAGCTGAATCCCACAAAGGCGTATTCGGTCGCGCGATCACACCACCAGTTGGTCAGACTTGACGGCACGCTGGAAGGCATGGTGAATCCTGAAGATGGCAAGCTCAGTCAAAGCGTCCCAGCACCGCGTCGAAAAATAAACCCACCTAAAGCTGGAAAGCAGTTCGGTGGTGCGGCCCTAGCTACGGCTTCTGTTGTCCGCGTAGGGACAAGATCTCGTTCCTCGTTGCCGGCGGGATAGGCCCATACCCTCGATGAAAGAAGGATGAGCGATAGACGCAGGAATGAAGGTAGCAGCATTGCGCGTTCTGATCACTGCGAGCAGACGTGGACTTTCACCTCAACACATACCCGAGTATTTAACCTGTTATCTATCCGGAGTCGACTCTATGGCTCCCTCTTTGGGAACCCTTTACACTTCTGCCTTCCTGGTAAGAACCCTTCCTCGAATGGCCATTTAACTACTCGGGACGAAAAGGAGAGCCGTTTCAACACCAGCCGTGTCACCTGAACCGGCTGAGGAGGAGAATAGTGCTGCAAGAGACGCGCTTCTCGTGGCCAAGCGACGAAAGATGAGACGCGGTATTTTTGGTTGTAATAGGCTCACATGATCGTGAAGCTGTCCACTAAGATAACTATCCTGCTACATTGTAAGATCAAGTTCATACACAAACACACTAAAGCTACACGATGCTCGGTCGGCGCAAAGCAGCCCCCTCATCTACCGGTATCAATGTCGAATTACTTCGTGCTCGCACAGAAGAACTCCCGCTGGACACCGATAACTTCGGCAGTCGTTCCGAAATTTGGCCGACCAAACCACTACGACGTGGGTCGAGCTCCTGGATGATGGCCTGAGCAATAGCCATTGGGTTGTCAGGTGATTTGGTAACATCATCTGTGTCTTGGTGTGGATTGAGAGTCGAGTATTTACAGCTGAAGAAGGACGATCAGCTGACTTGATGGCCTGCCTAAAGAGCATTACTCCCACTTACTACTTGCAAAATGCATAAAAAGCGCTTGCGACAAACGCACCCAAGAAAGGACCAGCCCAATACTGTTTCTCATATCTTCAATGGGTCAGAGACACCACAAAAAACCTACCACCCAATGGTTCGGAGTCGGAAAACCTGATATCACGGCAGGACCAAAGGAACGCGCCGTATTCATGGAAGCTCCGGTATAGAAGACGGCAAATCTAGCTCAAAGTCAGAAAAGGAACTTCGTGTTTCCATGTGGGTTGCCCTACAGGTGACAAGAGAAGAGGGTCAAACCGATGCCGACCTGTAGTGACTTCAGAACAAACACAGAGGAGGAATGAAAAGGACATACCGGCGCAAACGCTGTCGCCTGGTGCTTCTCTGCTGCAAGGAAGAGAACAGCAAGGACCAGTGTGCCTGTGATGAACATTTCGATGAAGACGCCTTTGGTGGGAGTGATTTGGGGATTGATGTTGGTGCTGTGAAATTCTCGTTCCATGCACAGGAGATCAAAGGGAGTTTAATACGCACTTGACAGACAACTCGCCAGTGAGGGCTACCAGGAGTAACGAAGCCAGAACTGATCCTCCAAATTGGGCGGCGAAGTAGAGCAGACCACGGAAGGGGCTGACGATGCCAAGCAGCACAAGAGCAACAGTGATGCATGGATTGAAAAGACTTCCCGTGATTCTGCGAGATTGTCCAGCAACTCGCGCGAGGGATAACTGAGGTATTTACCGAAAGAACACCCAAGCGCAAACAACAAGCGAAAAACCCATGCAAGTCGATACATATAGTATCTATATGGCATATTCAGCAAGAACTTGGCTTAGACGGGTGGTCGATGATGACATACTTTCGGTATACCTGCGTCGTTCGAATTGACTTGTGCATTGGCCGCCTGAATGCCACCAAGTCCAAGAAGGAGGAAAAGAGTAGTGCCAACGAGCTCCAGGCAGGCGGCGAGAAAGTCGTTACGGATGCTTCTGGCGATGCGGATGCGAAGCATGGCAAGAGTGGAAGGAGGCAAGATTGTTTGTTCATGCTTGGGCGTGACCGTATCTCCACCTGCGTTTTTCGAGGGGTAGTCTCTCCAAAAAAGGATTTCGAGGTATTTGCTTGCTTCGCTTGTGCATCTGGCCATTGCTGATGGTGTTGTTCAGATTGCGAGAAGAACATGATTCGTGGTTCTCTACGAACGGAGAAACTGGGTAGTGCACTCAAATTGTGATTACTTGTCGCTTTATTGAAATCGCCTGCTTGCTTTGTTCCAAAAGCTCTTTGACGGAGATGTTCATGGGGATTGCGAGCGGAATCTCATTCGTTGCGAACGGAGAAACTGGAGGAATGCCTTCAAATTCTGATTACTTGTGGCTCTTCCCTCCAACGGTACGTATAAAATCATTCTAAACAGGGTTATCGTTGGTCTGCGTCCATGAATAGAACACGCACCTCTGAACTTTCGCTATTTTTTGCCCACTTTCGTTGCTGGAGGTCGCTCCCTTTTCATTGCTCCGCCACAACAGCATACGCAACCGCAATTTCATAGCGCTACACCGGTTCGTTATACCATCTTCGAGGCAGGTTGAACCGGGGTCGAACGGGCTGAAGGAAGGAAACTGAAGGAAAAGTGGTGAAGCGTCATGATCAGCTGATGCGCGGCAATCGCGATCACGTGGCGAATGCGCAGTATTGAAACGCGTTTCAAGGCACCTCGCCTGGTTAAAATTATAACGTGGCTCAGAATAGCCCGAGGGCCTCAATCCATTTTGAGTAAAAAGCACCCCAGTCATATCGGTCGACAGGTCCGGGGCTTCGAACTCTCGTCATTAACCATCTCTCCATGCTGAGCCGCTGGGATTGCCGATGTAAATATATGGATCAGTTCTCAGCAATAGCCCTGAGGATTTGAAATGGCTGAAAGCATTGTCCCGTCCGTGTTCGCAGGCCGGTAGTCTCCCGCCGATTCCAGGTTTAATATTATACCATCGTCCATGCTAGCGCTGACTCTCCACCTGGAATTGGCACGTGGGATATGAGCTCGGCTCGTTCGGTACTCTCAGCCGCTGATCTAACCACTCTGGCATCCGAATACTATTGAGCTCTTGGCTGCTGGATGGACTGTGTTGAATCCAATCTCCAACAAAAGGTTCCAATCGGAATTGCTCACCGTCTCCGAGTCTATCACGGTAATGAGCATTGTATTTTATATCGTGTAGATGATGCAAAGCTTTCATCGGCCTTTGTTTTTGAAAAGATCGGCGATAGAGTGGCGATAACGGCCTGACAAGTAAGTTCAACATCACCTTTTTCGCTGCCCGTGTTATTTCCGGTGGAATGGTCATATTAGTGTTCATTGGTCAAAGAAATACTGACAGCACGTATTAGCGGTGAAGAGATAAGCTGCCATTGCCGTTGCGCCGCTTCAGAGTTGAGCAAAGATTATGCGCGGGACTTGCAAGCCGAGTTCCTATTGGGAGCGAGCATGCGCAAAGGCTTGCTTGTTCTAACAATACGTTTTTCGTGGGACGCACAACCCGAAATAGCCACAAGGACACGAAAAGGCGGGAAATTCAATACGATTTGCGCTACGGGTCGGCTCGCAGACGTCATGATGAAGTGGGGATATATTGAACTAGTACTCGATGCGTTGTTGGTAGCGAGGCTGATCCGTCGAACGACGGTACAAGCGTTTCAAACCAGTCACAGGTAGTTGGGAGGAAATAGACTAAGTTTGTGCTATAGAAAGACAGCGACTGAGCAGAGCGGGCTCCGATAGACGAAAACTTGCTGATATGGACACCCAGAGAGCGCTTCTTGTACGCCAGAGTGGAGTAGCATCAGCGTTAATTTGCATGAATAGCTCGGTGAGACGACGTGAGTTTCAAAGCCGGGACCGGGGCGTGGGTATGAGACGTTGGCTTTTTTGCAAGAAACACCGCAGTCTTGAACATTAGTGCCAAAGCAATGGCAGGCAGTCCTTAGTTCGGGGGCGGGTAGGGAAATGCAAGAGTCATTTGAATAGATTCCGCTCACCGCTTTCCGTTGCTGTGGATGCTTTGAATGATAATATACCACTTGAATCCGACTTGAAAGCACGTCACTTGAGTCTATGTCATCGCGGACAGGTACGCCGATGACCTGAATGGCTCCGTTTCGTCCATCAACCACCGACCGGGAATCGGAGCCGTTCGCCATGAGACGCTCTGCCTCGAAAAGTCACGGTTGAACCATCTGACAAATTGAACCGTTGTTGCGCAGTCGCGGCCCGACTTTGTGCAAGCTCATCGTCTGTCGGCTAATGGTTGAAACACCATCCGAGCCCTATGTGCCCTCCACGTTAGATAGAGATGTCATCACCTGATGAGCGCACTAACCCTTATGCGTACGTTCAGTCCTCGTCTAAAATTCTCCGAGTTGTGCTTTTTTTGACAACGCATGGGCGTTACTTTGGTCTTCCCAGATGTTCTCCGCCATACGTATCGGGTAGCCGACACGGATCGCGGTTCCGTATTGCATATTTCTTCTAGGGGAAACGAGAACTGCATAAAAGCTGGAGAGGTGAACCTGGTAAGCTCAGTGAAGCATTTCTTCGCCGCTCAGGTTTGTTATACCTGCACTTTCTTCATCGCCTGACTTGCACCTCCAGATACCATGCTGTCTCTCGTCGCCCTCCTCTGCGTTCTCGCCGTCTCGGTCACCGCTGCTCCGGCTGTCAGCAACCCTCCAGCAGTGCCCCTCGTAGCCAATGCGGCAACAATCGCGTCCGGGTTGAAGATGCAGCCAAGCTCCAACGACCGCTTCAAGAAGTTGCTCCTCGATAGCAGCGGGAACATGCTCACAGGGAGTGCCCTCCGTGAGCTGACGGTCTTCGACTTTAACAGCAACCAGCCTAAAGCCGGCCAGGGCGGTTCCATCCTCCTCGCAACCATCGACAACTGGCCTATTCTGACCGAGTTGGGTATCAGCGGCGCAGTCTCAATTGTGGAGCCCTGCGGATTAAACATCCCTCACTCGCACCCGCGCGCGAACGAAATCTTCACCGTCGTGGAGGGCATCCTCGACACCGGTTTTGTCCAAGAGAATGGGTTCAATGCAGAGGTTGAAACTCAACTCGGCAAATACCAAGCGACAGTCTTCCCCATGGGTTCCATTCACTATCAACAGAACCCGACTTGCTCCGAGGCAGTGTTTGTCGCCGCGCTTAACAGCGAAGATCCAGGTCGAAGCGACATCGCGACTTCATTCTGGATGCTGGACGCCGACATCATCGACGCCGCTTTCGGCTTCCCTCATACAATTGGAGGCTCCAACATCGATGCGTGGCGAACGCATCTGCCAGTCAATCTGGCGGCCGGCGTCGACAGCTGCCTCAAAGCTTGCGGGTTGTCCGAGTAGTCTTTCATTATATATCAACACACTTGCGCATTCGTTCTTATTTTGTCCACATACTAGTTCATATTCCTGCTGTCAATCGAATAATAGGTCTTGGTTACGACTCCAGCTCGTTGTATATTGCTTGCAATTTATCCACAGCCTTGACGCTGTTCAGTAAACTTGCGGTTTCAGACTTGGAAGGTGTTGACAACGGTTGATAAGTTGAGAAATCCAGTAGGTATTATACGGACGGAAGCGTAACAGTGCCCGAAAGCGCTTGTTGAAGCATTGCTGAAGAGAGTCTCTGAGAGAGTGTGTGTCACGGGCCACGGTGTGACTTTTGATCTTGTTGTTGACATCGACATCTACCTATGCTATCATTGGATCCACTAGCAGCGTCTCTTCGCACCAGACTCTTCACAATTGACGAAGAATTAGAACAAATCCTCGTGCGAGTGCGGTCGCTTGAACAAGATCGGAAGGACATTGCCCGCCAGCTGGAGGAATACATCGCCCTTCGCCATAACGGGCTGTCGGAGATGTTGCCGACGGAGGTGCTTTCCGAAATTTTCCTCCTCGTTGCGGAGGACCAGCAGCAAGAACCCCCCGTTGTGCCAGACTTGGGATACTTACAGCGACCTGGGGGGTATATACCGCATCGTGCTCATGTTTCTCTGTTGCTTGTGTGTCGACGCTGGCGAAATATCGCACTGTCACTCCGAAATCTATGGTGCAAGTACGACTTCAGGAATATCAGGGACTTTCAAAACGCCGACAACACCATAACCTACTGGCTCCCTCGCGCAAAAGAAATGTCGCTGGGAATCTCGGCCAGCAAAGACTTGTGGACAGGACCAGAGCTAAAGCTCTTCAAGCTACTATCACCGCATTTCCCCAGAGTTACCAGTCTTTCTAGTGTCGTTGACGTTGGCCAAGAATTCCCTTCTAGCCTTACCCAGGGCCACTTTGACAATTTGCGTGTGTTGAAGATCTGCCTGACGGAACGCGTTGACAACTCGGACACCAACCCCCCTCACATTTCGGGATTCTCCGACGCTCCACAACTAAGCGTCGTCCATCTTCATGGTCTCTGGTCGACATCATGGATCGCCCTTCCTTGGACCCAGCTCACGGCAATAACTCTTTCCGGAACATCTGGGCGAACATGCTGGGATGTTTTGGCTCTCGCACCAAACCTTGACAGCATTCATTTTAACTGGGTCTCAGGTTCGATGGATCCCCCAAGTTTATCGCTCCCAGTGGTTCTTCCTCGGCTTAGGATCTTGTCCACTAGGGATGCGGCTGAGGACGCTGTTGCCCTAGTTCTCAATCACCTTACTGCACCTGAACTCCAACATATAGAATTCGACGCAGATGTTTCTCCAGAAGTGATTGATCATTTCATCAATCGCTCAGGCTGTGCAATCCGGTCAGCGCAATGCGACATATGGGACGATAAGCTTGACGACAACCTCAAGTGCCTGCGCCGCCTTTCCAATGTCAGCGATCTGCAGCTGAATTTTATCCCCGAATCGATGACCACCACCACTTTGGTGCGGATCTTAACCCAGTTTGCAAATGAAAGTGGTCTGCTGCCGAACCTCCGGCGACTGTCCCTCAAACCCTTTTTTGACCCCGTGCGGATACCTTATACGGAGCTTGCCCAAATGCTAACCGCACGTCGTAAGCCAACCGGCCCTGTGCAGCTGGAGCATTTCTCCCTGCTGTCTTCTTCGCCGCGGCCAGGACAGGAACCGGATAGCTATACAGCACGTATGAATGCGACAGACTCTCAGCGGGCGCTGGACTCGGTGATAGACGAGTTACGAGCCAAAGGACTTGGGCTTGATATCCAGGGTTCGAACTTGAACATGCGGCGAGACTTTTTCTGAACGGGCGACATTCGCAGTAGTTCAGATTGGGGCTTCTCAAGGCTGCATAACCTTTCTTTAAATTTTACATTTGTCCTGCCGTATTGAATAGCGTTATATTTATTGCTATCCCATATGCAAGGCCACAGTTGCGGAAATGGGCTGCATCTTGGTGGATCTCCAAAGCCCGGCCCAATCCCGGCCCGGGATCATGATGAGGGGAAGGTAAACTATGCGATTAGTACATGACAGTGTTCAGGTACAGTGGTAATGCTATTGCACTCGTTCTCAGCCTGCTGTCTCATACGGATTTTCCGCGCCAGCCCGAGATTGCTAGACTGCACCAGCAGAACCAGTTCTTTTTCGTTGTATTGACTTAAAACTTGAAATTGACGCTTTTGCTACACCATTTGCTCCTTGCCTTTCACTCCGGATACGGTGGCGGCATAACGGACGCGGCAGTCGTCTAGAAAAATGTCATTTTGAATCCTCTATTGCTCGTAGATCACACTCACATCGGGCCCAATGTTCTGCAATCCCCGAATCTTCACACAAGCAGTCGTCGCGTGGTCTCCTCGCAGCAACGTCTCCAGTGCCCGCCCAACATCCTCGGCCGACGATGGCTCGCCATCATCATACGGATTATACGGGCGCCCTGCCATGACAAGCTCAATGTGGTCAAGTGGACAGCCCACGGCCTTGCGTTGGGAGACGAGCTGGGCCAACTTGGTGTAGGGAATCTCGATCCAGCTCAGGATGGGACTGAGAGTAACTTCGCGCAGTTTTGGCACAAGCGGGGTCGCTGGCAGATCGCTGCTGGAAGTTCCCTGCTGCGGACCCGATATGAGACGCGAGAACAAGGTAATGAGTGAATTTGTGGCCCATGTAATGTTCTTGACACGCAGGCGGACGAGAGACGGCACGAGTTTCAGGACATCTATCAGGTATTTGACTTCGCCGGAAATAAGCGTCATGTCCACTATGCTGCATTGCGAGCGGGCGATGAGTTCTTCGAGCTGCTGCGGGTCTTCAACTCCCTGGGTGAAATAGACAGTGGACAGGGCGGGGAGTGTGAGGTACTGCATAAAGTCCGCCTCGTCATCGAATTTGAGTGTGTGCAGATTGGGGAGACGGAGCGGAAGCGGTCCTTGCGGCTGCGACCAGTGGTCGTGGTCGAACCCGAGTGTGACGTCCTCCACGCGCGGTGTAAGACGGAGAACGTCAACGGCGTAGTTCACTTGTACTTCGCCCAGCTGGAGTTTTGTAAGCTGGGCCCATGGAAGCTCTATCACCGCGGGCGAGAATCCGACAAGATGGACATCGCGCAACAGCGGTGCGACCGAAAAGGCATCGACCTTGCCCGGGATAACGCGCGGCCCGCCATATAGCTGCAACGAGAGCTCCAGTCTGCGCAGCTTTGGCACCCGCCCGCGGACAGCATTCCCCGCAAACGGAATTCCCCGCTCTATGCCACACGACAGCGCCGCCCACCGCTTGGAATAGGGGGCAAGCATCGGCAGGACACGGTGTGTGCTTTTGGGCAGGCCGATTTCGACATCGAGAAGCGCGCTTTTCGCGCGCGGCAGCCATGCATTGAGCAGCTTTTCCGTCGCCTCAAAATCGTTCTGCGTGTAAATCTGGACCGCAGCCCAAAGCTGGGGCAGAGCGAGCACGACAGCACGCCAGGTGTGGCAGACGGCCCCAAGGACCAACGGGCCGGTCACCGCCGCGGGCCGCGTGGGCGGCCCGAATCGCGTCATGGGTGACTCGTCCATCCCAATGACCGCACCCCCAGCCACATAGTGCACGAATATTTCCGCGAGGATGTCGGCAGGAAGGGATTCAATGCGATATACCACGCCTTTGAGGGTGTCTTCGATCATCCTGCGCTCGCTCTCAAGACTGCGGCGCTTGGCATTCAGCTCAAGAAGCTCGCCGTCTATGCCAGAGAGGCGCTGTCGAAGGAGGTTGAGCAGAGCAGGTTGGAAGGACGAAGTCATCAGGAGAGAATGACATAATCAGCACACGTGATGGAGCACAAACATTGTGAATTTTTTACAATAGTACACATGCACAGATTTCAGTGCGGGTCACATATGCGTCGGAGCTGGCTGCTTAGCGTACAGCTAGTAAGTACTACTTACAACTTCAAGTAACCATTTCGTCGACAGCGGCGATCAGGATGTGACATATGTGACTCCGTGACACAATGGGCTGAAAGTTGCTTTTGTCTTTCGGCTATGGCTGAAGCGCACGCCTTCATAAGCCTGAGGGTGACAATAAGGTCATATCTACCCTCTCCTCTCATTCTTCATGTCCTTTTCACGCCCCTTGACGACGGTGCTCGCGGCCCTGGCTGGCCTTTCTGCGTGTTTGGTGTCGGGGCATGCCTGTGTGTCCTCTTTTCTTTTGGAGACTGCTTCCTGATGATTGTGCCCGCAGCGATATGGCATCCCAGCATGTACGGCTTCAACGTTACCGACAAGACTTTTCCTTACGACAACCGGCCGGTGGGTCCCCCCTCCCCTTCCCACCCACAACGACTGACGCGCCTCAGGTCAGCCCACTGATGAATATGACCTTTGACCAATGGTGGTTCCACGGCCACCTCGACTTCCCGCCCAACGACGGTGACGTCTTCGAGCTCCGGGCCGGCCAGCCCGCAACGGCCGAGATCGCGTGCAACAAGGGCGCGACTACGTTCTTCGCGTCCTCCGAGGGCGGCGACATCCGTGTCCCCTCTGACCCCAACGCCGTCTGCCCCAACTCCCCGCCCTCCGCATATCATACCCAGGGACTCGATGACCTTACGGGCTGTGCCCTCGCCATTGCGTATAAGAGCGACGCACGTGATGTCCGGCCGGAGGACTTTACGGTGTTCAGCGTGAACCAGACGTGTGTGTGGACGCGCTTCACGGACTTCCAGGTCCCGGCTCGGATGCCGGCGTGTCCCGAGGGCGGGTGCACGTGTGCGTTTTTCTGGATACATTCGGTGTGTTGTTTTCCTTTTTTTGGGATGTAGCTAATGATGTTTCTAGCCCGACAGCGGTGGCGAACAGAGTATGTATCTTCTTTTTTGCCTTTTCTCATCCTTACACGCTCGTTAGACTACATGAACGGCTTCAAATGTAACGTGACCAACGCGACCTCCGCCGTCCCGCTCGCAGCCCCGAAAGTCGCGCGCCGCTGCGGGGCGGACTCGGCCCACAACAAGTGGCACGCCGCCCCAGGCAACTGCACCTATGGCGCCAAGCAGCCGCTGTACTGGTTCCAGGCCGAGCAGAATAACGTGGGTTTTACTTATATCTTTCTCCATGACTAAAGTGGTTGTACGTAGATGTTTGAAGACACGTACTCGCCCCCGATCTACACGGACCTGTATGCCTTTGCAGATGGCGCGCAGGACGACATCTTCGAGGACTCGTATGTCTTCCTCCCCGACCCATCCCCGCTCGCGCCGCTGCCGGTCCTCAACGCTACCATCCCGACACTTGAATTTACGACGAAACGGGACTTTGCACAGGCGAGAAGAAGACATGCCGCGCGGCGTCACTGGATGAGCCGCGTCTCGTACTAAGCACCAACAGACGGACAGCATAGACCTAAGACGACGATGATTTCTGTAGCATAGCACACATAGCATAGTGTACACCATAAGAGCAGTTTTATAAGAGAAAAGTTGATCTCTGTCTTTTTTTCAGCCCATTGAACTTTGTGTTTCTGGATGATGTAATACAGAAGAAATTCGAGTAGGTTCTACAAATTGAGTCAAATATTCCCGACGCGTCGGTGATGGCTGATCCTCCGGGTCAGCGATGGCTCGCGTTCGCCATCACAATAATTCCAACACAGCCGATGAGGAGGATAAGCGGCGGTGGGGATTGAACAAGCGCACAGGATTCAAACTGAAATACTCCTGCTCGTGGTCGGTCTTGAACATTGGGAGCGTGTTTTGGTCAAGAATGCCATGCTCAGTATTTGTCCCTGCCTCGTATGTCCTATGGTATACACCCGCAATACAAAGAGTGGTGTTTGTGCATTCAAACGCGTCGAAATCTTGGATCAGGAAAGCACGTGATCGTTCCGCCGCACAAGAAAAAACAACCCAAGTCAACGGATTTGAGCACGTCAAACAACAAATTGAGCGCCCTCGAAGTTCGCAGGGCTCGGACCTTCGCTCCCAAGCCGGGTCTCATCTCGCTCTTCCCAGTCGACAAGTTCAAGCACTCAAGCACACGCAATTATCAGAAGAAATCGATACATTCAGCACATTAGAGGCCCGATTACAAAAGTACACGTCCATTCCTGCCCCGCCGCCAACTCCGAATCCAAAAGGTTTGATGACCACGTCGGAAGTGGTGTTGTCGGACATATGCCCCGGCTCCCGGTTCCACGGCCAAATGCCCGACGCGTCGCAAAACAGTAAAGACACACCAATGGTGCGCAAATGCCCGCAGACTACGTAATAGGGAGACGCGCGCCGCCGACCGACGCGGGACGAGTGCCTTACCCGCCCTGTCAAATCCCCGGCGAGCACCGATTTCGCGGACGGTCAAGCTCTGGCGGGTCGTGGAGCGCGGTGCATATGCTGGCGATGAACGTGTGTCGAAAGTCGTAAGTCGAGTCTGTCACCTATAATCAGGTGGGGCAAAAAAAGCCAGAGGGGAGACGCACGAAGGTGGCCGGCGCAGCCGACGAGAGGTGGTGCCGGGCACGTGCCCCAGGTCCCTTGCCGCGAGGGCCCCCCAGTGACCGCGAGCCGAAAAGGTCTGACAGGTCGACATCTGGCCAGAATGGACAATAGCTTGCAAGGCATGTCCGTGTCGGCCCTGCACAGTCCGGCGGCGCGGCCCGAGGAGCGCACGGCGCGGGGCCGAAAACCATGACGCGCATTACCCGGCGCCGGGTCCCGATTCCCGAGGGCGAAACGCGTTGTCGAAGCGAGTGGAGGCGAGGCGGGCATTACATTGGAGCTGTGTAGTTCGTGAACAGCATGTGCAGAAGGGACGAAAATGACATACCAATAAGAAAAGAAGCGAAGGCGGTCAAGACACGAAAAAAGCAGCAGTCCGAATCAAAAGGCACTGCGCATCCGTTAGCCGTGGAGGGAATGCAAACGAAAAAGACGTACATATCCAATCAGCGAAGTCGCATCCCAAAAGACAAAAAAATCCAGTCCGCAGTCGATAGCAGCATCCTACTAGTAGAATCATCAGCGCGTGCAAGAATAAAATTCGAACAGCGGCGTACCCAAAACAACGAGCAAGAACGTGTCGCAAGAGATTCGGAGAGACGCGCCGAACAACGGCGGAACCCGGCCTAAACACGCCGACCACCTCCGCGTCACGCCGCCGAAGAAGATGCGATGACGTAGGTTGGGGAGCTGACCTGCAACAGCCCGGACGACGGGGTCTCAAATCCCGCGTCCGTTCCCCTGCAAACCCCCAACGGCGGACAGCGAGGGCGGGGGCGCGGCAGAACCGAGGATACACGTGTTGGCGGATGGCGTAGAGGTCGAGGCGTCAGACAGCAGCAGCAGCGGGTGGATGAAAAAAGGGCGTGTTGACGTGTGCTTGTTGTCCCGTGCCGGCGTTCACTGAACGAGTCGCCGGGCGAGCAGCATGATTGTTTGGACAAGTCAGTGAAGGTGACTGCAAAACAGGTCAATTGCATGCGGAGGAGAAATAAAGGGAACACGGACCGTAAGCGCCGGCTACGAGGGGGGTGAGGACCCCGACAAGCGCTGTCCGCAGCGCGCTGCTCGTTCGCGCTGAACCACGTGCCGCGCTTGGGCGCCCCGACGAGAGCGACGCAAGAGATACACCGGAAGAGGATTGCCCGCCCCAGGGTGAACAGCACCGGCCCGAGGTGTGCTCCCGGAGAATGGTCGACCCCCAGCGCACTCCCACTCCGCAGACGCCGGATTGCTTGCGCACGGCCCGGGGCTCCGTATGGCGGACAGTTGGCGGGGTAAGAGTAACGGTCGCAGCTTGTCGGGGTCCTCGGGCGGCGCGGCAGGGCGTATTAACGAATTGCTTGAAGTGAAGATAATTAGAAGGAGGATATGGTCGGGAGAAAAGAAGGACGCACGACGCGTGCCACACAGCCCGTGGGGAAAAGATAAAGCCCGCCGGGAGTGCCGAGAAGACCGCAAGATAGACGAGGGCTTTTAGAGGCGAAGGGGTAGACGAGAGGGCCAGGTCGACGAGCGCAAAGCCAGAGATGAAAGCGAGGACCCCGAAGAAGGACGATGTCGACGCGGTGGCTGGGGTACGAGGCGGCTCGGTCGACAGTGGCGCCTGGACCGGCGGGCTGAGTTTGCTGCTGCTGCTGCTGACGGAGGTGGAAGAGGTGATGGAAGAGTGGGCGGGCTGTGCCGGGCTGCTGATGGTCGAAGTCAATACCGGTGTCGATGCCGAGTCGTCGTAGTCGCCGTAGTAGCTGTTGGGGATAACGAGCGGTGGCCGTGAGGACTGAGACCTGAAGCGCTGCTGCTGAGGCGCCCAGGGAGCAACGGGGCGACCCCACCGGCGCTTAACCGGGGTGCGGGGCGCGGACTGAAGAAGTTTAGCCTGAACGAAGGAAAGAAGAGAGCAAACCGCCGGCACGGAGCCGGAAACGTCAACCGCGACCTCCTGGCCGACCGCAACGGCCACCGCGGCCTCGACGGGCTTGACAGCAGCGACCGGCTAGACAAAACTTCAACTTCAAGAATCAAAGAAAGTAACAACGACTCACAGCAGAGACCATTCGGACGGGGGCGGCCGGGACGACGGGGGCAACGACGACAGCGGGCTTTGACACCACATTGAAGACGAGCTTGCCGACAACGACCTCGTCGTCGACCTCCACGGGCGAGGTGCGAACGGCGCGGGGGGCCCCGGGGCAGACCGGCTGCACCCGCGAGCGCTTGGGCGTCGACACGACCGCCTTTTGGGCGTCCGCGCCAAGCAGCGAGCAGACTTTGACATCCGCCGCCGCCGCCAGCCGCATCGAACGGCGCACCCGGACCGGCGCCGCCCCAGGGACGACGACAGGACGAAGGGGGCCGCTGATGGCTTTGTGTAATAGGCTCAAATCAAAGAGGCTGTAAGCGCCAAAGAGGCTGGAAGCACTCATGGTTTGGTTTGGGTGGATTCTTTAGCGGTTAAGCGTAATCCGAGTCCGAAGAACTAAGAAAACACATATGGCCCCACCATGCCTTTTATACCCTCTGCGCGGCGGAAGTGTTCAGTTATCCGCGAGACATATACGCGCGGGCCGCGTCAACGGTTTCAGTCTGAAAAACATGTTTCGGAAAGTCTCGGACGCAAGAAAAAAAAAGGAGCTCGTGATCGTGATTGCTGACCCGAGCTCAAGATGACCGTTTTTTTGACTTGGATGCGGCCGGAAACACAGCTCGGACATGGAGGCTCAGGCTGGAATCCGAATTGAGGCATGTACCCCAAGCAGTTCATCATCGAGTCGGACGGCGTGGGCACGAAACGCGCCGATATGGTCGCACTTGCGCAGCGGGAGGGCGGGCAAGGGTACGCGAGGGACGCGTCGCTACACGGCACGTGATCGTTCCGGAAGGGCTGAAAGGCAACGGATGCCTTCCATTTCCAGAGGACTCAGACTGGCTTGTAACCTGCGCATGGTCCTGGAAGTTAGAACGATAGGACGCCGTGACCCTGGCGGTTTACGTCAGCACATTTCTTGCCTTCGCTTCATCACCACGCGTCCCCTCCCTCCCGCCTCGCCATGCCGCGCGCCAAATACAGCGCCTTCATCGAGCTGTCCGATTCGGAGGACGCATACGACTTCCCGCCGCCGACGTCGTCCCAGTCTTCCGCCGTCATCGACATTCCCGACAGCGACGACGACGACGACGAGCCCGCGTGGCCAGCTTCGTCGCAGGCATCGAGTGTGCCACTTGACATTGAGGACAGCGACGACGAGCTGCCGCCCGCGGCTGCGATGGCGTCGGCCGCACTCGCCAAAGCCCGCGCCAAGGGCAAGCGGAAACGTGACGCTGACTATGACGACGAGAGCGAAAGTTCGGAGCATGAACTGGAAGCGTCCCCGCCAAAGACGAGGAAGACGCGGGCTGAGGTGTGTTTCCAATGATTTTGAAGTGCGCAAATCCTGACCAGCTCACTAGCCAGCATCGCGTTCCGCACAAAAGGTGTGCCACCCAATTTTCTTTCGTTGCTCATTTCTTATTCCTGCTAGGAACTGAAAGCGCAGGAGAAACAGCGCGAGAAGGAGCTCAAAGCTGCGCAGCGGGCCGCCGACAAGCATGCAAAGGCTAATCTCAAGGCACGTCTCCCTGATTTTTTGCATTCTCAAACCTCATTTTGTACTACAGGCTGCAGCTCAGCAGCAAAAAAAGACTTACAAGGACGCGAACAAGCTCGTCAGCGACAAAAGGAAGACGCTCAAGGACATGGAGATCGTGTTCCCCGCCGTCTTTGCAGAGGCAGACAAACGGGCGCTGTTCACCGAGTTCAAGAAGCGCGTGGACGGGTACGAAATGGTGGTCTCCCTCGCCAATAGCCGGGAGGTCCGCGGGCTAGACGTGTTTACTTGGAACCGCACGAAGCGGGCAGAGTACGATGTGGCGGCAAGAGAGTGGATGCCGGTGGAGGAGTATGTTGCGAGAGAGGGCACGGTCGCGGTCTACATCGAGGCGGCCAAGCTCATGGAGATGTTGCGCGCGAAGCAGGGGTCCAGCACGGCCCTGCAGCTGAGGACGGTGTTTAAAGATTCGCGGCTTCAGATTTTCTTCGTCGTCTATGGGATGAAGGCTTTTGTCGGGAGGGGCGTGACACAGGCTGTGGTGAGTGAAACAAACAGTATTGGTGTCTGTTTATGCGGAGACATAGCGCATCAAAGACGAAGTCGAATGCGCGGTCGCGTCGTTTCAAATGGCAGAGGGCGTGCATTTTGTCTATGTCGAGACCGTCGCGGAGGCTGTCGAGCGGCTGTATGATTTGAGCGCTGACTTGGGGATCAAGCCACACAAGTATGTTTTACTCGTAGAATTTCTTTTGCTTACAACTTTGGCAGACTGATTGAGCGGTCGCATCTGCGGTTCTGCTCGAACACGGACCAGCGCTCGGGAAAGTCGCCAATGGATACGTGGCGGCTGATGATCGAGCAGGTCCATCGGATGACCGAGTCTGGCGCGGAGGGCATCGTTGAGCAGTTCCCCACCCCACGGTCGCTGTTTGAGGCGTATGAACGCGCGGCCAACCAACCGGCGCGGGATAACATGGTTGCGGACTGCGCGGTGAGTCGCGTTTTTTTTTGGATTGCTTTGCACTGATGAATTGTAGGTCGAGCGGCGCAAGGACGGCCAGCAGCGGGTGAGGAATAACCGCATTGGGAATGCGCTGTCTTCTGTGGTGGGGACGGTGTTGTGGGATCGCGACCCGCTTACGCTGGTCAATAAGGCGAATCCTTAAACTTGTTATTGGGATCTAGTGAGGTTTTCTTGTTTATTTTCTACTTATATTTGCCACATATTTGACTGCATATAGTCGGTATCTTCAAAGAGTAATTAGCATACTTGGTTGCTTTTTGCATGCTCCCGGACGTGTATCTTCCGCCTGCCCAAGGACATCAAAGCCCCGAATTGTCTTCTGGCGTTGACCAGCCAGATGTGCAGTCTGGATGATAGTTGGTGCTTGCAGGCGCTGTTAGCCTTCCGCCTTCCCATCCGCCGAGTTGAATTATCCGACGTCAGTGGCCATCGTCTTCAATTTTTTCAGAAGCCGTCATCAAGATTTGTCCGACATCATGTCAAGATGCCAATCAACTTCACCTCGTTGACAACTGAACATTGCGTGTCAGGGACCGCGTCGCGCGGCTGTGGCGCGTTGCTGGGTGCCATGACGGAATGGAGGGTCGCGACGCAAATAGATCGATGGAAAACGCGAAAGAAGCGCGTGCGGCACGCTTGCGACGCGTTGAACGCGGAAGAGCCAAAGAAAGTATGCTTGACTGGGTGCTAGCGTGGATTCATGAAGGTTTGGACTTGGGAGGGGCCATGCTGCGCTACTAAGCTCTTGGAAGAATTCAGACTTGCAAAGGGTAGAAGGGTAGAGGGCTTCGGGTTGAACATACCAGCCAGCCGCTTCAACTTGAAGTTGAAGAAAGGGAATCGATCTGAATGGATCGTGTTGTATTCCGTTTAATAATCATAAAGCCTAATGGGCTCACTCAGACATTTTCATTGAGCGAAAGCCTGGTCGACTTGTGCCAACTTTTTTTGGAAACTTCAAGTTGCCGTAAGTGTAATCGTAACAGCTTCGTGATGCGAGCAAGCCGTCAAAATGCCGCTTTAAGTGTCGCCGTCATCTGTTTGTCGTTTCCAACCTTCTTCCTTCCTCTCCCTCTCAATCCCCCCGTCGTTTGTTCGACTCGCCCACCCCCTCACGATGGTTCGCGCACTCTTGGGCCCGCTTCTGCTCGCCGCCACCGCGCTCTCTGGCGTCAACGGCTATTTTTTGTTCGCGATGAGTTCGTGGTTTCTTTTTCGTTCCTAGCCACGAAAATGACACGATTATTGAAGATAATGTCATTACCACCGAGCGCATCGACCCCATCGTCAGTCCTGGTACGCGATTTGCCGTGGCCATCCTATAGAATTGCTAATCTTGCTGCAGGGAAGGTTTCTGGACATGTTCACACCAGTCAGTCGAGTTTCTTGAGTGCGGTTGTGCATGTCCAACTCTTTTTCAGTTGTTGGTGGAAGCAACTTCCGTGTCTCGACCAACACCAGCTTCCTCCGCAAGAGCGAGTGCACTTCCTCGCCTATCAAGCAGGACAAGTCGAACTACGTGCGTGCTTGTGCTATGACTTTTTTGTTGTTGTTAACTGCTGCACAGTGGGCACCCACTCTCTACTTCCAGTGTGTGCGAGTCTCTTATACCCTGATGCACGACTAAGAAATTTGTTTAGGTGGAAGAATGGGTCGTTTTCCAGCGTCAACGGCAGCCCCGTCATGTGCGTTGTTCTCTGTTCTTGCTGGATCTATTCGCTCAACCTGAAACAGCTGTGCGCAGTGTTCAAATTTAAGTTGTTATGAATGAAGTATTCTAATCGCACTGCAGACTACCTCTTTTCCGACACTCCCGGCGTTACGACGCCCTTTCCTGACGATGTGGGTAGTGTTCGTTGTATTGTGTATGTCATACTAAAGCACAGTTACCCTAGTTCCGCATGCTTTCTGGCACCCCGACTCTGCGATCGTACAATCCCAATGACTTTGCCCAGCAGGCAGTGACCTTCCTCTGCCTCGACTTCAGTGGCACATCCACCAAATTCAACCAGCTTCCCTCGCAATCCTGCCCTAGTGGAATCCGTGCCCAGATCAACTTCCCGTCTTGCTGGGACGGTGTCAACAGCGACTCGCCAGACCACAAGTCCCACGTTGCCTTCCTCTCTGGCGGCCCCGATTCGGGTACATGCTCGGACAAACGTTTCCCGAAAACCCTGCCACGCATTTTCATGGAGGTGGAGTCTTTTATTTTCGGTCGTTCTCCTTGTTAATTATGGCAAATCAGATGTACCTTGACACGGGCTCCTGGGACAAGTTCCGCGACCAGGCGATGAACCCCAACCAGCCCTACGTCTACGCAATGGGCGACCCCACCGGCTATGGATACCACGCTGGTGAGTGCTATCGCCGCCTCTATGACGGATGTCCATCCATCTTGACAATACGTCGCGGGGCACGAGTTATGCCGCTGTTGCTGATACGGCTATTTACAGACTTCATCATGGGCTGGGACGCGGGCGTGCTTCAGAATGTCGTTGACAAGTGTCATTGCGACCCGTTCGGTGACCCGACCTGCTGCTCCAACCAGGGCATCTTCAACTTCGAGAAGGGCGGAAACTGCAGAATCACCAAGGGCGTTGACGAAATCAGTGTGTTCTCTCTCTCTCTCTTCCTCCCTTATCCATATCTGATGGTGGTCTATTAGCAACTGGAACTCTGGCTTCCCTTCCAGGAAACAACCCCGTTGTTGGTGCCGGTCAGACTGCGCAGAACCTTGCAGCGCCTGTGACCCCTGCGCTTATCTCGCCCGTTTTTGCGTATACAGGGGACAGCCCTAGCCAAACGGGGAGCCCCGTTGGGCCCGCCACCACCCAAGCTCCTACCAGTGGCGGAAACTCCGCTGGTTCTGGTTCTGGCTCGTCTTCGTCCAGCTCTGGCTCTTCTGGTGCAGGTTCGGCGCCTCCTGCTGATGGTGGATCGAGTTCAAACTCCGGTTCAACGAGTGGAAATTCTTCTCCTTCGACTGGTGGAGGATCTAGCTCTAATTCCGGGTCGTCTTCGTCATCGGGCGCTTTACCGCCAGCCAACGGTGGTACTCCCGACAAAGGCGCTTCCGGCCCGGGATCGTCCAACTCAAGCTCGAATCCGCCAACATGCAAACCCAAGCACAAAGCCCGTCGCAGCGTTGCTGCTGGCGTCCAGGCGCATTCCCGCCGTCGTCGTTTCTCCACCCCCCAAAGCCGCTTCATCGATCACGACTTTTAAAGTCATCCGCTCCCTCTCTTCACGACTGGAATCATCCAAACAGAAAACCCCACAAAAAAAATCAACATGACTGCCTGCGATCCGCCGCCCCCAGTGCGCGGTTCCCGTTTCACTCTCGTTTGCACATAACACGATCGTTCTCTCGTCCACGGCACTCGGTCTTGCCACCGCTCTCATACCTACCTCTGCCGCCCAGCGCGGCGGTGGCGCGCTAGCGTTGCCACATCATTCTCTCTCTCGGGCTGCTCACTTATAAGTTAGTGTTGCCTTGGGGCGACTTAGAATCGCATTTGTACCTCCTACTTGTAGTTGGTTGTTTTGTTTTGCTCATAGAATGTGCTGCTACATACCTTGGAAATGTATCATGGAATCATTGTATATTCAAGTTTGTGTGATTTAATTTCAGAGAGGGCTGGTCGATGGTTGTAGTTGGACGTGAGCATCCAATCCATTCTGATATTAGTAGGTATCTTGTATTTAATGATTAGTATCCAGGCATTATTGTCAACAGACTTGGACTGACAGGAAACCATCCGAGTTTACATTTCGTGCTATTTTCTACTACTGGTTTCAGGCAGCTCACATATTTAGTTTTTTTCTACTCAAGTTCTAATACTTACTTATGTGTTGCACCAAGTACTCGAAATTCGGGAAGCGTTGTTGCCATGTAACAACAGCAACTCAACATTGCAGACATTGACCAGCCCGTCGCGCTGCTGAAAGTAGCAGGGTGCGGCATTCAAGACTGGCATTATCAATGTAAAAACGCAGACGCGCGCGTGAACCGTGACGCGGCGGACGGAGTCGTAGTTCGTTTGGGTGTCCGGCAGGTCGGATAACCGGGTTCAGATTCCTGGGTTTGGATGACCGATTAGTTGGCTGTAGGAGGGACCGAGGGACTATACTTGACTATCGATTAGGAGAATTTTGCAGCGAGGGTCAGGCTGAGACATGCCCAGCTGCTTCAACTAGTGCTTGTAAGGAATAGAACTGTTTAACTTGCACGATCTTATGAAATGAGAGCTGTTCGAATTGTAGTCCAAACACCAGGCATGTCAGCTTGTTGCTGCCGCAATAGCCTCACAGGGGAAGCCGTCAAAAATGCCGCATGATGGGATCAATTCAAGGAAACTTTTTAACCGTCGCGGTCATGTTGTCCTCAGCTTTGTTTCTCTCAACCCCCCGTCGTTCGTTTGACTTGACCACCACTTGCTATGGCTCGCGCACTTTTGGGCCTTTTGCTTTCCGCCACAGCTCTCTCTGGCGTGAATAGCTATTTTTTGTTTGGGATGAGTTCGTGATTGTTTGCATCCTTGGCCAGGATGATGACTGGTATTTTCTGAAGCTAATGTTATTACAACCGAGCGCATCGACCCCATTGTCAATCCTGGTATGCGCTTCACCTTGGCCATCGCACTATTGGCGCTAATCTTGCTACAGGGAAGGTTTCTGGTCATGTTCACGACAGTCAGTCCATCTTACTCAGCGCCGTCTGCACTTCTAATTCTGTATTTGAAAGTCCTCGGTGGAAGCAACTTCCGTGTCTCAACCAACACCAGCTTCCTCCGCCAGAGCGAGTGCACTACATCACCTATCAAGGAGGACAAGTCGAACTACGTGCGTTGATTGCGCTGCTGCTGCTGCTTCCGCTCCTGACTTCTTGCTACGTAGTGGGTACCTACTCTTTACTTCCAGTATGGGATATTGCTGCACCAGTGGCCTCTGATATGGCATTGAACTAATGGGCTTCTTCAGTTGGAAGAATGGGTCGTTCTCCAGCGTTAGCGGTGGCTCCGTCATGTGCGTTCCGGCCTTCTCCGTTTCCTCCCCATTCTAACCTTGAAACAGCTGTACGCCATGTTGAAATTCAAGGTTGTCAACTAGTATAGCTAACATTTTCACCGCAGACTACCTTTTTTCCAAGACTCCCGGTGCTACTACGCCCTTCCCCGACAATGTGGGTAATGCCTCTTGCAACTCTTAGCTCATACTCAAGTGCCGGTAGTTCCGCATGCTTTCTGGCACCCCCACTCTGCGATCGTACAATCCCAATGACTTTGCCCAGCAGGCAGTGACATTCCTCTGCCTCAATTATAGCGGAAATACCACTCGTCACAACGAGCTTCCCTCCAAAGTCTGTCCTAGTGGTATTCGTGCTCAGGTCAACTTTCCTTCCTGCTGGGACGGTGTCAACACCGACTCACCAGATCACAAGTCCCACGTTGCCTACCTCTCCGAGGGCCCTGATGCTGGTACATGCTCTGACAAGCGTTTCCCCAAGACTCTGCCACGAATTTTCATCGAGGTAGATTCTTTTTATGTTGGGTCGTTCTTCTTGTAAGTCATGGCAAATTAGATGTACCTGGATACAGGGTCTTGGGACAAATACCGGGACCAGGCAATGAACCCCGACCAGCCGTATGTCTATGCAATGGGCGATCCCACTGGCTACGGATACCACGCTGGTTAGTGCCCTGACAGAATCTTCGCCGCCATTGCTGAAATGGCCATTTACAGACTTCCTCAATGGCTGGGATGCGGGCGTGCTCCAAAATGTCGTTGACAAGTGTCACTGCAACGATTTCGGGGACCCGACGTGCTGCGCTGATCAAGGTCTTTTCAAGTACGTGCAGGGCGGACACTGCAGGATCACTAAGGGCGTTGATGAAATCAGTGTGTTCTGTCTATTTTCCTCGCGTGTCCATATCTGATGGTGGTCAATTAGCAACTGGAACTCTGGCTTCGCTTCCAGGAAACAACCCTGTTGTTGGTGCTGGTCAGACTGTGGAGAACCTTCCGGCCCCTGTGACCCCCGCGCTTATCTCGCCCGTTTTTGCTTATACGGGAGAGAGCCCGGGCCCTAGCCAAACAGGGAGCCCCGTTGGGCCGGCCACCACTCACGCTCCTACCAGTGGCGGAAGCTCTGCGGGTTCGTCTTCGTCTAGCTCTGGCTCCTCTGGTGCGGTGTCGGCGCCTCCTGCCAATGGTGGATCGAGTTCAAAGTCCAACTCATCGAGCGGTACTTCTGTTAGTTCAACTGCTAACGGATCCAAGTCCCATTCCCGCGGAGGGTCATCGTCTCCTACGAGTTCAAAGCCCGGTCCAAGTGCTTATGCTTCTCCTTTGGTCGGTGCAAAACTCGGATCCAATTGGAAGTCCCCCTCTGGCGGAGGGTCTTGGTCTCGTGCTAAGAGCTCAAAGTCCGGTTCACCCAAAGGATCCAGCTCCACCTCTGACTGTGGTTTGTCGTCATCCAGCGCTTTCCCCCAAGTCAAAAGTGATACTCCCGCCAAAAGCGCTTCCGGATCGTCCAACTCAAGCTGGAAACCACCAGCATGCAAACCCAAACCCAAAGCTCGTCGCAGTGTTGCTGCCGGTGTTCAGGCGCATTCCCGCCGTCGTCGTTTCACTACCCCCTAAACCTCCCTCGTCGATTGCGACTTTTCAGAGTCATCCGCCCACTCTTTCTCTCATCCGCTCACTCTTTCACTCTCGTTTACACATAACACGATCCTTCTCTCGTCCACGGCACTCAGTCTTGCCATTTCTAAGTATCGTCTGGATAATACATACCTCTGCCGCCAAGCGCGGCCGGTGGCGCGCTAGCGTTGCCACATTTTTCGGCTCTCTCTGCTCATTCGTAACAGTACTAGTGTTGCCTTGCGCCGACTTCGAATCGCAACTGTACCTGCTACTTGTAGTTAAACTTGTCTCGCTCGTAGAATGCGCTGGAAATGTACCATTGCATGTTACTTGGATGTTCGTTGAGTGTTATGTAAAAGTTGTTGCAAGCGTCAGTGTGACGTTCCTAGTTCTTCTTTCCTCCAGCCATGATGCATGCCCTGCGATTCCAACGAGAAGGGCGGATGGCCAATTTACCTCCGCTGCACTCTGGCCTGGACCACTGCTAGAGGATCCAGTTCTCGAACCGTGCCAAATACGCGGAAACCAGGGACCATCGCCGCTCTTCAACCCAATTACCAAAGATCCTTTCTGGCCCGGGAGACGAGGAGAGCTTGCGGCAGTCCCCCGGAACCCACACTTCCGGCTTCGAAATGAGGGGAGAGCATGCTGTCTGCTCGTAAACACGCGAGTAATGGGGGACGTATTAAAGTGACTTTCGAGGGTGCACTTTTCCCAGATTGCAAGATGGTGGTTTCTGTCCGGACAACGCTCGCGCTTCTGGCTGGCATTGCGCTCCTTTGCTCTGCGCAGACTTTTGAGGAGAGGCAAGGGCAGGCGAGCGTGATTACGAGCTGCGTTGTCCCTGGTGACATCGCGTTGACTTTTGTTCGTGGTTCTTTCAGATTTTCTGACGTTCAACTTTGCGGCTGACACAAGTCTATATATTAGGACGACGGGCCATACGACTGGATTAACGAGATCTGCGATTCGGCGACCGCTGCGGGAGCCAAGGTCACATTCATGTGTAGTGAGTGTAGCTGAATCGCTATTTACTTCTCTGCTGACTCGGGTTTCAAGATGGGGACAATTGTGAGCGGAAAGGCATGCGCGCAATCAACGTTTTTGACTCAATATCGTTCTCTAGGGCGCTGCATCTACAACAAGCACACCCAAATCCAAAAATGCTTCAATCAAGCTGGAGGGGGAGACGGCTTTTGCATACCCTCCCACCACACTGGCCCTTGTCCAGATGCTCAGCAGACGGATAGGCCAGACGACACCGACTCCAAACCCGACTTATGCTAGTGTGACATCGATCTCGCTGACAAAGAATGCCACGGACTTAACCCTGGCCACAAGGCCCACGGCCTCTGCGCATCCCGAGAGCCGACCCAAGACAATGTCTTCGCAAAACCACTCTTCTGCAACAGCCAACAACCTTCAACCAGCCCCAGCTCCACTGGCTACATCATCAAAGGCGAGACGTACCAAACGACACAGAAAGCAAGGCTCTCGATCACCACAACGACTCATTATTCGATGGCTTGGGTACACACCTGCACCCGAGGAGCGACCGACTGAAACCCAGCTCGTGGAAGCCCTAGAGGGGGCAACAGGGCCAGGGAATCAAGGGAGCTCGCGAATACGAGGGGGTCGCGTGGACACCGGCAGGCAACTTGGCGGTGTATACAAGAGCACCGTACACTGCTGCACAGTTTGTTCAACAGAACCATCTGGGCCGGGTGGTGGAGTATGCTATCAGAACAGTCTTCAACAACTGGAACTTAGAGGTGATTCTGGATGCTGATGCCCCTTGGTCTTGGGTGGTGCTGCATGGTGTACCATCAGGGCCACTGGGGGAAGTGCTGGATGAGGGTGGACAACAACTGACGGCAGAGCTGGTCTCTCAAGGCTACAGTGATAGCGAGGTGCTGACCTGTATACCCATGGTTAAGGCGGGTGCCGAATGGGGGGAGTACACCCTACGTCTCTCTCAAGCTGGCATGCGCGGACCAAGTGACGGCCTCTCGTTTGATCACACAGGGAGGTCTGTTTCTGTTTGGTGCGCACTGCAGGGCAACCAAGTATCGGGCATAGCCCCCACCCCCCCTATCTGCTGCATTTGCGACTGACCTCCACATTGGGCTACCCACTTAAGCACTTTCCGGTGCGGCCGTCCTAGTACGGTTATATCTGGTTTGCTTGGTCAACACAGCAGACTGGAAAGGATATGATACCGAAGCAAAACACATACGCAAAGGACAAGTCAAATAGATTTATATTGTGTCGGATAATGGCTACCATACTTTTGTAGTAGAGGCCAAATAACAGGATTCAAAAAAAAAAAAAAAAAAAAAAAAAAGGACAACCAATTCGTCAGCCATACCTGGTCGCATGCGGATTTGACGGAATGTAGCGCTACACAGTGTGCGAGCATTTGTTCTTATATTACCTGGCTAATGAAGTTTCTAGTGGCATCCGAGATTGACCGTTTAAACCGTGAGTACCTTTTGTGCATATTATCTCTTGGTTGAATGCGAACTTCAGAGGCGTTCATCGACCTACTTGGTGTCAAACCGACTTTCATCCGTCCTCGTAAGCTATTGCACCTTTTTTCGCGCTTGCAATGCTGACGGTCATGGAATAGCTTATGGCTCATACAACGATGATGTTTCGAATGCTGCAACTCAGCGCGGACAAAAGCTCGTGAACTGGGACTTCGAGTATGTTCTCCGGCTCTTTGCAAGTGCCAGAATTCACCAATTTTTCCAGTTCTGGAGACTCTGTCGGGACATCACCCCAAGACAGCATGGCACTGTACGACCAGGTTGCGAACAAGACACTTGCTGCCACCATTTGTTTGAACCATGAGACATACAGTGAATCATTTTTTGTCCATATTTGATGAACTCCCGAACCCTTGATAGATTCCACTGTGTAGGAAGTTCTTGGTCCTTCTTGGTTTGCCTTGCTAAATTCGTCCAAACAGCCACCAGGTGTACCCGTATGCGCTCCAAAAACTTCAAGCGGCTGGATTCAAACTAGTCACGCTGGCGGAGTGTCTCGGGGACAAGCCTTATGTCGATAATCCTGGACCAAAACAACCTGCCGTATGTACAAGCTGCTTGATCCTAGTTCCATCTGACTGATGATCCTTAGTCTGCATGGCATTGCTAAATAGGGAAGAGCTCAAAACGTACGTGGGGCAGAGTTCGTGGTCGGGCTTGGTAAAAGGCTTTCTATTGTGGCTTCGCACTCACTGCTCAGTTATGTTGGGGAGTTAATACTCGTTAGTCTCGATACTCGAGTGTCCAAAAACTCTTTTTTGTTGTTCCTACACTATATTTGTTGACTTGCACGGGTCCAGCATCTCAAAGTAGAGTGGAAGAGAAGATGAGAAGTTCGTCCAAAACGCGATCATGCAGCACGGACATCACGATCTACAAAAATCGCAATCTGGTTGTGACGGACAGATAAAAATTTCGCCCTCTCTTCCCTTTCACCACGATGTCTTCCGATAAAGGTCTCCTCGCCATTCCTATCTCAGGTTTGAGGAATCTGATATTGCGCTCCAGTTCTTGTGGGAGTCATTGGCGGTAGCGGTCTGTATAACCTTGGGAATCTGACTTTGGTGTAAGTGTAGCTACCTTTCAAGTTCTGACAAACACGTTCTGAGGAACATTTTACTCCAGCAAGCATGTCAACCCCGAAACGGTACGTAGTTTTGTACTCTTTTCGAGTTTTGGTTTTCACAGTCTCGTAGCCCTGGGGCTTCCCTTCGTCTCCCATTGCCATTTCGTCCCTTCCTTCTGGTGCCCTTGTTGCTTTTGTCGCGCGACACGGAACCGAGCACTCGATTTCTCCCTCTCATATCCCCGTGAGGGCCAACATCGCTGCCCTCAAGTCCTTGGGTGTCCGCACAATCATCGCTTTCTCCGCTGTCGGCTCGCTGCGGGAAGAGATCCGGCCCGGTGATTTTATCCTCCCTTCGCAAATCATCGACCGCACCAAAGGCATCCGCCCGACAACATTCTTTGAAGGGACTGGACTTGTTGCTCATACCGGGTTCAGTGACCCGTACTCTCCGAAACTGGCTGCTTGGCTTGAGAAAGCTGTCGTTGCTGCGTTGGAGGCAGAGGGGAGAGGCGTCAAGCTGCATACATCCAAGACCATGGTTGTCATGGAGGGCCCCCACTTTTCCACTCGCGCTGAGAGCCTGATGTATCGTCAATGGGGCGGTGATCTCATTGGGATGACTGCTCTTCCTGAAGCGAAACTGGCTAGAGAAGCCGAAATCAGGTGTGTTCGGCTCCGTTCCCCAACTAAAAATGATCTGAGCGATTCTAGCTTTGCCCTCATTGCGACCGCGACCGATTACGATGCCTGGCGCCCACATGAAGCTGGTGTCACTGCTGCCGAAGTGTTCAAAATTCTCAAGCAGAATGCGGACACATCCCGGCATGTCGCGGCCCACGTTATCGAGAGTCTTTTGGCCTCTGCTGACGAGGCAATCCTTGGCGAGGAGGCGGGCAGCATGCAATTTTCCTTTATGGGACCACCAGCTAACCATTCGAATGCTGCGTTGGCCTATGTGCTTCCCGAATATTTCAAGGCGGAATAAATGCGTAGGATAGACTCCAATATAAAATGTAAACAGGACTTCAAGTTATTGGCACAAAATAACGCGTAGAGTCACATCAGTCACGGTCACGATGCACGTGTGTGTGACACGCACATATTCTTCTTTCTTCCCGACGACGATGGTTCGCCGAGGCGACTCGTCCGACGAGGACCCTGCTGCCAGTCAAAGTCAGAGCGTCGAAGAGTCCAGTCAGGCCTCGACCAGCCGTGTTAAGGCGGAAAAACACCGGTCCCCAAGAGGAGCAAAGCGTGCACGGGTCAACGAGGCCGGCGACGACGTCGTCCATGAGCAGGATGACGAACAAGACAACCAAGAAGAAGAGGGAGAGGGAGAAGAGCGTGAGGCCTCACCGCCCGTCCGTGTCAAGGTCAAGACTTTACCACGTGATGTCGATGGGTGCGTGGATTTTTCTGTTTACCTCTTGTGGATGCGACGACCAACGGTTTCAGATACATTCCTGGATCCATTGTTCGCATCAAGCTGCATAACTTCGTCACCTACGACGATGTCGAGTTCTGTCCTGGGCCTCACCTCAATATGATTTTTGGTCCAAACGGCACGGGCAAATCGAGTATCGCCTGTGCGATATGTCTGGGTCTTAACTGGCCACCCAGTGTACTGGGACGTGCCTCTGACCTGCAGTCCTTCGTCAAACTCGGCACCGATTCGGGTTCCATCGAGATCGAGCTCAAAGGACGAGCTGGAGAAGGCAACCTCGTCATTTTGCGCAAGATCAACGCAAAAAGCAGGGCGTCTACATACCTTCTAAACGGCTCAAGTGCAACTGGAGGAGAGATTACGGCCAAGGTCGCACAGCTCAATGTGCAAGTGGGCAACTTGTGCTCGTTCTTACCGCAGGACAAGGTGTCGTCGTTTGCAGCCATGTCACCCATCGGGTTGTTGCGCGAAACGGAGAATGCGGCGGGAGATGACCGTATGTCTCAATGGCACGATATGCTCATACAAGATGGCAAGAAACTGAAAACTTTGACGGAGGTTCGTCGTCTGGTCTTTGGGGTGTTATAGTAAAATAATAATACACCTTCCAGGCTGTAGAGAAGGACTCCACTCAGATGAACCAACTCCAGGAGCGCAACAACCAGATCGAGCGCGATGTTCAACGATATAAAGAACGCAAAGACATCGAGCTAAAGGTGACGATATTTCGCAATGATATAATTATAGTGCAACTAATGCTGGCTAAGATTAGCATCCTCAACATTTTCATACCGGTGGAGCAGTATCGCGAAGCACGGATCCAGTGGCTTGCCCTGAAGGCCAAAAAACAGATCCTCCACAACAAGGCTGTGCGACTGAAACAAAAGAACGAACCTGCTCACCAGTATCTCGAGTATGTCCCTACCCCTTCTTCAGATCCTCTTTGCTTAAAAGTGTGGTTTAGACAACTCGAGGCTGAGCATGCATCATTAGATGAGCAAAGAAACAAGTCTAAGCGCAGTATCGTGGCGATCTTCGATAAGTATAAAGCGGCGTTGACAAAGGCAGGATCTATGGTTTTTTTCTCTCGTTTTTGCACCTCCATCAGCATTCTCATCGTCTCCCAGGACGACAAGTTAGAGCGGTTCATCAGCGACCTCGACAATGTCAAAAAGACGGAAGAGACCAGATTGCAAACGATCAAGAACTGTGAGGCGCAGATCAAGAAATTTGAGAAGGATTTGGGCGAAGATGTGGTTATGATTCTTTTTTTATCAGGCTACGACTTAGCAGTCTTCTAGGTCAAACCTCTTGGCAACGAGGACGAATTAAAAGCGAAGCATCGTAGTATCACTGTCGCCTTCCAGCAAACAGGTTACGACGACAAGAGGCATGCATGGGAGCGGAAACATAACGACATCGAGGAATCCAAACGCAAGAACAAACGTGATGAAGACATGGCTCAGGACGGGTATGTTTATGGTCATAACGGCTACCGCGTATCTTGACCGTAGAGCAGTCTTCGCCAACTCAACTCTGTTTCTGGCCGCAAACTCGAAGCCTTTGCAAAATGGGACCAAGCTGGCGGCGATGCTGTTCGTTGGCTGCGCGCAAACAAACAACTCTTCCGCATGGAGGTCTTTGAGCCGGCTTTCCTCAGTGTCACTATTCCTGACCAGTCTTACGCGAGTCAAGTCGAGACCTGCTTCAGCAATGCTTCCATGAGAGTAAATTTGTTGCGGTTTTGATTGTGTTGAAAACCGCTGAACCGTTGCTGCAGATGTTCGTCTTTCAATGCCAAGAAGATTACAACACCTTCAATCAGAATACCAACGACAACCAGGACTTTTCTCAGGGCGGTCGTCGCAAAGTTCCGACTTGGTTCCGTCCCGGAGCAGACGCTGCTGAAACTAACTTATCTGCACCGCCCTTGCCACGAGAGGAGCTGCTTGCCCTTGGTTTCGATGGATATGCACTGGACTTCGTGGAATGTCCAGACGGCTTGAAGTGGTACCTGCAAAAGGACGTCGGCCTTCATCGCATTGTAAACCTTCATTTGCGTGCATTTTTTTGGCCTTGGCTAACTCAGTACTAGGCTATCTCTCGCCGCAACTTCTCGCCGGAGAAGATTGTCCAAGCAACGGAGGCTATGATGAGGTCAGGCGGGTCGTCAGCATTTATCGAGGGCATGAACTCGCACCAGGCCAACCGGTCTCATTACGGAAGACGCGAAGTCATGAGCAGCTCCACCGGCATTCGTCCGGCTCGCAATTTCACCGGGAACTTCCAAGGTTCTGTTTCTATCTTATTTTTATTCCTCAAGCTAATGATATCACCCAGTTGATACCCAACAGAAACAACGCTACGAGGGTCAATTGCAGCACTGCAAAGAGCAAAGGACGCTGATAGAGGGCGACGAAGCAGAACTCAGAAGCGAGAGGGAGGAGCTTGATGCGCAGAAGAAACAACATGAGGCCGATTTGGTGGGGTTTTTTCTGTTACCTCGAGCTTTTTACTAATGAGAGGTGTTGTAGAAAGAGGTCGACGATCAAATCAACGAGATCAGGAAGATGATGCGGAAGCGGTTGGATCTGGAGAGCAAACTTAGTGAGTTTAAAGCGCTTTGGCGCGAGTTCATGCTCATAATTTCTGTGTAGAACGTGTCCGGGACACTCTGGCCAAAGCACAGAAACAGGGGAATGCTGCACAAGCGAGCGCCAAAATCCGCAAGGACCTTTTCAATACCGCAACGGAGCGCCAGCAATTGCTAGCCAAGGTTTTGTCACTTGCAAAAGATATCGTGGAGGCGCAAAAGAAGGCTACTTTGTGTGGCCTGGAGTTTCTGCAGATCGGTGCAAACAAGACTGCGTTCAAGGACCTGCTCGATGTCAAGGACGCCAAATACCGCGCGGCGCTGGATGAATTCAATAAGAGTGCGTATATTTCCACTTGTGTATTGTCATTTATAACAAATGTTTATTCAGTCGACGATCAGGTCAAGGACCTCAAGGAAGTTGCTGTCAAGTTGAAGACTGCGAGCGAAGACTACCTGAAGAACATCCCTGAGGATATTCGACCTAAGTATGAGGAGGTTGAGACGGCACGCGTGAACTACCAAAAGGCGGTGGCGGATGGGGAGGAGCCTGTCGAGCCGGAATCGATGGGGGAGTTGATCAAAGCGAAGACTTCTGCGGACCTCGAGGAGGTGCTTGAGACGCAGCAGGCGAAGCTAGAGATGAACATGAACACGAATCCTGGTGTGGTGGAGCAATACGAGCGTCGGAAGCGGGAGGTAAGGGTTTTCGTCCATATCACTTCATGGTCTAATTGTTGCCAAGATTGAAGGTTTGGCTTCGACCATCGAAGTCAAGGAACGGGAGGTCAAGAAGCTGGAGAGGAACGTCAAGCGCACAAGGGTATGGAGCCCATATCCGCTTTTTCGTCTCTGACAGCAGCACAGGACCAATGGGAGCCCGCTCTTCGGTCATTGGTTGCAAGCATCGGGAAGAAGTTCTCTGCTGCCTTTGACCGGATTGGGTGTGCGGGAGAGATCCGCATTCGGGAGGACGAGGCGTATGACCAGTGGGCTATTGACATTCTTGTCAAGTTCCGGGACACGGAGAAGCTTCAGATCCTGACCGCGCATCGTCAATCTGGTGGTGTATGTCCATCTCTGCTACTCTATAAAACCAAAACTAATGCTCTGCAGGAACGCTCGCTGACGACGATCCTGTACCTGATGAGCCTGACCGAAGAGGCGCGGGCGCCGTTCTCGCTGGTGGACGAGATCAACCAGGGAATGGACCAGCGGGCGGAGCGGATGGTGCACAACTCGATGGTGGAGGTCACGTGCAAGGCGGACAGCGCGCAGTACTTCCTCATTACGCCGAAGCTGCTGCCGGACCTCGAGTATCACGAGCGGATGAAGGTGCTGTGCGTGAACAACGGCGAGTGGCTCCCCCGAGGACGGCGGGACGGGGAACATGATGAACATGCTCGACGCGTATGTCGCGCAGAATGGGGGTTGAGAGAGAGAAGGAGAGGTTTTTTGTATGAAGTCTGCTAATGTACTGTATGCACGGTACTTATCTACTTTCTTGTTATAATGTACAGTTTTGTTTTACAATGCGCATAAAATTTTGGGTGGTTCTTCGCTCCAGAGAAAGGAAAGAAGTGGTGGCCACGTGATCGCGTTAACTTGACCCGTACCATGATTCAGAGCCCAAGCGTCGCGCAGCCCAAACTCGTGTTTCCGCCACAGGGTCGGGTCAAGCCATCCCGTGATTGTTGACTGGACATCGATAAGAGGCCACACCACGTTGCCGGCCGTCAAAGCGTTGCGCTGCATTGCATTCGAACGGTGCTTCGCTGTTTCCCTTTGTCACTTTCTTAAAAAGACATGAAGAAAGCGTCCCGGGGCCTCGCGCTGCCTCATGGACATGGCTCACCTTGAACGACGACGACCACGACGACGGACGAGCTCGGAGACGGACCTGCTCGCGCGCCCGCGCAGCCTGAATCGCGAGTGGAGAGGGTTTAATAAGAAATCGGTGCGTCTGCTTGTTTGTTTGTTTGTTTGTGTCTAACTGGACTACCGTAGACGCTCCCGAAGTACGACTCGCTCCCGCGACTACGCCTCGTCCCGACTGGCCAGCGCCCGATCTTCACGTGCCCGTCGCCGGAGTGCGGGCTGACGCACTTCTTTGCAGACCTGCCCGTGTGCCCGTGGTGTCGGGCAAGAAGCGCTGCCGCAGAGCACGCGTATCGGCGGTCTACGCCGCGGCCAAGGACGAGGAGCGCCGTGTTTGTGCGGTGGCGGGTAGACGACGAGCAGACAGAGTCGAAGCGGCGAAGACAGACAGTGTCGGGGACACCTTTGGCAGCGGCGCCGGCGGTCCCGGGCCGACCACGTGCCCACCACCGCTCACACTCCACGCCCGTTGACGCCGTCCACCACGCCCAGCTCGTGCGGCACAAGCGCGAGCCGATCTACAACGCGCTGCGGCGTAACGGGGGCTGGCAGTCGCCCCAGTCGATGAGCAGCGCGCTGTCCTCCCCAACCCCATCTCTTTCGCCCTCGCTCACGCTCGCTGTTAACACCGGCTCGATGTCGATGCCTGCCAGCCCCGTCAGCGACGGCTTTCACGGCCAATCACTCCTCTTCTCGACCCAGGGAGAAGAACAGCCACGGCCGAGCTTCAGCAGCGCCGATCCCGATCTCGACGAAAGCTTTGCGCTCGTCGATATTGGCGGCGGCAGCCGGTCTGGGTCAGACTCGCAGCACTCCGCGACGTTCTTCGCGTTTGCCCCTCCACCTGCCCCGCTTCCCTTTTCTGACGACGACGGAGCCTCGGACTTCGGCCCGCCGCCCGGCCGCCGGCGCGGCTCCATCGCCGGCCTCCTCGGCTCGCTCACCACGCGTCACAAGGAGGCAGAGAAGCGCGCGCAGCTGGCCGCCACCGTCAAGGAGAACGTTAACCACCATACAGCAGGCGGGCTGCACACGCTCCGAAAGCTCATCCGCAGACGATGGACGGTTACTTCCCGCTGAGAACATAAGGCTCCACTATGCTATGCTACGCTAAATGGTTGTTGTAATATGAGGTTATCCTTTACCCGGCGGCCCAAAGATTATTGCAGGAGGCTGAGCCTTTTCCGGTGAAGGGTTGAGGTTGAGTTGTGTGATCAAGCTTAAGGTGTATGTATTTGTGATGTGTGGGGAAAGTGGTTGTATAGTTGGAACAATTCGGCCGCGTCGAGGTTCGAATTGGCGCGCCGTTGGCTGATCACGATCACCAGCAAGTCACGCGCCGGCCACCCCTCTGTCAACAACAGTGATCTGGCCGAGACAGCTGTTTTCTTCCTGCGGAGGTCTCAACTGGACCAGTGAAACAGCGGCCCGGCGACGGCAGCTATGTCTCTGTCTCAGCGCCACACGCGGCGTATAAAGGCGGGTTTACGGCTAATACACTCTCCAATCTTCGGATTACCCCCAGAATCTATGGACTCTGCTCTGTACAACGCCAGCCTCATGTCGCTTCTCGGCTCTGCCCTTGGCAACGGCGCTGGCGTCGGGCCGGTCCCGGCGGTGCGCCGCTCGTCTCGGGTTCGTGCTGCGAAAGTCGACGCCAAGCCCGTGTCATTGCTCTCCAAAGATGCCCAAAAGGCCCTTGTCACCACGCCCAAAAAGCGCTCGTCACGCAAGTCCCTGCGCTGCCCGGGTGCGCCTCGTGCTGTGCGTGCCTCGCCGGTCGAGGTCGACGCCGAGGTCGTAGTCGGCAGACTTGACTTCGGTCTTGTTGCTGAAGACGACGAGACGGCGGCTGTTGAGGCTGTCGCGCCCGTCGTCGAGGCCGCGGGTGACTGTGTCGCCCCCCGTTGAAGTCGAAGTGGCTGTGTCTGAGGTGCGTTCCTTTGCCCGTTGTAGTTTTATTTGTTGCTTACGTCTTGCAGCCGGTTGCCGTTGTTAAGCCCGCCGAGGCCACGGTGCCAGCCGCGACCAGCCCGGAGACGGTCGTTGTTGTCGTTGTTGAAGAGCCCGAGGTCACGGTCGTCAGCCTCGGGCCGGTATGTTCCCCCTCTCTTCCTCAAGCTGACCTCTTGCAGATCGGGCAGACGCAGACGACGCCTTGTGCGGCTCCGGTTGCGCGGGCCGATGCGCCGTGGCCCGTCGTCAAGCGGAAGAAGGTTCCGGTCCCCTGGTCCGGCGCCCCCCGGCCACCAATCGTTCCTCGCATCGTGGTTACGCCTCCGCCAGACGCCTCGCCCAACCCGCCATCCAACCCCACCCAGCAGCGCAAGACAGTCAAGGCAGACGACTTCTGCTTCCCTCGCATTGGCCCGGCACCACCCCCATCCTCTCCCAGCAGCAGCAGCACGGCCCCTCCGCGCCTTTTGGCTGCAGCACCACATTTCTTCGGCGTTCTTGTCGTGGTATTTGGCTTTTGGCTCGCCAACCTCGTCCTTCCGTCGCTCCTTCACGGGCAATCGGCTTTCTATTACGCCGCGCTCCTCGCCCTAATCTCCGCCGCTGCGCTGGACGTCGTCGCCTCTCTTCGCTCCCGGGTCGTGCGCCGCGTCTCGTACGTCTTCCGCTCATTGTTGCGATTTTGTTTTAACCCAATTCCAGGAAACCATCGTCACCGGTTCCCGGGCCGGCCGCGCCGCCCAAGGCCGCCGACACGCCGCCGCCCGATCGCCTCCATCCTTCCGCCGCGCTGGGTTCACGGTCTCGTGGGGGCACCACTTCGTTCGCAAAGTCGGGGCGTGCTGGAGGGGGACGCGAACATAAGCGTGGTCTGGACAGCCATCGCCGTTCACCCTGGGCGGGTAGCAGTCCTTCTCCACGTGCGTCTCCTTCTGCGCGTTCGTCGGGGGACTCTTGCGGGACACGGGGCTCGGTGCGTAAGCCGGCGGGTAGGACGGCGTCCCGGAAACGGCTGCTGGTCGGGGTCCTCGTTGGCTGCGCTGTGGTCGACGCCCTTCGTACGTGTCTCGTCTCTCTTTTGATCAGCTACACCTGCTTATTGTCATCACCAGTTCTGTTCTCGGGGCGCCGGGTTGCTTTCAGTCTCTCCGACCTCGCGGCCACAGCTTACCGTTTTTGGAGCCGGACGGCACCGGGGATCACCGCCATCATTCGCGCCGGGCGGGCGGCGGCCTCGCTCTAAATCAGCTTTGTCGGACATCGCGGGCCTTTTCGAGTCGTGCGTTCCAAGTTCACTCTGTTCCCCTTCCTAGCTCATCCTCGTCGCGCAGTTTTGCCGCTGCTGGACGCCTACACTCTTTCACCCCTTCCTTGTTCGCCAACTACGTCGACCACACACTGGCCGCATCCGGGATTCGCGCGCCACCACCGGAGCGTCCGGCCAGTCGGTTTGATGCGCTGGGGCTCGACACGGCCCGGCGGGCCTGGGAACCCGTCGGCCACGCTGACGCAGGCAGCGGTCGGCCCTATTTTCTACGCAGTTGCGCTCGCCCGCTGTGCCGACGCGAGGGTATTCGGAACGCGGGTCCGGATTTCGGTCGGTGGTTGGTGCGCCGACGTTTTTACGTGCGTTGTTTTATCTTTTGGTTTCTTGCAGTTGCTTACCGAGTTGTAGCGCCTTTCGACACCGTCTTTTTCGACTTGGTTTTGCTGCTGCTGGACGCCTTCACTCTTTCACCCTCCCCTTCCTTCTTCGCCAACTACGTCGACCACACACCGGCCGTATCCGGGATTCGCGCGCCACCACCGGAGCGTCCGGCCAGTCGGTTTGATGCGCTAGGGCTCCGACACGGCCCGGCGGGCCTGGGAACCCGTCGGCCACGCTGACGCAGGCAGCGGTCGTCCCTACTATTATCTACGCAGTTGCGCTCGCCCGCTGTGCCGACGCGAGGGTATTCGGAACGCGGGTCCGGGTTTCGGTCGGTGGTTGGTGCGCCGACGTTTTTACGTGCGTTGTTTTATCTTTTGGTTTCTTGCAGTTGCTTACCGAGTTGTAGCGCCTTCGACACCTCCCCTTTACATCGCCGTCTTTTCCGCCTTCTTTGCTCCATTCGTCGCCGCTATTCACACGTCCAACGCCGCCAACGCTTCTGGCCATTCGGGAGAAGGCGGTCTGCGCATCATCACGATCCACGAACGCCGCGGCAGCGCGCGCCGGGCCGGGCCGTCGGGTGCGCGGGGGGCGACACGGGCGCGGCCTTGCTCGCTGTCGCCCACGCTGGCCAGCTGTCGCCCCTTGCGCCGTCCTTGTGCTCGGCCACCAACGGCGCGCGCGCGGGTAGTAGTGGTTCAAGCATGTTCAAGTTCGCCACCCCTCTCCGGCCAACGTTATCGGCGGCGTTACAGGTGAGCGCCTCCTCGCATTTTCTGACGTGGATCCGCTGAGACAGCTGCAGTTTCAGCCTTTAACGGCCGGGACGGAACGGACGTGTACTTTTCGTAGTAGTCGGCGATGATTTTTGAATGAATTTGATTCTTACAACGATTTGCGTTGAATTTGAGTGTCTTTCGTTGCGGTCAGCGGGAAATGTGCTCGCTTCAGCTCCTGCAGCCAAACGTTGCTTTCACAGTTGGAAGATTGAATTGTCGGTGCTAGTCATGTTAAGCTTGCTCGATCTTGTACGACCCTGCGGCGTTTTGCGTGTCTTTCACGGCCGAACGATGAGTGTAGGAGCGGGTCCCAGATAATGGCGATGACCGGCTCCAATCGCTGCTTCTCCCCTCCGTACGCGTACTTCGAGTGGTGGTGGAACGATCACGTGCAACGCGTCATGTGGATCTGGAGCGCGTCAGCCAGGCAGCGGAGGCGCGAATGTCAATGGTAACGGGGGCATTTCGTCTATTTACATGGTAGTATGATATGAGGGGACGCACACGAGATATAGCGGGATAAGAGAAACGAAAACAATCAAAAAAAAGTCAGTACTCAAATATTCACACGGTATTCGCCGGCGCGCGCTCCCGCCGTGCGAGCGCCTCGAGCGCCTGGTCGAGCGCGATGATCTCCACGCGCGTCATGCCGTCACCTTCAACTACTAGTCCGTCGTCGTCGTCGCCGGCGTCGCGCTCCCCGTGGAACGGCGCCCAGAAGAGGTGCAGCAGCGCCTTGCGGCGCGCGGCGGCGGAGAACGCGCAGAGCTGGCGCAGGGCCGCGAGCGAGGTCATGTGGTATGCCGCGAAGAGCGGGGCGTGCGGGGAGAAGTCGAGCGGCAGCGTAGAGAGGAAGGCACGCAGGTCGGGCGAGAGCGGGTTCAGGGCCGGGGCCGGGGCCGGGGCCGGCGCGGCTGGAGGTGGCGGTGCGGGTGCGGTTGTAGGCGGGACGGAAACTGTGGGCGCGATTTGAGGCGCTGGGGCAGCCGAGATGGTGCTGTTTGCACTCGCGGACGGGACGGAATATATGGTCGCGACTTGCGGCGCTGCGGCTGGGGCCGGCGCGGAAGTGTCATTGCCTTTTGCAGTCGTTGGCGGGGCGGAATTTGCGGAGGGAATCGGGGCCGCAGGCGGCGCGATCGCGACGGTATCCGAGTTCAAGACATTGTGGTTCTCGTGCTGAGGAGCAGAAGATCATTAGAATGTACGTTATAACGCGTCATTACGCACATTTGCTGGCATCTCCACATCCTGGTCGGTTGGCGCTTGCACGACGGGCGCGCTGATACACATAATTTCGGGCACGTCCGCGTCCTGGGAGGCCGGTGCGTTTACAGGCTTGCTGGTACATGCGACTGGTTTGAGGGTCTCCGCCGTCTTGACGGGTTTAGGGGCCGGCAGCTACCACAAAGTCAGACGCGTTTCGAGGCCAACTTGGACGCGCTCACCTTCCGGCGCGTGGTCTTGGGCGGGATCACCTCTATCACTTCAACTTCTGGGTCGTCGTCGGCGCTGTTCATCTGTTCGTCCATTTTAGCTTCCTGGATTCCGCGTCAACATAAGTAAGCCCGGCGTGAGCACAGAGACAGGAAACTTGCGTCGAGCTCCCCGTTCCCCGCTGTAATTTCAGCCTCTTTTTCGTCGGGCAGGTCGTCGTCCGAGTCGGCACTGTAATACCGTGTGTGTTCGTCCATTTGAACTCCCTAGATCATTCCGCGTCAGGATAAGCTTGTGACCAATAGGAACCTTGCCTCAAGCTCAACGTTTGCCGCCGTGATGTCATCTTCCTCGTCGGGATCGCCCACAATCAAGACGTGTTTCCTCGAGCGCGGCCTCCCCCGGCGCCGCGGGCCCTCCGGCTCCTTCGGCGGCGCATACACCCCCCACGTGCCCGGCAGCGACACCGCGACGTCGACCGTGCCCCCCTCGAGCACGTGCGCGAGGCGCGCCCTGTCCACGAGCGCGGCGTCGCGCGACAGCACGTCCGGGCGCGGCACGAGGAGGTTGCGCGTGACGAGCGAGAGCGTGCCCCCGCCGGACGACGTGCCGACGTGCGCCGCGATGCGCCGCAGCGACCACGCGTGCGTCCCGTGCAGGATGCGCACCAGCGCCCGGTCCGCGCGGAGGACGGAAATCGTCGCGGCGCCCGGCCCGGTGAGCGCGCCGGGCTCGGCCGGGAGCGCGGTCAGCCACGAACGCACGGCCGCGCCCTGCTCGCGCTCGTCGTCGTCCTCGCCCGACTCGGTCCCTCCAGGTCCGGAGCTCTCACTTTCGCTGTCACTCTCGCTGTCACTATCGCTGTCTTCATCCAGCTCCGCCTTCCGCCCCTGCTGCCTCGCGCTCCGTCTCACCGGTGCCCCCCTCGGCCGGCCCCGCCCACGCTTCTGCAGCCCCAGCTTATACTTTCCCCGCTTCCTGCCGGGCGTCACCTCGCCCTTCAACACGCGCTCCAGTCTGTCTTTATCCAGCAGCTCCGCGTCCCTCTTTGGATCGTCGTGCACGGGCATGTCGTTCCGCACGACGCGCGACAGGCTCCCGCCGCTGCTGCCCACCGCGGCCGCGATGCGCGCGAGCGGCCACCCGTGCGCCGTCTTGAGCGTCCGCACCAGCGCGCGATCGGGGCGGGACAGCCCTGCGAAGCGCGCGGCGAGCTCGGGCGGGGGGCGGGAGCCCAAATATTAGCTTAGCTTCACTTAAGTTTTTATTGACCAGGTCAAGATTTAGCTTAAGTTCGCTACTTAAGCCCTGAATACATAGTCCTGTGCAACTCAATGTAATAGTAGTAAAATTTTACCAACTTAAGATCAAGGAACTTAAGAAAGTACCCGTTCTCAAGTCTGAAATCATGCCAAAATGTTAACTGAACATTTATTATGAAAACTTAAGATAGATCACAAATCTTAAGAGTACAATACTTGAGTTTGAAATCTTGAGAGATAGTGAAACCTAGAACAATCAGTAACCTGAGATTTGAATGCTTAAGAACTCACTTCAACGGCGGCGTTTTGTGGGGCGCTTGTCAGCAGCTTCCTTGTGCGAGCGCAGAATGCGGGAAGCGGGAACCTCGGCTTCAACTTCATCATGAACGCGCTTTCGACGAGGGCGTGGCTTAGTAATGGCATCCGAAAGGTCAGGCTCTGGCAGGCCCTCTGGCCGGGGAGGAATTTTCTGTCTCCTCTTCCTCGCCTCTGCAACAGCTGCCTCGTAGTCAACCAACTTCTGGGCTGCATCAGCCTTCTCTTTCTCCACTGCTTCAGCTGCCTTGCGATCCGCTTCCTCACGCTCGGCCTGTTCGCGCTCGGCCTGTTCGCGCTCGGTCTGTTCGCGCTCGGCCTTTTCGCGGTCGGCCTTTTCGCGCTCGACCGCTGCGATCCGAGCTGTTTCAGCCTTTTCGGAGGCAATACGTTGAGCTTCAATGCGAGCTGCTTCTGCCGCTGCCGCCGCAAGGTGGTCAGCCTCAGCGCGTTCACGGGAAATAGCTGCTTCACTATTGTTGTCGTTCAATTGATCGGCATCCGAGTCCCCCGGTTTGCGGAACAACGGTCCCGTAAGGTCACGGAGAGCTGTGGCGATATCGAAGCGTTGACTGGGCTTTAACCTTGACGGATCATCCAGTGGGAAAGGGAGCTTGACCATGTCGGTGTCGTAATAATGAGCTGGGTTGGCACGGATGTCGTCCCAGGGGATTGTCACAGCTTCATGCGAGAATGCTGATCAAATATAAGATTGCTGCAAAGAAAGTGCTGAGAAAGCCTACCGAAGGAGGCATTCAAGAAGGCCGTAATCTCGGTCGTGAGCTCGGCAACTGTCAGGGACTCCAGTTGGGAGTCAGAGAGGGTGAATAAGGGTAGTTGCGGCGCTCCGAGTCGTTCATGATTATCTGCAGCAGCATTCTTGTCTTGGGAAAGATCTGCTGCAAAGTTAGTCCTCTCACGGATTACTGATCGAAGCACATGGTACATACCTCTGAGGGTCTCTGCAGCCCACTGGTGCATCGCGCGGAGCTGCGCACCGGACTCGGTCGAGAACATCTCGTGAAACTCTCGTTGAATCCCCGAGTCTGGGGGAAGAACTTCGCCACTGCCCAACAGTCAACAAGACAAGCTTAATGGAAGAAGAAAGGAGACGCACACTTCGAAGACCATTTGGTCCTTGGCAGCATCATGGTAGCCAAGCTGTAGAGTGGCAACAAAGTGGCCAAGGCGACCAGTGCCAAGAATTGTACTCAATGCACTACACAGACCGTTCTTGAACATCGCAATAAGCCTGTGCGAGTGGTCAGCATTCTGCCTCGTGAATGACTTGATTCATACTCTGAGATCGGGACTGCTTCCATATCCTTCCGTGTCTCGGCAGCCCAGTGACTCTGGTCAGCACGAGCCCACATTTCTTTAGCAGCGTGATTGAAATTGGCCCCGGCGTTGCCACCGGGATACGTGCGTGAGTGAGCAAGGATTTCGTCGTGCATGTCGGTGACAAACTTCATGCGAGGAGTGAACTCCAGCAGGTTGAGTAGTCGCATCGCGTCAGTCAAAGGCATACTTGCAGTCGCTGGGACAGCCTCGTTCTTCGCGCGTTTGGCATATGTGCCTGCATTCGTGAGGACCTTCTTGATGGCCTAATAGAGCGAAAATAAACTCTAAGTCGTGTCGCAAAGAGAAGGACATACGGTTTCCCATCCTTGAATCGCAAAACCTCGTAGTGTTGCCCGTTGAGCATCAACATCCTTGCCCGTGGCGTTGGTCGCGGTCGCAGAGTTTGCGATGGATTTTGTTGCGGGCCCGGGCTTCCCCTTGTTGGCCCTCTTGGCAGCCTCTTCGGCACGGGCAGCATGAATCGCTGCCTCGATCTCCAGTGTCATCGCTGCCTCCTCCTCCACATCGCGTTGAGGATTTTCCGAAATGTGCTGGAAGGGTTTTGGCCGCCAATGCTGCTTTTAAGATATTGCGCCGGTCGGTCTCATTGAGACGGGTTGTAATGTCGAAGCCTTTGAAGGCCACATCGAGCAGGTAGCCTCGCTGGTGGTCGCTGAGCTGGGGGACGCCATAAGCGTCATTCTTCGTTAAGATGACACGAGCCAGCTTTGGCATGGGCATGACTGTCGGAACCTTGCTTTCGTTGTATGCGACATGTCCGCCGAGCATTTTCGTATCAATCGGGGGAGAATAGTGGTCGTGGTGGTAAGAGACAAGCCTTGGATGTGGGCACCTAAAGCGAGCCTTGGACAAGGAGCAGGTGCGGAATGAGTGGGACAATGCGGGAATATGGAACAAAGCACCGGTACCAACAGCTGTATAAATATAGATGAATGGAACGCCCTCCAAAAAAACTTGCACTCACCGATATGCGCCGCCAGAACGATATCAACCCAGATCTCCTCGAGCAACTGCTTCCCGAAGGCTGCACCGTCAGCCATAAGGTGAACGCACTGGGATTTGCCATTCTTCGCAAAGCCATTGAGGCTTTTGGCGTCGACTGCCTCTTGGTTGAGCTCCAGCGCCTTGACGGTCTTAGCATGGCAATGGGGACCCGTCAAACGGGCGAGCAATATGGCCGAATTATAGCTTCCTATGTGCGTCTCAGTCTTGGTTCAATTCGTTTAGCTTAACAGAGGGCAGGGAATAAAAAATGTACACACCGCAATTCCAACTGGTGAAGTGCAGCGAGAACTCCGCACGTATCATAACAGCCTCAAGCTGTACTTTCAAAAAACGGGTGATCGATTCATCATCCGCAATCCTGCCGCTCGACAGCTTCTGCAAGGTGCTGAACGACGCTGGAACAACTTCATGCTCCGCTACCATCATTATCCTCGCCCTGACTGGGCACGGGAGGCGCTGCCGAGCCTCGACCCAATTCCCTGCAATCTCGCGCCGCGGACTGTTGTTCGAGGACCAGCAGCGCCTCGCGTGAGGGTACCGGCTCTTGCCGCTGCTCCGGCCCATGGCGGTGCCATTCAGGTTATTGACCTAACAGGCACCACCAAATCCTCTGCTTGCAAGCGGAAGCGGCACTCCTCCTTCCCTCCCACCCCGCCGACCTCGCCGGTTCGCCCCAAAAACACCATTGTCATTGACCTGACAACTGAAGATGAGAAACCGAGGAAGAAACTCAAAGTGAAACGAGTCCATACCGTTATCGAGATTGATTGAAGTCGATAGTCATGTATTTTTGTATTGCTCTTTGTTGAAGTGAGCTTCGCTTGCAAGCCGGACTGCGCAAGGATTGAGCACCGTCATGTTGAGCCGTGGGCATAACGCCTTGCTGGGCTTAAGCGATACCACCGCACGCACCCGGATTCGCCTATAGGCGCCCAGCGCGGCGCTGGGCCTGGGATCGCATGGTGACGGAAGAGAAGACACGTTTGACGTGGCACGTGCCGCACAGCGTGGTCCGTGCGCGGCACATCAATCACGGGCGTGTCCCGACTTCTTGCTTCCTTTCCCCTCCATACTGCCCTCGCTGGTCGCGTGTTTCCGGACTCACCGAACAGTGCTGCACGCGCTGATACCACTGTTACAAGCGGTTCTGCCCCATCACAAGGTGCAAACCACCCAACAACGGCCGCTGCACGCGCCGCTAACTCCATCGATGAAGATGACGACAACCCTTTCCTCGAGGGAATACACCCCGCCCACACCAAGCGCGATGGCGGGCCCGAATGGCAACGTGCACCCATGTCGCTGGTGGAGTCGAATGCTGGCCCGCAGTTCAGCGCCGCCAGCCGAGCTTCTCGACCATTACGGGCGACGTAGCGGAGCGCTTGGTATGACTTACCATCTGTACGTGCAATACTTTCCAGAAAGACTACGCTGAACAGCAACACCCCAGCGATGTCGCGTCAGACCTCCGTGACCTCAACGTGGAGATGCACGTTGCGGACGCTGTCGGCGCATGTCTTCCCCTCCGTTGGCAACCACGACACGCACATCTCCGGTCAATCCGTTTGCAAGGGGTACTTCCAACACCGTCAATGATTCGCAGAAGGGCCGCGACTTAACCAACGATTCGCAGAAGGGCCGCGACTTGACGGTGCGTAGCGAGTTTCCTTGTGACGGGCTCGGGATGTCTGACCGAATGCAGCCCTGAATCCGGCCTGCTGCTGCCGCTCAAGTCACGCATCGTCCAGCGAGCTACTCAGCCCTCGTGCTCGGCATGGAACTGCATAATCTGCGGAAGGATTCAGCTGAGCTTGAAATGGTGTGTCCTTATATGTCACGTTCGCCATGTCATTTACACTGACAGACTACTACTAGCTTACCGCGAAACATTACCGTGATGCGGACAAAACCCAGGTATGTTCCACAGCTTCAAAACCTTTCGTCTTCATTGCTACTGTAGCCTTGTGTCAACTTTAATGTTACTCCGACAATATATGAATCTTTTCTCCCAAATACCTTGTACTTCTGAGTCATTCCAGGTATACGGTCACCTGACACAGCAAAACCCTTTCCCCGACATGTTCCTCCATCGTACAGGAAAGCCAGTCCGTGGTCGCGGCCGTGGCGGAGCTCCCGCTCCTTCTTCCGCGCGTCCCATTCTTGCGAGTGCAAGTGGCACTTTTCTTGTTAACTCCCAGCAGCCAAACGGGACCACAACGAGTCGAGCGTACTATGCGCTGCCATCCCCGAAAAAGCAACAGACGACATCTAGAGTCCCAGTCAGCTTCGAAGAGTCTGTGCCACCCCTTCTAGACGACAGTCAAGAGCCAAACACCACCACTGACTTACCAGAAGAAGCGAGTGCAAAGCGAGAGGTCAGTCCTGCTTCCCTTTCATTGTTATATTGCTCAATTGCATTGGGGTTAGAGAGTGGCACATATGGGTAAATATATGGACAAGGAAGCTGAACTCCTGGAAACCTTGCTCACATTGCATCACGACGACAATCTATTGCAATTATGTCCTTGCAATAGTGGGGATCTCTGCCTTGTCCGCTGCTTGGACTGCGTTCAAGGCACTGTTGTCTGTCGGCAGTGTTTCCTCCGGAACCATCGTCGTAATCCAACCCATTGGGCCGAAGTCTGGGACACAGATGCTCAGTTTTTCCGTCGAACAGACATCAGCTGTGTTCGGGAGAACTCCGCAATTCACATCGGCCACAACGGAGAGTTTTGTCCCCGCGCTCTCAGACGCCAGGACTTCATTCTCGTTGACATCAATGGCACTCATACCACCGCTATTACCTTGTGTGGCTGCAAGTCAATACCGGCCTGGAAGCAGCTAATCCAAGCCGGGATATTACCGGCAACCATTGATGCTCCGCAGACTGGGTTCACACTGCGTGTTATGGAGCAATGGCGCGAGTATCGCCACCAAGGCAAGCTTTCGGCCTGGGACTTTGTCCGCGTTATGCAGCGTCTGGCGGATCCATGGGTTCCTGATAGTGTTCCTGTAAGTTCAGCTCCCGCCCGAGGCGATGCAACTTATGTTTATTTTATCCAGGACTTTTCAAAATACTTCGACAATATTAGCCGAATCTACAACTATCTGGATACGCAGCTTCAGCGTGGTAAGGCCCATGGTGTTGATGACGCCATTGGGGATCAGCTCGAACGAACCTACCCTCATCGTCCTGTGGGGTATCTTGGCACTGTATGTGCTGCATGTCCAGAGCCGGGTATCAATATGCCACTTGACGGTGTCGCTTCTGTGCCGAAAAGTCTTCGGTATGGCTTTCCATTGCTATCTTTATGGTTGTTGAATACGGCGCATCTAGACATCTGATCGCGGAGCATCAAATGCTCGATGGAAATTTCAAGGCCAACCTTTTCAAAAAAACCGCGACAACGGCACAGATCAAGCTCTGACTGATGGCACTATGTACTTCGCGACGCAAGCAGATTTTACCAAATTTGCAACGGCCTACGTTGTAAACCCGGCAGACAAGGTCGATATTCTAATATGTATCATTCCACCGTGACTCGTTTGCTCATGAGAGTGCTTATAGGAGGTCCCGTGCAAGGCCCATATTGGCTCGATTCGAAATCAGGGGAAATACAAGTACAAAAATACCCAGGTCAGCGGTGTCGTAGCATCGGCTTGTTCACATGGGTTCCCTGCTGGTCTTGCTGACATGCTCGTCTCCGAGGCGTATGTGTCTGTGATAATCGTGTGCTTCACTTACTTTTCCATTAGATTCGCGATTGTGCAATATGCCCAGACAAGACATTTACAGCAAAAGAACTCTCCCCCATATCCTTCATCGCTTCGTTGGCCGCATGTACAATCGTACGATAGCTACTGTTCCTGGATTATCAACCAGCTTAACCGCGTTCGGGAAATGTTTCCGGACGAAGAGTGGCTTCATGAAATTGTCCAGGAAATGGAAGGCCAGATCCCTGCGAAGCATATTGATGGTCATGGTGATGCATGCAAAACCAAGTATCAGCCGGCATATTTCCCGTGCCGCACCCATTTCTTTGCGGAGACAATCGAGACAATCTGGCCATACCTCAATGAATTTGGGCCATCGTTTCGACAAATGACTGCTGGTGCGCGTCATGATAGCATCAACTTCGCCATCGACTTCTGGAACCGGAATAAGATGTTCAAACTTGGTATCGTACTATGTCTTGAGGCAACTGGATGTGAAATTGATTTTATTTGCAGCTACTCAGCTTGGAGATGAACGTCGTGAGGCCCTTCTTGTGGCTGGCAATAATCTTGCCATTTCAAACGAGTCTGTCAAGAGAACCGTGATCATGTTTCCGAATGGTCGCGCATGTCACGATTGTGTGAGGAGACAGAAGGGGGGATTCGGAGTGTATACCAGCACAGCAGCAAGACCGGTCAGCCTTCCTTGATTCATCAACTATAGCTAACTTATCTCTCAGTGACATCTATCGACGATGTCCTGGCTGCAATGGCTGAGGAGGCCAAGCCTTCAGCTGCAGACTCGGGCAGTGCCAAAGCTGATGATCCGACATCGGCGGCAGCTTGGATCCGATGGGGAATGGCCTTGGAATGCTCTTCGTAAGAACTAATACCACTGCTTCGTCATCTTTGACACTAACCACAGTTTTGAAGGGAAACCTTGAAGGCACATGTGAAGTCCTATCAAGCACACCCCCCTGCAAGAGACCGCAAAAAAGCTCATTTCTGCCTTGCGCGATACACTAGCTGAAGCTCTTGACGATTTTCGATGCCAACAACTGATGATCCTTCCCACCCTTCCTCTCTCTGCCCTTGACCCCGATGCCCCAGAGAATGCTGTGATTCAAGTGCCATCCCGTGTTTGCATGGCAGAGCATGGATTCTCGCTCGATCCACAGCTTATCGACGACGAAATTAAGCTTCGTTGTGCCGAGGCAAATGCGCGGATCCTCGATGTTCAAGAAAAGACAATTACTATGTCGATTATACGCAGTTCCCGAAGCTATGATTATCGTGGCCAAGCAGGGATTACCCGGGCAACACGGACCAAGGAGAAGGGAGAGATGTTCTTTGATCTCAGCATCCATCTCTATAACTACACTCGAAGTGCCCTGGTTGCCCTCGGATTTTTGAAATCAGATGCCAAGAAGCCCTTTCCGCCAATGTCCCGATCTGACACCTCACGGAAAGACACCCATTTGTTCCGCTTACGTGGCGACTCGAGGCCTGTCGAGGGTGATTTCTGGCGCCTCCTTGTTGGCTCTGACAATACAGAGGCAGCAGAGCTTATGGAAGATATTTCAGGCCATATGGGTCTCGAAGACATGTCTGGCTCTGAGGAGGAGACAGACAGTGATGAGCCAATCGTGACTGGGACTGCTACACGTAAGCGGCGAGCCGGAGGTCAGTTATTTGATATGTGTCTTTTCAGAGGGCTAATTATTTCAAAGCAACGCCCCGAGGCTCTCCAATGAAACAACAGAAAACCAGTGCTATGACAAAGTCCAAGAAGCCAAAGGAACGAGTTGATGGCTGGGTTTGGAATCCTGAAATGTTGTTAATGCCAACCGAGTCCAATACCAATATTGCAAAATTCAAGGCAGAGTGTGCGTATTCAGATTGAACCATTTTTCAGCACAACTAATCCAAGTCTTGTTCTATAGCAAAACGGGTCCATTTCTTCCGGACTGAAGCTGAGTTTTTCCGCTGGCTGGAGCAGTATGAGGCCAAGCATGTTGAGCTCTGGCGGGTCATCCAACGCTTCAAGTATGAAGCAGACACTTGGGATCAACGTGCGAAGTATTTTTCTGCACAGAGTGGTAGGGCTGTCTATGCACACACACAAGCAGCAATGTGGCACAGTCTCAAGCTTAATGCTACTAGAGAATTTCACAGATCTGCAACTGGAGCCAACAGTAATTGGGTCAAGGCAGATTGTTTTGAGGACCTTATTGCCCGAATCTCTGCAAGCCGTGATGAGTTATTAAAATGGATGGACAAGTTAGGTATGGAGCTTATGTACAAGTCCTGGTAGAGAAACAAATTTTTATATGAATTGGTTGCCATAAAGATATGAACTGGAATATCTGATAGGATTTTTCAAGGATTTTCAAGACCCTGTACCTCTTTAAAGTTTGTAGCCAAAGCTTCTGTACATTACATTTAGAAATAAAAATTACAATAATATATTAGAAGAATAAGTGATAGATGTAATTTTCAACCTGTTTTGAAGTCAGATCACAATGATTTTATTATTATATCACTTGAGAAGCCTTAATAATATGTCCATATAGGGGCTTGTAGCTGGTTGTTCTACTCTAATATGATTGTTCTTTCAAGTTAATTTCTTAAAAAATAATAATATCAAGAATGTAACTATATATTGGAAGAACAAGTGATAGATATAATTTTCAACCTGTTTTAAAGTCAGATCATAATAATTTATTGATATATTACTTGAAAAGGCTTAACAATATGTTCATATAGGGAATTGTAACTGGTTATTCTACTACTCTGATAAGATTGTTCTTTTCTGGTTAATTTCCTAAAAATGATGATATCATCTTGGAAAATTGATTGATCCTATAGGAAGTCAAGAAAGATTAGGTGGTAGGTATAATAAACAACAACTTGTAACCACTCTGGTATAATCAAAATCTTTTATCAGTACAATTCATTGATAAGCCTGCACAGCCACCCTGTAGATATAGTATCTCAACAACATTCTACTCAATTCAAATAGCAATTTTGGCATAAGCTCATATACAAATTTGGACTTGAACTATTTCCTTATTTGGAAACTCTAGGTGCCAGAAGTGTTAGACAAAGTGAAAAATTACCAAAAATATCTATCACATGCCAAAATAGGTTACATAATAACATAGGTGTGACATGTGTGTGTGACATGTGACACAATATACAATGTATTTTTTGGATACCTTCTTTGGGGGGGTCAACTTGACAAGATATAGACAACCATTTTTAGTATTTGAAACAAGATCTTATGATATCTTAAGATATATACTCAAGATATTGTTGAACTAGACATGATAATCCCCAATAGTAGTGAAACTTAAGTCTCTATTTACTTAAGTAGTCAGATCACAATGATTTTATTATTATATCACTTGAGAAGCCTTAATAATATGTCCATATAGGGGCTTGTAGCTGGTTGTTCTACTCTAATATGATTGTTCTTTCAAGTTAATTTCTTAAAAAATAATAATATCAAGAATGTAACTATATATTGGAAGAACAAGTGATAGATATAATTTTCAACCTGTTTTAAAGTCAGATCATAATAATTTATTGATATATTACTTGAAAAGGCTTAACAATATGTTCATATAGGGAATTGTAACTGGTTATTCTACTACTCTGATAAGATTGTTCTTTTCTGGTTAATTTCCTAAAAATGATGATATCATCTTGGAAAATTGATTGATCCTATAGGAAGTCAAGAAAGATTAGGTGGTAGGTATAATAAACAACAACTTGTAACCACTCTGGTATAATCAAAATCTTTTATCAGTACAATTCATTGATAAGCCTGCACAGCCACCCTGTAGATATAGTATCTCAACAACATTCTACTCAATTCAAATAGCAATTTTGGCATAAGCTCATATACAAATTTGGACTTGAACTATTTCCTTATTTGGAAACTCTAGGTGCCAGAAGTGTTAGACAAAGTGAAAAATTACCAAAAATATCTATCACATGCCAAAATAGGTTACATAATAACATAGGTGTGACATGTGTGTGTGACATGTGACACAATATACAATGTATTTTTTGGATACCTTCTTTGGGGGGGTCAACTTGACAAGATATAGACAACCATTTTTAGTATTTGAAACAAGATCTTATGATATCTTAAGATATATACTCAAGATATTGTTGAACTAGACATGATAATCCCCAATAGTAGTGAAACTTAAGTCTCTATTTACTTAAGTTGTAAGCTTAAGATAAGTGTTGACTAAGTCAATGAATACTTAAGATAAGCTAAGCTAGTTTATCGGGAGCCCGTGCCAGTGGGTGGGGGCGGAGGCTCGAGTTGGATGTCTTGTTCGTTCTCTTCTTCTTTCTTGGGCAGCATCGTAGTGGGGGCAGGAAAAGAGCAGCAGAGAGGAGGCTGCGGTCGTTTCTACATATGTATGGCGGGCGTTGAATTCATTCTGCGCAGGCGAGCTTAACCTTATACCAGTTCAATTCCACTTCCATTTCCAGCGCAGATCCAGAACAGTCCAATAGAAGGTGGAGGGGGACGGCGGAAGCAGCAGCGTCCCCCGAAGCACCATTGGCTGGCAGCAAGTACGCGTGCTTTAAGCTCATGGCGGTAGTTGGCACAGAAAATCTCCGATCATTGTCACGTCCACGACAAAACAAACAAATAAACAAATGAAAACAAAACACAACAAAAACAAAACAAACGACAACACTGGCACAAGCTAGATTTAAGTAGAAGCGCGACGCTATGGATATGTAAGGCTGTTCCGTGAAAGAAAAACAGCAAAGCATCGGCAAAGTTTCATCCAGCGTTTGGGCGCGCCTCTTTCGCGAGCTTGTCGAGCGCCTGGTCGAGCGCGATGATCTCCACGTGCGTCATGCCGCCGCCGAGTTGAGCTATGTCGTCACGCGCCTGGTGCCAGCGGAACGGCGGCAAGAAGAGGTCGAGCAGCGCCTCGCTTCTTTCCGCCGCGGGGAACGCGCAGAGCGGGCGCAGGGCCGCGAGGGAGGTCATTTGGTATGCCGCGAAGAGCGGGGCGTGGCGCGCGAGGTCGAGCGGGAGCGGAGAGAGGAAGGCAAGCAAGTCCGGCGCGAGCGGGGTGCCAGTCTAATAGCAAGGGATTGTAACATATAAATTAGTGTCAAGTATATGCATACGCACCGGGTTCGCTTTTGAGATCACGTCGAGTTCGTCGTCGTCGTCGTCGTCGTCATGCCCCTGGGTCACCTCCCTGTCACGCGGCCTGGGGGGCCTTGTTGTCCGCCCGGGATTCACCTCCCCCGCCAACACCTTTCTCAACAAGTTGTCCCTATCCAGCAGCCCTGCATCCCGTTCGACGTCGTCGCCCGGCTCGTTCCGTGCAACACACCCCACGCTCGACGCGCTGCTCCCCACCGCGTCCGCGATGCGCCGCAGCGACCATCCGTGTGCGGTCCGGAGCGTCCGCACCAGCGCGCGGTCCGCGCGGGCGATACCCAGGTACGGGTTTCCTTCTTCTCTCTTTCGCGGCATGGGTGGTGAAGTAGTAGCAGGGCAGGAAGAAAGCCGCAAAACTTTCTTGTTATTGTATTGACGCGTGACTCATTTAATCCAGAGTTTCTTTGACGCTGCGCAGCTGAGCTTAACTTGACACGTCCCCTTCCATTTACGTGACAGTTGGTGGCGGAAGTAAGTGTTTCAACCTTTGCAGCGGCGGACAACAGGCTGAACAGAACATGGAAGACAGAAAACAAATCCTTGATCATTACGACAAAACAAACAAACAAACAAGCGAAAACGACACAAAACAAGAAAACATACGACCTAACGGCTCGACAGATATGTACACTACACTACACTACACACGACGCATCGATACACTGTAGATGGAGGAATAATTCAAGTGTCTAATCAGGGTTTTGCAAACGGGCCAGCTGCTCGAGGAGCTGGGCGCGGCGCTCGAGGAGCGCGACGTGGGTGCGGCGCGCGGCGGCGTACCGCGTGTCTTCGGCGGTGTGGGGTGGAGGTGGGGGTGGGGAGTGAAATTGGGATTGGGAGGGTGAACGGGACTGGGACGCCTCGCGGGACGCCTCAAAGAGGGCGATCTCGCTGTCCTCGTCGACGCGCGCGATGGTGCCCTCGTAGCGCACCGTCGCGTCCTCCAGCAGCGCCGACGGGAAGGGCGGGGACGGGAGCGCGGTGAGGCGGGGAGAGAGCGGGGAGAGCACCAGCGAGGGCACTTCATGTATGCACCTCGGCGGGCGGGGGCGGGGCTGGGAGGACACGCTCGTGACCGACTCCGCGCGCTCCGTTATCGTCATCGTCATCGAGTGCTGTGTCGGCGTCAGCGTCGTCAGCGTCGACGGCGGGCTCCTGCCGGTGTTGTTGTTGTTGTTTGTTCTTGTGGATGTCTCACCCCTCCTCCCCCCCCCCCGGGCGGTCCACGAGCCCCGTCCGCCGGCCATACCAGCACAGCAGCCTGGCGACATACAGCGTCTCGCGCTGCTCGCCGCGGGCGAGGCGGCGCGGGTCCATCGCGCTGAGGCCGACGTCCGCGCCGAGCAGGTCCGCCTGCATCACCCCGAGGAAGATCTTGACCCCGTGCTCCTTCGCACGCTTAGACGTCGCGAGCTGCGCGCGCACGTCGTCCGCGATGGGGAGGCGGTCCCGGAGGATAGACTCGACGACGGCGATGAGGAGGAGCGGGGTGAGCTCGAGCGGGGAGGTTAAGGCCAAGGGCAGGGCGAGCGCGGCGAGGAGCTGGTTGAGCTGCGCGAGGAGCAGCGGGGCGGGCACTTCCAGCGACTGCGGGTGTATCTCTTTGCCGTCGTCCATCGCGCCATGGCGGTCACCAGCAGGGTCGCATCACGGCGAAAAACGGAAAAGGAAAAGGAGAAGTCGTGACACGTCACTGTGACCGTCACACCGCCAAAACTTTTCCCGGAATGCACCTGCTGGACCTGCCCCCGGAGCTGCTGCTCGAGTGCGTCGCGTACCTGTCCGTGCGGGACGTCCTCGCGTGCTTCCGCGGCAACAGACAGCTGCACGCCGTCCTCGCGTCCTCCGCCGCGCTGCGCTACCGTCTTCTCCAAGCGCAGCTTGCTGTTGTCGAGAACCCGCACCACCCCGCGCTACCCGGGCTCGTCGCCGCGGAGCGCCTTGCCCTGCTGGAAGCACGTGAGGAGAGATGGATGGCGCTGAAGCCGCTCAGCCGGCACACGCTCGGGCTCGAGTTTGAGAACGCGGGGATCTACGATGTGACGGGGGACTACTTTCTCGTGGGGGACGTGCCCGACGCGCAGGCGGGGTCGATGTGCCGCGCGATCAAGTACGTCGCGACCGCGCCCGCCGATGACGGGGAGCTGCCGGAGTGGCGGCGGATCTGGGTGGGCAAGCCGATCGTGGACTTTGGGATGGCGGTCGAGGAGCTGGACCTAATCGCGGTGGTCACGAGCACGCCCGCGGCACACCCGCTGAAGCAGACGATCGCCGTGCAGCTGCTCAGCTTCTCCACGGGCCAGCCCCATCCGCACGCCGCGCAGCCCGAGATCACGCTCAACACCGTCCTCCGCGAGCACGGCCGGCCCGGCGCCTCCGTCGAGATCGTCGGGCGCACCCTCGCGGTCAGCTTCCTGTACTGGTCCCAGCAGAGCCGCGACGCGGACCTGCTCTACATCCTCGACTGGCACACCGGCGCGCCCATCACGCCCCCGCAGCAGGTCTACAACACCGGCGTCGTCTTCCTCACGCCCACCATGCTCCTCGTGCCCAACGCCCTCGAGACCGCCCTCGACGTCGTCTGCCTCCCGCAGGACGGCGCCCCCAGCCGCGACCCCGTGATCCACTCCTTCCGCCTCCCCGCGCTGCAGGACGGCCACGGCATCTACGCGTTCCAGTGCCGCGGCGAGCCCAACCCGCGCACCGCCTTCTTCCCGTATCCGTCCGGCGCTGACAAACCCGGCTCACGTGCCCGGCCGCGCGGCGCCTTCCTCCCCGCGCCGGAGGACAACCTGATCCTGATCACGTTCACGACGGGGTCCGAGGCGCGCAACTCGACGCGGGACCACCTGCTCGTGCTCCCGCGCGCGCGCTTCGTCGCGGGGATCGCGCCGCTGCTGGCCCTCAGCGCGGCGGCGCCGGTGGTGGTGCCGCTGGACGTGCCGTGGGCGCAGTGGGGCCCGCGGCACACGCGCTGGCTCGACGCGCGCCCGCTCGCGAAGCACTACATCACGACCACGTGCGGCATGCGCCTCGTCGCGATCCGCCTCGACGCGCGCCGCACGCCCGCGCCTGCACGCGTGCTGTCCTTCGCGCGCGCGACCGTCGACGCGTATGCCCGGCAGTTACCAGAGGGGGGGCGCGTGACCGCGACGCTCGTGCCCGCCGACGACCCGCAGCGCCCGCCCGAGTTCGCGTCGCTCGCGGTGTTCGCCGAGGCGGTGCACTCGGCGCTGCCGTACGTGGAGGTGCAGACGGCGGAGACGTTCGCGTACGACACGCTGATTGTGAACAACGAGAGCCTCGTCGGCGTCACGTTCGGCGCGGACAGCGTCGCCGCGCTCGAGGTCATGTATTTTGGGTAGCAGTACATATATATAGAGAAACACAGAAATACACGCTTGCTAGAAGCCGGTGGGCGCGGGCGGCGCGTGGCGGCGGAGGTCGTTGACGTACAGCGCGGCGCCGTCGACCTGTGCCGCCCAGAGAGCCCACGCGCGCCCGACGAGGGTCGGCACGGTGTCCGACGCGTCGGCGACCTCTCTTGCGTCGAGCCCGATCGGCGCGGCGTGCCCCATGCCGAGGAGCGCGGCCTGCAGCTGCACCGCCGCGTCCTCCGCGACGTAGTACGCGTCGAACACCGCCTGCCGCAGCGTCCCCGCCCGGAGCGCCATCCCGTGTCCGCTGACGCGTGTTAGGTAATATGACGCGGAGAGAAGAAAGTACCGACCGCATGAGCACGACGCGGCTGTCCGCGCGGAACGCCCCCGCGAGCGCGGCCCCGAGCGCCGCGGTCCGGACGAGCAGGTCGTGCGGCGCGTCGGGCGGGAGGACCGCCGGCGGGAGGGCGCGCGTGTCGAACACCGGCGCGCCCGGGCCGAGGGCAGGTGCGGTGTGCATCTGGGCGACCAACGCGATGGTCGGCTGGTTGGCGAAGGGGAGCACGGCGGGCGTGTGCGCGTGCACGACGGCGTGCGCGTCCGGGAAGCGTTTGTATATCTAGTCCAACTTATGTAAGGACAAGGGAGTGCGCCAGGGACCGCACCTCGGAGTGGATGAAGCGCTCCGCGAACCCGGCCGGGATCGCCGCGGACGCGTTGAGCGTGACCTGGCGCGCGGTGGCGTTGGCGATGTCGTACGTGACGATGTCCGCGGCGGTGGCCTGTGCGGGCGCGACCGCGGCGGACAGGAGGAACTCGCTCGCGTTCGCGGGGCTGCGCACGGACACGTGCCCGAACGCGTCGACGACGCCGAGGAAGTGCAGCATGTCTGGCGTGCTACTAAATTGGCAGTGAGCGGAAAGGAAAAGGGAAACGCACGGCTGGCGTCGAGCAGGTCCGTCGCCGCGCCGAGGACCGACGCCGGGACAGCGCCGGCGGAGAGGGCGGAGAGGGACAGGAGCAGTAGAATGTTAGCACAGTGCATGTCGTAGTACACAAGAAAGACTCGGAGTCTCCGTCCGCTGCCCGCTCCAGAGCGTCGAATCCTCTCCGTGCGGCACGCCGCGCCACCGTTCGTTCCACTTCGGTATCCCTCACCGTGACCAAAATCCAAGAATATCAAAAGCACGCGCGGTCTGGCCGCGGGGAGCATGTGCGGCGGTCACCAGACGCCCCGTTGGAGGAGCGCAGGCTATATCCGGCGCCCCCAAGAATAACGCAGTGCCGTGCGAGGTGGAAGCGGAGGCAGGAGGTGGAGGTGCACACGTGACTGATCGATCATGGTGCAGCCCGGGCTGGCATAGAATCAAGTGCCGGGGCCCCGTCGCCGTCTGCAGCGCCGCGAGTCCGGACGGGTGCCATTTACAAACGGGTGGACAAGAGATGAGTGGCGTGGCCATGGGCGGAGATCAGCCACGGTGATTCTAGTGCTGTCCAATTATGATTATGAATACGAAATTTTCATAATTTATTCATATTCATAATATATTCTCTCTGCTGGAGCATATTATAATTGTATTCATATTCATAATCATAATTGGGCTCAGAATATGAATATATTATGAATATATTCAATTATATTCAAGCTTCACAAGTCTGCACATAGTGCATATAATCCACCTTATCTCATGGTTTATTGAACCACTCCTTGGTTATGGTTGTTTCTGTGGCCAATTTTGCAGTCATTGAGGCATGCATATCTGTCATCCTATGCTTGATGCTGGAGTCTGGAGACCAGGTGCCCTACAGAGATGCTCTTTGCAGCTATAACCAGGATTGGTAACATAGCCTGGATATTCTACAACAAGATATTAAGCTGAACAAAACTCTAGCCTAGGTCAAGTATGATACCTTCACCAGCGAAGAGTATCATCAAAGTCCAGGGTAGCAATATAAAGGTCAACTTCAGCCTTCTGTCAGGGCTGGATATGGATATTGTCCGGCCTGATTTACTGCCAAAAGCCATTGATATGGTAAAGACTGAGTTTGAAGATGTTGCTACTGCTGCTAGTAGCCTGCTACAGAGCTAGTACCTCTGGCTGAAGGGCTTGCTGGTGTATTTGAATATAATTAATTATGGCCAAGGTATAATATATTATATTCATAATATATTCATATTCATAATCACTCATATTCAATGGGTCTGAATATGCAAAGGGCATAATATAATCATATTTATTCGAATATATTCAAAATATATTCTAGCATAATATAATTGTGGACAGCACTAGGTGATTCTACTGTCTACATTTTCCGCTTGACCTTGATGGCAACCTTCAAGTTGCAAGCCGGGCAGACTCGGCGATTCGCAGGCAACGGTGCGCGCATACTCGGCCTTGTGTGACAATTCGAATGTGACATATAACAAGTCAAACACGGGAGTCGACCGACAGGTTGCCGACAGGTCAAATTCCCTTGCCAGTGCGAGCCTGTGGAACGCTATCAATCTGTCGTACTTTGAGATGCAACAGCAAGCAAGAATAGAGCGCTATAACATCCCGCTTTCCTGGCCGCAGCGGGGGGTGAATTGAAGCTGTGGCCTGGTGCCTTCATGAACTGGACTCGGAACCTGTGAGTCTATCGGGCCTCCGACCTCGCTCTGCGTCTGACAGTGCACCCTCCACTGGCAGCAAACGGCACGCCCTCAGGCTCCTCGCGCTCAGCTCGCTGGTCGTGCACGCCACGGCGACACCCCTGCACATGTGTGTCCTCTCAATTATCACGATCTTCTGCTGCTGACCAGTGCCCCTCCGCCCAGCCACCGGCGCGCCTCGGACGTGCCAGCCCAGGTCCCCGTCTTCATCGTCCTCCTCGCCCCTCCTCATCCTCGCCGCCACCGCCGCCCGTCATCGGCATCCTGCGCTGCCACCGGGCGGCCCGCCTGCGCCGCGCTACAGCCAAGGCCGCTGCCCTCGGGAGCCGGCCGGCGGCAGATCCCGATCCCGATCCCGCCGACCTCGCGCCGCAGCCCTTCGATGTGCAGCGCGCGCCGTCATTGGGCGCCGTTCATCCGGGCCGATAGTAATAACCCGCCGCCACCCACCCTGACACGCACGTCGACCATGACTATGGACCAGCTGTACATCGCGAACCAGGCGCACCGCGCGCGGCCACGGGAGAAAGAAGAGGGGGCGGGGGCGGGAGCCGCCGGGCAGCTCTCGCTTGCCGACCAGATCCGGGGCACACAGCAGAGGGTCGCTGCGTTGGAAGCGGAGGCCGGGGGTTCAAGTGATAGTCAGGGGCAGAACACGCTCATCAAGCAGTTGCAGGCACGGATCGTGGACCTCGAGTCTCAGGTGCTGCAGTTGCCGATGCCGACAACAGATTTCGAGGCACCGCCGGTGTATGTCAAGTAGCAGAAAAATCACTTGATTTCCTTCCCGCTGATGAAAAATGAATTTCTGTCTACATACTGTGCCGTGTGCTACTATCATTTGCAACCTGTGATCACCGACTGTTAGATGTCGGGTTGGCACAATGGCAACTGTAGTTGGACTGGCTAGTGTTGGGTCATCGGCAACTGGGAGTTGTTTACAGTTTGGGAGCAGGGATGTCTTGGGCCGGCATCCACAAGGTGTCCAGGTTCCTGGTTGCCAACTGTGAGGTATTCAGGTTGGTGACTGGTATAGCACACAGAAGATTTGAAAAATTTCCTTTCCCTTTTAAACATGTATTAAATGTATATATCTAGATACAAACAAGAAATATGAGATATTTGTAAGGGCAACCCCGGAGGCCTGAGATCAAGGTCCTAACAGGGGAGGTGTAAGGGCAACCTGGAGGCCTGAGATCAAGGTCCTAGCAGGGGAGGATCCAAAGCGTGAACATTGGTAGGCAAATACAAATGAAGCTGACCTAGCAGGGGAGGATCTAAAGAGAAGAAACTCTAAGGGTCTGCCTGCTAGGGAGCTGACTATATACTGCTTGTCCATAGCTGCCGCTGTCGGGCACAGAAGGCCTGGGCGGTGTGAAGAGCGCGTGATTCGCGCGCTGTTATATCTGTGCCAACTCCGGCATCCGATTCCGATATCGACTCCGGTATTTGGTTTTTACGCAATGAAGATTTACTAAGCGTTTCCAATTACCCCGACTTATGATCTATGCAATCATCTATGCCTTATTCCTCGTATGCATCTCCCCTTCTACTTTACTTGACTTTGTTCTAATCTCGTTACTTACTTTGTTATCCCTTATTCCGTTTCCGTTACTTCCCGTACTATAAATACTTTGATGTATTACTACATACTTCAGTTTGTAAATTAACGTTGCTGGTCTCTATCTCCCAGCGTCGTCTCGACTCCGCTCTTCTCTTCTTGTCTTGTCTTGGTCAACTGGAAGCCCCGGTCACCCAATCATCCTTCGGTGGTGTTCCGCCCCAAGTGCTCTCTCCGACTTCGATTCCGTTTCCGACTTCGACTCCGTCTCTGGTCCTCTGGTTGACAGCGCACTTAACACGCGCCCTTGGAATCAGCCAAGATGCCCACGAGGGGCATCTTTTGGAAGCACGACACCGCGTTAGCGGCGCGTGACCTGGAGATGCGGTGCGGACCGGCACGAGAACGACCGGTGGAGCGCGGGGAAGCTGAGGCCGGGGCGAATGTGTTCGCCGCTGGCTGATGGAGGCGATGGAACTGCCAGCGACTGGGCAGTGCCGTCAACACGCAAGACAGCAGGGATGGAAGGCCAGTTGTAGGGCAACCGTGTGGAGCGAGAAGGATGCGTAGGGCGCGCGTCAAACGGCAGGAGAGGGCGCAACAAGAGCGCGCGTCGGCGGTCACATGACCGAATCGCGGCGCTGCGGCGGCGCAGGCCGATCGCGGAGGCCGATCAAGGGGGCCGGACCGGCGGTGCTTCCGCTTCAGCCAAAACATCAAGGAGGCGCCTTTGGCGCGTCAAGGGGTGCATTAAGCCCCTGGAATGGACACCAGAGTGTCAAGGAGGTAGGAATGGAGGGTGTTGTGTCAAGGAGACGCGTCAAGGGGCTCCATTTTGGGGCTTAACTTTGTAATTTAACTCCGCAGGCTGAACGTGGGGGCCGATCACGGGGTCGCGTCTCGGGGAGCGTACCAAGGAGGATCAAGGGGATAAATTAAGGAGGTGCCCGATTGTCGGGGCCACCCTCGATGGTCTGGGGCTTACAAATGCTGAGCATCTAGAGATATAAATTGGGCATGCATTGTAGTAGTACAGTAGTGAAGTTTGGCTTGCCCCGGGGCCCTCGCGGGGTTGTGTTTTGGTTCCGTTACATTGTGTCCGTTATCGCTGCTGTCTACAATTGTCTCCGTTATCGCCGTCTGGTCCATTAAGTTCGTCTCCGCCGTTGTATTATTCCGCCGTTGTCCCCTCTGTTCCGCTTCAAGTCTTGTAACTGTGTTCAACCCTGTGCCCCAAAGTTCAAGATTACCTAATCGCCTGCATTGCGCCCAATTACATAATCGACTCGAAATTGTTGTCTGAATTGCAACTGCTATATACTTTAGTAGGAGCCCCCGAACTTGCGCGCTTGTGAAAAACCAAACTACCCCAAATCAAACTCCGACGTGATCCGATTGATCCGACTGATCCGAAGCTCGGCATAGGTGGTTTAGGTCCCGAATAGGTTGTGTGTTGTGTTGTGTGTGTTTGTTTGTTCTTGTTTGTGTTGGAGTTGGGTTTTGTGTGGTTTTGTGTTTCTCTTTTAGTGTCTGTGTGTGTTCACTTTCAAGCGTTTCAGGTGTTGCAGGCAAGGTCCCAGGGCGACCATTGGGAGGGTGTTGACAGATCGGTGATTGTGCGCATGAGATGGAGGGCTGGATGTCAAACCCTGGGTTCAAAAACCCTTTTTCTTCGCCTTTTAAACCTTTTATTTTGGCCCTGGTTGATAAGATAAGACAAGGAGGAGATAAGATGGACGATAAGATGGTGATTGGATCATCAGATGTCGATGCTGATGTTGATTGACAGCGTGGAGTTAAACATGAGGCAAACAGCACGTAAAGGCATGGCTAAAGCATGACGTCATTACCTCTCGTATTAGGCATGGTAAACACATGGTAGTAGTGTATATAAGTAGAGTAGATTTCGTCTTGTACCCCAGTCTTCGAATTCCATCATCTTTACGATATCCTTTCACGGTGCTTCTTGCTTGCCTTCACTGGCCAACTGGCATCCTCT